AGCAAGGGACTGGACTGCTGGTGTTGAAGAACACCACCTACAGTAATGAACTGGACTGCTAGTGTGAAGAACACCGCCTACAGTTGTCGACTAATGGTGATACAACACACATGTTGAGAGTCATTGCAAGAGCACTGCTATTGCAATGATATGTAACCAAGTAAGTATAGAGTAAGTAAGTTGAGTTCAGAGTGGATACCGATCCACTTGTATGCTATGGTAGAATGAGAGTATTTATATGTCTGGTCGGTGTTTTCCCTCGACACCTATCCTGCTCCTCTTGAGGGGCCTTTGTCCCCTGTTAGGCACTGCCTTGCCCTGCTGGCATCAACCCCTTCGATACTGTGCTCCTACCATTTGCTCAGCATAAGGGTTATGCAACACTGCCCTCTTGCCTACATGCTCTCCTTCTGTCTGATGTGTGATGCCCCCTTTCGACTTAATCTTGTGAATTCCCTTTGAACCTTGTGACCATACCCCCTGGTCATGTGGTCACGTTGGCACAGTTCCATCTCGACTTGTTTGGATCGGCCAACTAGTTGAAGCATGCTGATCCGACTGACTCTGACATTGGCACAGCTCTGAATACTTGTTCAGATCAGCCAACTAGTTGAAGTGTGCTGATCCAACTGACTCCGACATTGGCACAGCTCCAAATACCTGTTCGGATCGGCCAATTAGTTGAGGTGTGCTGATCCAACTGACTCTGATGTTGGCACAGCTCTGAGTACTTGTTCAGATCGGCCAACTAGTTGAAGCATGCTGATCCAGCTGACTCTGACTGATCCCATGAGATTGATCTGGATTCCCGGGGTTCGATCAATCTCGTAATTCATGTGCACTGCCAACCCAATTAATCTTGTTGATCCCCGATGGTTTTTGGCTCTGATCAATCTGGCACACCCTTCATATGTTGATCTTCTGCGCACCCTTCATATACTGCTCCGTTATGTGACATTACCATAACTGCCGCTGATCATTTGGCGCACTCTCTTGCGCAGGCCAGCCGTCCCTGTGACACATCACAGGTCGACAGGCTCGATGGGCAATACTATTAGCAGACTTCGACTTCATATTGCAGTATCGACCAGGAGACAAGGGTGGTGAGCCTGATGCTCTCACCAGAAGGACGGACATGCAACCAGCTGGTGAAGATCAGGATCACAATGTGAGGCAACTACTGCCTCCTCGAGTGTTCAAGGAGACAGCAGACCATGACTCGATCCTAGTGGCCCCTATGCTCTTGATGGAGTCCATAGCATCAAAAGGTCTCAGAGACCTGGTCAAGATCTTCCAGCCCTTAGACCAAGAGCTACAGGAGATACATAGGAAGAAGCCCTTCGAGGTCAGGGACGACCTATGGTACAGTGGAGGAAGGTTGGTTATCCCCAAAGTGATCATGCCAGGGAGGACCAACAACCGACACTCAAGGAGTGCCAAAGAGGTAGATGGACAGTCTCTCTCTGTAGAGCATCTGCGATTCATGGTGATGACCCAATGCCATGATGGTATTACTGCTGGACATGTAGGAAGAGATGCTACCATCAAGGCAGCTCAACGACATTACTGGTGGCCAAACATGACAGCTTGGATTGCAGACTATGTAGCAAGTTGTCCTGTATGTGCTAGGTACAAAGCTCCTCGTCATCGTCCATATGGGTTGCTACAGCCACTAGCAACACCAGACAGGCCCTGGGGCTCCATATCCCTCGACTTCATCGAAGGACTACCACCATCAAGGAACTATGACTCCATCCTCATCATTGTCGACAGGCTGACCAAGTTTGCCATACTAGCTCCAACCCATAAGACAGTCATGGCCAAACAGACTGCAGTGTTGCTATATGGACACATGGTTAGACTTTTCAGATACCCAGATCACATGGTCTCGGACCGAGGCAGGCAGTTCATATCAGGAGCATGGAAGGCATTTGCAGAACAAATGGGTGTGAAGCACTCACTTAGCATGGCTTACCATCCTCAAACCGATGGTCAGACAGAGAGGGTCAATCAGGTCATAGAGCAGTACCTAAGGATGTACTGCAACTATGAGCAGAATGACTGGGCTGACCTGCTGGACACTGCAGCCTTTGTATACAACAACATGGTCCACAACAGCATTGGTGTCTCACCATTCTTTGCATGCTATGGATGGAACCCCAAAGCTCATCCTGACATCCCTCAACAACTAGGAGTCAATGATCCAGGTCGCTTCAAGTACCTCATGGATGGAAAGGAGCATTGCAAGTACCTCCAGGAGCAGATCAGAGTGGCACAACATAGATCAGTAGACCAGTACAACAGGAAGCACAAGGACATCGAGTTCAAGGTGAATGATATGGTCTATATCAACTGTCAAAACTGGAAGACAAGGAGACCCACACCCAAGTTAGATACCCAGTTTGCAGGACCCTACCCAGTTCAGGAACAGGTAGGATGCCAAGCTTATTGAATCACATTGCCAGCAAACCTTAGGGTGCATGATGTGTTCCATGTCTCCATGCTTGAGCCAGCAAGAACAAGTTCTCTTCCTCAATGAGCTGAACAGCCCACCATACCATCACTTCCAGATGAGGACCTTGATTTCGAAGTCGAAGCACTCATCAACAAGCATTCACACAATGGGACTACGGAGTACAAAGTGTTGTGGAGAGGGTACTCAGAGGAAGCTGCTTCATGGGAACCAGTAGAGAACCTCAACTGCCCCGACCTCATCCAGGAGTATGAGGTGTCGGAGGGGGGACGAGCGAGTAGACAGAGTAGAGAGAGGAGGAGAGAACAGGAGGAGTAGAGAGAGGAGGAGGAGTCAGCATGAACCAGACCAGAGCATGCCTCGACGGAGCTCGGCTCTTAAGAGGGGGGTAGTGTCATGGGCCTGAATGCTCAGGAAGCAGGAGGGTCACTGGTTCATATGGAAGGAGCACAGGTATTGGAGATCTAGTCGATACCAGTAGAGAGCATGGTCGTAGTGCAGTCTCCATGGAGACCATGGACTCCTATGGACTCACATGCAAAGGAGGACCGGGCCCATATGCGAGGAGGGCCAGGCACAGCCACGAAGAGGACCAAACTCCTATGGACTCACATGCAAAGGAGGACCGGGCCCATATGCGAGGAGGGCCAGGCACAGCCACGAAGAGGACCAAGCTCAAGGAGCATGCAGACGGTTACACCCCTGTGCCTCTTGAGCTGTGTCGACTCCTTTGACACTGCTCCTCCTCCTTGCTATCCTGCTTGTTTGGCACCCTTGTGCCTCCTGAGTGGTGTCGACTCCTTCGACACTGCTCCTCCTCCTCAGGACCTGGTGTCGGTTCCTTTGACTCTTGTCTCTCGAGCCCCTGAGTGGTAACCATCTGCATGCTCCTTGAGCTTGGTCCTCTTTGTGGCTGTGCCTGCTCCTTGAGCTTGGTCCTCCTCATGGCTGTGCCTGGCCCTCCTCGCATGTGGCTCGTGTCCTCCTTTGCATGTGAGTCCATAGGAGTCCATGGTCTCCATGGAGACTGCACTACGACCATGCTCTCTACTGGTATCGACTAGATCTTCGATACCTGTGCTCCTTTCATATGAACCAGTGACCCTCCTGCTTCTTGAGCATCCAGGCCCATGACACCCCTGAACGGAGTGTCCACAGAGGTCAGCCGAAACCTACGATAGTATATACAATGAATGCCACCTGCTGTCACTGTGCAACTTGATAGTCACTGATACCGAGACAATAGCTGTCGCACAGTTTGATAGTCACCGAGTATCTCGACAGACCGACCTGGGTTTCAGGCGCGAGACCCCTGACAGAAGGCAGCTATTCATATGGTGAAGTATTTGAATCAGACAAGTGGATATCAGCTGCACTTAGGAGGCAGGTCAGGCAAACTCACAGACAAACCAGTAACAATGTATACTGATGCAAATTGGGCATCAGACCCCATGAATGGATGGAGGAGCACCTCAGGAGTGATAACATATGTATACAGATGCCCAGTCAGTTGGAAATCTCATGTTCAGAAATGTGTGGCATTGTCTGCAGTCAAGGCAGAATTTGTTGCCACTTCTGAAGCAGTATGAGAAGCACTATTCTTCTCATATTTGCTTCAGGATTTGGATATCACAGATGTTTGGCCAATGCTTTACACAGACAGTCAGGGGTGCATCCAGGTAAGTAAAGATCCAGCCAAGCACTGGAAGTTGAAGCATATTGATACCTGGTAAAATTTTGTTCACAACCACATGCAAGAGGGTGATGTAATGATTGAATTCATTGAAATGGCAAACAACATAGTGGACATTTTGACAAAACCTTTGCAGGGCCTCAACACCTCTCAATTAGCTAGGATGATAGGATTGGAGATACCACTGAGGGGGGGAGTTGAGGATGTGTCAGCATTTCAAGAAGAATGCACAAGTCATAGCCAAGACACCAAGGGACCAGGTGCATGCATAAGTGATGAACACAATGAAGTGCATGGAGGTTGCCATAACAACAACTCAGGGGCATTGCAGAAAACAGTAACTCAGGGGTTAAAAAAGAGGTGACTCATCTGACTCAGACATGACTAAAAGGTAGCAACAAGGTATATATATGTGTTTGTCATTGTGATCCATACTAAAGCAATACTAAGCATTACAAGAAACATACAACTGTGGTAAGGGAGCCTGATTGTGGCCCCGATAACGGCGTATACTAATTGTTATCTTCAACTGAATCGCGTTTCTTTGAAACGCTCGCTTGCTCGATATAAGCTGTCCAGATCCTCATCATCCTTTCTCGAGCCCTTCAAGGCAAGCTGCTACTCGGCTATCAGCTGCATTGCTCCCACAGTCGGTCAGCGCAGCATCGCGTGCGACTAAACAAGTGCTGTCTGGCCAAACTCAGCCAAATACAACCTACATTACTCACGGCGACCAGGGTCCATCACTCTTACCCTCCAGATCTTGACCAAATGTTTTGAGTGGCGAAACATTTGCAGATCGTGGCAAAGCTGCCTGCAATCGGCAACAGCATCATGGCTCCCGGAAGCGGATTGCAGCGCTCGCGCGCACCTTCTCAAATCAGAGAAGCAGGCCCCTCTCGCAGCTCCGATCGCTCCACCAACCTCTTCCTCGGCAACTCTCCGTCATCTCAAGAGACTCGCGCATCTTCCACGCAACCAGCCATCTCGCGACCGACACATCGTGGCTCAGGAAGTAGAGACAGCCAGATAAATGCTGTTGACGAAGCTGCTGCACACAGAGCTCGGCGTCAGGAGCGCAGGGAGGAGGAAGCCTACCAGGTCAAAGGCTGGGAAGATCTATACGGAGGCGGTGGAGGCAGACCTGTCTTCTCTCGAGATCAACTCCCCACACGCAGCGCAGCTGCTTCGTCTTCGCAAAAGGATGCTGCCGCTGCAAAGAGCAGACATTCCAAAGACAAGACATCGTCTTCTCAGACACAATCCTCGCTGAACAGAGGTGCAACCTTGGCGCGACGTAGTGCTCGATCGCCTTCCAGCTCTCGACTGCCACCATCTACCGCACCTGCTTCATCTAGAGCTGCTGCCGTGACAGGAACTTCAGCCACACGACTTGGAAAACGAAAAGCACCTTCGCCCGATTCTGCATCCACGAAGCGCTCCTCAAGATCCGCTACAGCCAGAAGCAAGGAGCCCGCCGTTGAACAGGAGGATTCCGACGATGACTTCGAGATGACCGGTTTCGTGCTGGCTTCCCAGAGGCCCAGAGTCGATGACGATACGGATGTCGCGATGATCGCGAAAACCTCTCCCTCGCTCAGTGAGGCATGCAAGATCTCTCGAACAACACCGACTGCTTTTCTACGTCGGTCGATCAGCAAGACACCTGCACCCAGTCAACGTGGTCCATCGGCCGCTCTTTCGCTGCCTCCAGATCAAGGGCGTTCATCTGCCGCATCGCTTGGTCTGAGCCCTGGCCGTTCACGCTCACGTGGCTCTAGAGCGTCCAGCTCTTCTCGTTCTTCTCCAGATCAAGAAAAGTTGACGCCAAAGCAGACCGAAAACATCACACGCCTCGCCATTGACGCGTTCGCAAACAGCACCTCGCTCGCCGAACATGTTCGTACCTTGACCCGCTCCTATTCTGCCATGCTCGGCGTTGCTCATCCCGAACGACCAGCTGTGGATGAGCTCGAGTACAAACTCGCAAATCTTGAACCTGAAGCCGGCTTCAACGATGTTCGCAATGTCACCAAAGCTACGCCGACGATCCCTTCTGGCCTGCGCCAGCGACTCGCCGTCGTGTTTCGTACCTATGCTTTCTACCTAACTCGCGGGCACGATCACGAACGAAGTCCTGCCAAATCTGCCGCCGCAGCTGCGCCTTTAGCGACCGCAGAGTCTGATTCTGCCTTAAGTGGGACTGCCTCAGCTACTGCTCATGACAACGGTGCTTCCGAGGCTGAAGCAAGCGCGCCGATGCAGGTCATGGAGGCAGAGTCCGCGCCCGCACTGGCTACCGCAACGTCTGAGTCTAGACAATCAGGTGCAGAAAATCCAGTCGCAAGTCCTCAAGCAGCAGAGACAAGATCGGATGTTGTCACTCCGGAAGCGAATGCAGAAGGAGACCAGATGCAGGTTGAGCCAACGGCAGAACCTGAAAAGCAAATCCACTGCGCCCGCGATGCAGATGATGAACTTGCCAATGCTGACCACGAGTCTACCATCGAGTCAGCCGGATCGCTGCAAGCGTTTGGAACACTGCCTGAGGAACCTGTCGACGACCCCGAAGAGGTAGACGAGGGTGCGCAAGCAGACGAGAGCGCTCATAGGCGTGCCAGAGCAGAGGATGCAGAAGAAGCGGACGAGCTCGAAGAAGAAGAGGACGAGCTTGTGGACGAAGTGATGGAAGAAGCTGAGAAAATGCCTGACGAAAGTGTTCAGCCCACCAGCCATCACCAAGACGATCACGGTGATGAGATTGAAAACGAACAGCCGATTATGGCACAACCTATCGGCGCGGACGATGGTAACGCAGCCGTTGATCAGCACGCTGTAGTCGGTAATGAATTTGCAGCCGCCGGACAACAAGTCGATATCCCACAAGAGGCAGTTGAAGATCGAGCAGCTGTCGAAGAACGTGACGCTGAAAAAGAGGCAGAGCAGCAACAGGAGCAGAGCGAGTGCCAGAACGCACAACAGAAGGTTCAGCAGGAAGACCAACAGGAGGACCGACAAGGTGACCAACAAGACGTCCAACAGGAGGTTCAGCAGGAGTATGAACAGGCGATTCAGCAGCAGAGCGAGCAGGAGCAGAGCGAGCAGCAAGATGAGCAGCAAGATGAGCAGCAGCATGAGCAGAGCGAACACCAAAGTGAACCGCAACACGATCCGCAGGAGAATCAGCAGGGCGAACAGCCGATGGAACACGAAAGCGAGCAGCCTCTGGACACTAAATCGGAACTGCAGAGCGAAGAGCAAAATGGCAACGCTCCTCAAGCTGCTGCTCCCAAAGTCGAAATGCAGCGCGTGGGACAGCCTCATTACGAGGCGCCACAGCCCAGCAACGTGCCTGTCTCGGAAGACAAAAGGGCGGAGGCGCTTGCTGACGATCCAGCATCTGCAGTGGATCAAGGCGCCGAACAAGTGGCCACGGAGGTGGAGGAAGTCGAGCAGGCTCTCGCGGCTAGTGCAGACGCACAGCCAAATCAGAATTTCGACGCGATCACTGACACTACAGTAACAGCACCCGCTACAAATGCAGATACCGAAGAGGTCGACGAAATATCCGCTCAAGCAGGTGCATCCGCCGAGACGGCAGGCGAAGGCTCGAGGATCACAGTTTCAGATCCTCCCACAGACACTGTTACTACTGGCTGCGCGGCGTCTTCCTGGTTGTTGCTTTCGGTCGATGCTGCTGCCGTAACGGAGGCCGACGAAGGGATGACACACGCTACGGAGATGCCTCTCGAAGCCTCGGCAGCCAACTCATCGCTCGCTGAGCCTCGTCCCGAGGCAGACGCTGAAAGCTCAACCCAAGCCCCCGCCGTGGCAAAGTCTACAGAAACGGCTCCAACCGAAGAACTGCGTAACTCCCCCGTCGCAGCTGCTGCTGTGGCATTGGCAAACATTCCCAAAACCATCTCGTCGTCGCAAGAAGCTGCGTCCATCAGCAACACCGCCCTCGTTGAGGTTGCAGCAGACGATCGACAGCCGACATCGGCACAAGTTACTGCCAACCCAGTCAACTCCGGAACCTCATCGACCGGGGACGCTCAAGCCGATGAGCCCGCTGCAGGCCCGAGTCACGAAGCTGGCAATCCAGATCGGGCTTCCAGCCAAGCTGCTTCGGACTCCGCAACGCCCGTTGCCAGGCGCAAGAAGACGGTCGCTGATCGGATGAAGCCGATGCTGAGAGATCTGGCCAACATCACTGGCCGCCAATCCTCTTACGACACAATTCAGAAGCTCAAGCCGCTTCGCAAGGGGGCAGCGACGGACCGCACCGTTGCTGATCTTGTGGAGCGCTGGCAGGATCCAGCCAACATAATCCCCTGGACGTGCCTGCAAGAAGTCGGGCCGAATATCTTGCATCCTCGAGCTCATCGGTATGAGAATCTCTCTATACACGAGCTCATGGACAGAGTTTCGAACACGCGTTCTGTCAAGTTCATCACATCAAAATTGCCCGAGAGGATCATCACAAGAGCGCTCATGGAGTTTCCTCGCATCCCGCACATGCTTCACTGCTGGAACAACGAGAAGTTCAAGTACTTTGTTTCGAGAGGCCTGCCACAGCCCACGGATACGCAGCCCGAGTTTCGGTTCGCCGACGCAGCCGACGTACCTAGCGCATCTTCATCACTCTCTGCCGCTGCGATCACCCCTGCATCGAGCTCGAGAGCCTCTGCTCCACCTCCGACCACGACGAGCTCCCTCGATCTAGAGGTTCCCGAGAAGAAGCCGCAGTTGGCGAGAGGAAACGCGAGCGCTTCGCCCATGTCGGCTCCAGCAATGACGCATTCGCACTTTGTACCACCGCCGAGCAACAGCGAGATGGGTCGTCTCCATGTACCTGTTCCGCTCACTGCGGTACCAGCGCCTCAAAAAGCCAATCAGCCTGTTGATAGCAACGTGATGCGCGCCGCTGCAGTCGCCCAGCTGATGCAGTCTCAACAGCCGAACGGAGGCAACGCTGGCTCGCTGTCGCTTGTTCCTCCTCGTCAGCAAAACCTGCAAATGCTGCCTGCCAGCTTGCCACCCGCACAGCCTGTCCAGCATCTTTCCGTCTTTGAGCAGCAGCAGAGGCAACTCGTCATGCTTCAACAGCAGCAACAATTTCGACAGTTTCAGCCCCCTCCGCCGCAAAAATTGACGCTGCAAAAAGCATTTCAGCACCAGACCAATCAGCCGCATTCCATCTTGCGTCAGCCACCTCAGCTCTCAGCCGCGGCGCTGAGCCAACAACAAGAAGCCACCCAGCGGCAGCAGCGAATGGAGCAGCTGATGCAGCAACAGCACCGACAGCAGCAACTCCAACTCCAACTTCAACTCCAACTCCAACTCCAACAGCAGCAACAGCAGGTCCAACAGCAACAACAGCAATCCACCGCAACACAGATTGCAAGCGCTGTTCGAGCCGCTGCTAGCGCGATCTTCGCTGGTCTAGCAGCGGACTGCGTCTCTTTCGCCGAACACGTACTGGGAACAGGAGTCGTTGCTGAAGAGATTGTTAGTCGTGATCATTTCTCGGAAAGCGAAGTGCTACATATCGTCCAATACGTGCTCAACGTGTACAAGGACGAGGTGAATGCAGAGCGCGCGGCGGGTCGTCAGAACCAGCAGGCGGAAGAGAGATACGCCAAGGTTCTTAAAGTGCAAGAAGCAGCTCTGCGCGTTGTTAGTCTCACAAAGACGCTGCTGGGGATCAAGATGTGTGTCAATGAGGCGGTGAAGGATGCTTTGCGGTCGCAGATTGGAATGACATTGCCATCGGAGGTATATTGGCAAGACCTGTTGAGTATGTCGTCCAAGTTCAAGGGAATTGTGGAGTACTTGATGCGGGGCGAGCCGATGGTGCTGCATAGGCTGTCGGTTGTGGAGAGAAGGATCTTGATGCAGCACAAAGTGGTGGCGGTCAATAAAGACTTGGAATTGACGCTAGAGAAGATCGTGAGCATGGATGATCTAGGTGGGACAGGTTCGGCTGTGTCAGGTACAAACGCCGAAGGCGAGGGTGACGAGGGCATCATCAAGCGAGAATGCGAGATGATCGCGGGGATCTGCTGCAAGCATGTGGTTGATATTCTCAGCGACTGAATCATACAGAGTTATCTGCCTCGAGTCATTCATTGTATGTACAGTACTGTACTTTACTGTATCAAAGTCATCAGTCACATATGTAAGAAACGCAAGTCATTGTTCTGTTTAGCTTCACAAGCCGACAACACCGAATCAGGCGATGCGATGAGTTTCCTAAGGATACCATTGTCACAGACAGAGCAGAAAGCTTGTACAATAGCATCGTGGACCTACTGTCCAATACCACAAATCGACAATTCCCTCATCTCCTGCAGTACAGCTTCCACCTGAGCATCCAATTGACCATCAGCATACTCCTCCCTAACACCATCGGCAAAGAACCTCTGTACACCGCCCAACTTCTCATACCCATCCTCTGCAAACTTGGCTTGCATCCTGACCATTGCTTCGAAACTTGGATCCAAATACGGCACTCTCAAATCTACCAACTGCGGCAACTCGCCCTTAATCTGTTCGTCGAGGGTTTCAAAGATGACTCTAGCATCTTCGAGTTCCTTTTCTGCTTTGGGAAGTTTTGTGGGGTCATCGCTTGGTTTGTCGACCAACTTTCTGTGCTTTGAACGAGCAGCGTCGTAGTCGAGCAACTTCTTGTTGCGCTTTTCGATGATTTTGTTGGCTTCTGGGAAGTAGGATGCAAGTTTGCCGATGGGTTCTAGGACAGTTGCTCGGTAAGGAGCGTCGATTTCTTTTGCTGTTTTGGTGTCCAGTTCGTCCACTGCTCGACGGTAGGCGTTGGCGGACATGGCAGCATCGGATGAGTCGATATAGAATCCATCGACAGCTTCAGCGATTCGGGATTGAGAAGAGGCAAGGGAACGGATAGCATCGAGGTAGGCTTTGGCTTCTTTTTGAAGCGAAGTGACTTCTCGTTCCATGGTACGGTATTGTTCTTCGGTCGAGTTGAATTCAGAGTCGACTGTTCGTTCGACTTGACCCGTCTTTTGCATGAGGGTTGTACCTGCGCGATTGATGGACTTTTTGAAACCGCCCCACGACATCTTTGCCGATCAAAAGGAGTGGAAGCTGGGATGAAGGTTGTGGTGTTTGGCGAGCGAGGTGGAGTCGACGCTTCTGAGCTGAGCCCAATCGAGATGCGAGCGGGTGTGCCGACAATCGAGGGTGATGTGGCGCGTAAAGTGCGAAGTGCGGGTGACTGTAGGAGAGCGACGTCGAAGAGATGGTGATGATAGCGAAGGGAGAGAGAGAAAGAAGAGTAAGCAGCTTCGGGAGAGCCGAATCGACTGTCTGTGCGGAGCGGTGAAATGACGCGGAGGGCAATTGGCCCGATTTGCCAATTTGGCTCTCACTTCAAATCGCGCTGTCAAGTCTTGAAATCACGAATCGCCATTTTCAAGCAAGGCTGCCTCCACCCTCATCCAGGCTAGCAGCCCAGCAAGTGAGTCTGAGAAAAGAGGGAAGCGCCCACGCTGCCGAGTCGCCACATTGGACCCTGATTCTCCTGATCCTCGTCCATCATCACCTATTCCAACACGATCTCAGCCTCTTGCAACCACCAACAGAAGCTCCAGGACATCACATCGGAATAAGCTTCTCCTGTCATACACTCGGATTCGACTCGGTTGATCCCGCCACAATGAATCGCTTATTCGGCAGCAAAGCCGCAAAGCCCAAATCCTCTCTCACCGATGCCATCGCATCCACCGAAAACCGAGCCGACTCAGTCGAAGTCAAGATCCGCAAACTCGATTCCGAACTTGCCCGCTATCGCGATCAAATGCGCAAGATGCGCGACGGACCCGGCAAGGACGCTATCCAACAACGAGCACTCCGCGTTCTCAAACAGAAACGTCTCTACGAAAACCAACTCGCTCAACTCCAACAACAATCGTACAACATGGAACAAGCGACAATGACAACAGAGAACCTCCGTAACACAATGGCTACCTTCGACGCGATGCAAACAGCAAACAAGGAGATGAAAAAGACATATGGCAAGATTGATCTGGATAAAATCGAAAGTATGCAGGATGAAATGGAGGATCTGATTGAAGCTGCCAATGAAGTGCAGGAGACATTGGGGAGGAGTTATGGGGTACCGGATGAGGTGGATGAGGAGGACTTGCAGGCGGAGTTGGATGCGCTGGCGGATGATTGGGAGGCGGAAGAGGCGGCTGGGGAATCGGTGCCGAGTTATTTGCAGAGTAATCAGGAGTTGCCGGACTTTGTGGATGAGTTGCCGAATCAAGGTCAGGCAGAGGGAGCGACTGCGGAGCATGGAGAGGCCCTCCGTGCGGTGTAAGCAGTCAAACACCAGCAAATGTCAACACTCAGATATCGATGGGATCCGTATCACAGACAGTGGCGTAAGGACGGCTGTATCACGTTTTTTTCTTGTACTTTTAGCTTTACCACAACCGCACTACGATTCGCAGCATCACTCCCGATTCTAGACACCTCCGGCAGACGTCGGCCACGATGTGGTCTATCGCATCGTCTCCTATCATCAAATCCCACCGTCCGTCAGAGTACGTCAGATACCGATTGAGAAGCATCACACGTGGTTGAGTACACACAAAGTTGAAGATGCGTCGGCATTCCAACGGGATTCACGGGGTCCGCGGAGCACAAGCGAGACATCGATGAAGCTAACCCAGTATCATGCATTGCAATGATTGAAGCACGCTTTCTTGGAGAGAGCTCATTGCCACGGACCATATCGGTGTTTGAAGTGTTCTTGATTAGTATGATGGTAGTGCTATTGCTCAATGACGACAACGACCCGAATGCGGGGTAACCGGCTAAATCGGGAAAATACCCGATTGTCCTCAAACTTATGCACAGGGACTGTACGTCGTAATCTTCAATTCACAATCATTTTGAACCAAATGAAAAAGAAGAATGAAAAACAAATGAAGATAACAATTAATATACGGCGTTATCGGGGTCACGATCAGACTCCCTTTACCACAGCCGTATGTTCTATGTAATGCTTAGTTTTCATGATGTGAGACTGAATGACAAACACATATATATACTCCATTCACTGCTCTGGTCCTATTCGAGGCAGGATGTGTCTCTTCATTTGTACTCCTGTGTTGCTATGATACCGGGTGCCACTGTGCTGTCACCATGACAACAATTACGTACCTCATTGTACTTCTCGCTTACGTGAGCCTCCCGTGTCTCAATGTCTCGGCCGTAACATGTGCATCTTACTTGAGATGCCGACGCATCTTCAACTCCCCCCTTCGGCGGGATCTCCAGTCCTATCATCCTAGCCAATCGTGAGGTGTTAAGACCCTGTAAGGGTTTTGTCAAGACATCTGCAACGTTGTTTGCCGTTCCGACATATTTGATTTCCACATCGCCCTCTTGTACGTGATCGCGAACGAAATGATACCGTGTGTCGATGTGCTTTAACTTCCAATGTTTGGCTGGATCTTTACTCACCTGTATGCACCCCTGGCTATCTGTGTATAGTACGGGCCGAACGTCCGTGGTCTCCAAATCCCGGAGCAAATATGAGAAGAATAAGGTTTCTCGTACCGCTTCGGAAGCGGCGACAAACTCTGCTTCGACTGCCGACAATGCCACACACTTCTGAACGTGTGATTTCCAACTCACTGGACACCCATATACATATGTTATCGACCCCGAGGTGCTTCTTCGTCCATTTGTGGGGTCGGATGCCCAGTTTGCGTCGGTATACGTCGTTACCGGTGTATCCGAGTGCTCGTTTGTCTCCCCTCCTAGGTGCAACTGATATTCGTTCGTTTGGTTCAGGTACTTTACCACGTGGATGGCTGCCTTCCATGCACTGTCGATCGGGATCGACATATATCGCGCCAATACGCCGACGGCAAAGGCAATATCTGGTCGGGCTGTGTTGGAGACCCATAATAGTTGGCCGACCAATTCTTGATACTTCTTTGCTCGCTGAGGTTCACATCGCTCGCCTCCGGCAACGTTCGCTACACTCAGCATGGGTACCCAAGATTTCTCGTTTGCTCCTCCTAACCATTTGTTCACCATTTCCTTGATGTATGCCGTTAGACCCAGAGATATCCTCCTCCGTCTTCTATCACGTGTGATCTTGATACCCAGAAATTCTTTGACCCTTCCATTGTCTTGCGTCTCCCATTTGTCCATGATCTCTCGCTTTGCGCGATCTACTTCATCACGACTGGGTGATGTTATTAGCATGTCGTCCACGTATGCTGTGATGATCGTGATCTTGTCGCCTGTCCCTCTTGAGTATAGGCATGGTGCGCTCGGCATGCAATGGAATCCGATCGTCCGGAGATGTGAGTCTAACTCAATGTTCCATTCTCGGCCCGATTGTTTCAGACCGTACAGTCCTTTCACTACCTTCAACACTTTTCCGGGTGGCATTTCGATTCCTACTGGGGGCTTGAGGTATACATCATGGTGTATAGTGGAGTTCAGGTACGCTTGCTTTACGTCGATAGAATCCATTTCCCAATCTCGTACTGCTGCGACAGCGATCACCCCTCGAATGGATTGGATGGGTGCTACTGGTGCGAAGACCTCTGTATAGTCGATGCCCTCGCGTTGAGTGAAACCTCGTGCCACGAGCCGGGCTTTGAACTTTGTCGGCACGAGGTTTGCATCGGTTTTGATCTTGAGTACCCAACGTGTGTCGACAGTATTTGCACCCTTTGGGAGGTCGACTATCTCCCATGTGCCCATCGCCTCCAATCCATCCAGCTCCTTTCGCATGGCCTCCTCCCAGTGTTTTCTGTCCTTTCCACTCATTGCTTCATGTATGGTTGGGTCCAGGTTCTTTCTCCATTCCGGTCGCGTCGCTACGAGTCCATAGAATTCGCTGTCAATTTGAGTTTCGGCGATTGGTCCTTGTTCCATCACCTCTGCTGTTCCTTCGCTTAATCTTTCTTCCGAATCTGTCTCCATATCCATGTATTCTCGTAGTGGCTCTTCATCTGTTTCGTCGAATATATTTTCTTTATTGTATCCTAGATCTTCGAAATTTTCCTCTGTCATCATCATTGGGGGTGCCTTTGTGTCAACCGGTCGCCACTCTGTTCTGTCTGACCAGCACTTTGATTCCATGAATTTTGCTGAGTTGCTCCAGAAGATGTTCGGATTGTAGTCCGGGCTGTAGAAGAGCCAGCCCTTCCTTTCTAGACTGTACCCTAAGAAAATGGATGCGACGGCTCGCTGGTCCAGTTTCTTGTTGTCCCGTTTAACTTTGGGTACGTTTACCCATGCCAGACAACCAAACACTCGTAGGAGCTTTAAAGCTCGTTCCGGCGACTTGCCAAACATCGCTTGATAAGGGAATTCATTATCAACGCTCGGAGTGAGGTTTATTTTGAACGCCGCAGCTCTGATCGCGTATGGCCAGAACTTCTTCGGTAGTCTCCTCTGCATTAGCAACGTTCTCATCTTCTCTCCAAGGGTCCTGTTCATTCTTTCTACCCGTCCATTTTGTTTGCTGTTGTACCCTACGGTGGTTTGCCACTCTATGCCCTTTTCTAACGACCATTCTAATGCATCATTGCTTTTCCATTCCGTTCCTTGATCGGATCGGATCGCTTTTAGCTTCCGATCCGTCTGTGTCTCCAGGAACGAAACAATCCTTTTGAGTTGCATAAAGGCATGACTCTTTCGTGTCAATGGCTGTGCATACACATACTTGCTATGATCGTCGACCAGCACCAACGTGCATGTGTACTCCGTCACATGGGACGAGTCTATTATTAGATCGACGTGGATAAGATCCAGGGGCCCTACGGCTCTTTCGCCGCTACCTTTCCCCATCCGAGCGCTTGTGCTCTTGGATCGTACGCACTGCTCACACGTCAGAGCGGTGTTTGGATCCAATTTCATGGTATGCTTATCCTTTAACTTGGTTGTGATCGCCTTAGCTTTATCTCTTCCTGGGTGCCCGAGACGCTCATGCCATAGTTGTTGTTTTGAAACTTTCGGCTCATTTTCAATATGCTCGAACTCCTCATCAACACCTTCAAACAATGGTGCTGATGTGGCCATCGCGCTTTCTTGCCATGTGTCGCCTCGGAACTCCAGAAGTCCTCGCTCGCGATTCTTTGCAATCTTAAGTGTCATGCCGTTTGTTAGAAAAATTTGGCCGCCGGTTGTGTCCAATATCACTCGTGCTCCTTCATCCGTTAATGAATTTGTTGACAGAAGGTTAACATTAAGGTGCTTTACATACAATACATTTTGCAGAGAGATTTCCCCGTAATCTGTTGATATGCTTGCATCTCCTATAGCTGCCGCTTCCAAGACCTCGCTTCCGGCGGTAATTATCCGCTTTCGGCAAGTTCTCGGGTGGATGAGCATGCTGTAGTCGTTCACCATATGGTAACTCGCCCCCGAGTCCAAGATCCAATGAGCTGTTTCTTTTGTGTTCGAGGGGTCCTGCCATTTCATTGGGAGGGTGAGGGAGCACCACGCTTCCTATTTAGGTTCAGCGAGGGGGGAGTCCTTGGGAATGGTAACCAAGGCATCGCATTGACTGATACCATGTCCCGGTCGCTTGCAGACCCAGCATCGGATTCGGCGTGACTTGCTTGCGTTCCTCGAGCTCGCGTGGCTGTTGTCGGCTTCGGCTTCGGTCTCTCCGGCCCGTTCGTTTTGATCGTCGTTGCCGGCGGTTCTAGCACTGGCTTGTCGAGGGTCGATCCTTTGTGCGGGGACGCTCTCGACAGCGGTCTGCCGGATGCTTAGTGCGGTGGCAAGGGCGTTGAAATCGATTTGATGGACGGTGGCAACCGTCTCCTTGTACACCGGATGCCGGATCGTGCATTTCTGCAGAGCCGAGAACAATGTATCATCGGCGAATGGTTTGCCGAGGAGGCTGCTTTCGGTTTGTATGGACCGGATCTCTTGAATTAGCTTTCTGGCGTCCGAGTTAAACATCTTTGTATCGTTGAGTTGCGAGATAAGCGCAAGTCTGTGAGACGTCTTGGTGGCTTCATTCGTGAGACCGTTTTCGATCTTTCTCCACACTTGGTTGAAAGTAAGGTACTCCTTGATTACATCTAGAACGAGGTAATTTACATTGTGTTCTCCGGTAGTGTCGATTGTTCCACGCAGGGCGTTGATTAAAGCATCGTCGAGGGAGCGGCTCCATTTCGGGTGTTTCTTGTCGTACGTTCCCTCGAGATGTTTCATCGCATGAGGCACGGATCGGAGGAAAGATTTCACGTGGGCGCTCCAGCTATGATAGTTTCGTGACGTGAGCTTTGGCACGGGTTCGAGGAGCTTTGCTAGGGTGCGAAAGTTATATCGCTTGTCACCATCATCAAAGTCGGAGTCGGAATCGGTGTCTTCGTCGGCTTCATCATTGATGGCCTCCAGCTCGTTCTCGCTCGTGGCATTATTATCGACCCGAACCTGGGTGTTCTTGCCTTTTCTGCCTCCTTTGGTCCTCGTTTCGGTGTCTTCTACCATGGTTGTCGGCGAGTTTCGGTTAGCTCGGTGATAGCTTCTTCAGACTCTTAATCAAATGAAGATAACAATTAATATACGGCGTTATCGGGGTCACGATCAGACTCCCTTTACCACAGCCGTATGTTCTATGTAATGCTTAGTTTTCATGATGTGAGACTGAATGACAAACACATATATATACTCCATTCACTGCTCTGGTCCTATTCGAGGCAGGATGTGTCTCTTCATTTGTACTCCTGTGTTGCTATGATACCGGGTGCCACTGTGCTGTCACCATGACAACAATTACGTACCTCATTGTACTTCTCGCTTACGTGAGCCTCCCGTGTCTCAATGTCTCGGCCGTAACATGTGCATCTTACTTGAGATGCCGACGCATCTTCAACTAAAACACACCGGAAACGTGGTCACAAAATTACGTCTCAAAATCCTCCACCGCCCCCCCCCCCAAAAAGACATGATGCTTCAACCTCAACATCGTTCTCAACAGCACCCTCAACACGACTCTCACAGTCGCACTTTACACACTCGGCAGAGGTAATCTAGGGCTGGTTGTAATATTACTGACAGCACCCGGGACAAACATGCAACTGCTCATGTACGAACGCATCGCACTCCAGACAAAAATCATGACTACATCTCCCGCATCGATACCTTGAGGACTCGCTCAACCCTGCTTCTTCCAATGCTTTGTTCGCTGCTGCTGACCTTGCCGCGCCTTGTTCCTGAGTAGGGAAGAGGAGATTGCATGAGAGGCAAGCAGGTTCTACCTTTGCGGCTGAAAGAAGGGCCGACCAGGGAACAACTTTCCAGTTCGGAACTGGGAAAAGGTGGTGATACGAGCGTGCGAGATGGGTGGACATAACGATGGTGATCCCGCAGACGGGGCAGTCTGTGGGTACATCGCAGACTTTGACTCCACATCGAGGGCAGAGGTAGCCTGAACCACGAGATCGAGAATGGCATGCACACAGGGTCGGTGCTGCGTGTGCGGGCAGTCTGAGGGGGAAAGCCATTTGAAGTAGGTCGACGCCGTTGGCAACTTCTTCTTCTTCCTCCGTTGTGGCTGCTCCATTCCCGCTGGCGGCTATTATACGGCGTTTTGGTCGACGCGGACCCTCGACTGCAGGTGGGGGTACATGTTCGAAAAGTGAATCGTGGAAATGTCCTTCGTTGAGCGCCACGCTGAATGTTCCACCCGTCCGCGTACACACGTCCTTAAACACCTTGACTTCGGCAGCGAGATGTACGATCGATACTCGAATGTTGTCTTTCACCAGCGTGTTGATCGTATCGTGGATGTTGCCTGGATCGCATGTTGTTAAGCTTCCAAAGATGGCGAGGATCTCTCTCGAGTTCGACGCTGGTAGATGGACTAAACTGCTCCTCGCCATCTCCAGTGCATTCTGCAGACTTGGCTCTCCTCTCGGCTCCAATCTTCGCTTGTTTGACAGTGAGGCTGTGTGGTCGACTGTGTTACCGCCCATCATCGCCAGTCGTTCTGCAATGCCTTCCCTCGTCCCAATCACCGAAAGCTGACCGATTGGGTTCTGATCGAAGTACTCCATTACGAATTCCTTTGCGTACTGCAAAGTCACGTCGAAGCGATTCGGTCGCATATCCTTCTCCAACATACTCGCTGACAAATCAATCAACAGCACCAAATGACGAATGATTCCACGCTGGACCGGTGCAACATCTTTCAAAGTCCTCCTACGTTTGGACCCCTCAATCATCTGACGCACTGCAGATTCGAGCGATCCAGAGTCATCTTCCGCAACAGCATCCCATGATCGCTTGTAGGTCTCTTCCCATGAGTATCCCTGGTCTTTTAATTTCGACTTGGAAGCGGCTGCGGCTTTGGCTTTGGCGGCGGCCGAGGTCGAGGTTGAGGGACCCGCTTTGCCGTTAGCAGCGCCCGATGAGCGGGATGTGACTGCACTGCGAAGTGCGCCGAGTTTTGGGAGGGAAGGTGCGGATCGGTACTCGTCTCCAGAGTCGTCATCGTCGATAAAGTCTTCCGCATCGTAGATGTCGGCTCCGTCGTCGACGTATTCTTCGTCTGCTGTGCGGGGCGGCATGGTGAGCTGTCACTCCCTTCTTCTCAGCGCTATTGCAGCCGCCGGGGTAGCGAAAGTGATGTGTGCCACCGCGCTGGATGCCGCGTTGAGCTGGGGAGATTCCAACGCGTGCTCCAAGGTAATGGCTAAGGCCGCTGCTATGGATGAAGAGAGAGATGATGGTGATGGTGGTGTTGCTCAGTCCCTTTTGGGAACGTCGAAAGAGAGAGTTGGCTACTGCGCCAAAATGTGGAGCAACACACACCGCAGATCGAACAAATCGGGCGATTGGCGCTATCTAGATTCGGGCGAATGGAAAGTCGAGTCGCGTCTGCGCTTCTCTCTAGACACCATCATCCATCCTTCTCCTCATCTTCCAGCACTGGGCCCTGCTTCCGACCACCTTGAATACTTGCAGTACGATACAGCGTACACATCGGGTCTGCTTCAACTGCTATCGCGATGAACATGCCTCCACCTCACGGCCCGGGCGGTCACCCCGGCCATCCTGGCTTGGGAGCATCCTCCCCATCTCCAGGCATGATGAACCGACCACACCCTCACGCCCAGCAACTCATCCCACAACATCCTCAACAACAATACATGGACTCTCCCAATCCTGCCTCCCATCGTGGTCGTAAGCGCAAACTCACAGCGCAAACTCATCACCACCCACACCCATCTCAGCAACAGCACCTCGCTCGTCGACCCTCCATGCACGGCGCACCTCCTCCTCACCATGGCGGACACCCGCAACATTCTGGTCAACACGGCTTCCCTGGTAGATCACAAGCTCCACCCTTCCTTGGCCTCAACCTGCCACCCACCATTGCAGACGAGATGCCAGAATCCATCTTTGACGATCTCGACCGGCTCACTCCACGCGACATCGCTGTTGCTCGATACGCGCGCAATCACGAGTTGCTCAGTATAGTGTTCGATGCGAGAAGGATTGATACTTTGACACCTGCTCCGTCGCCGTACGCTGACGTGAAGCAGGACGATCTGAAGAACAAAGTGGCCTCGATCCAGGAGGAGGTGATTAAGATGGCGAAGGAGCACGAAGAAAGGTTGCGGGAGCTGAAGGAGTCTTCGAGTGCGAAGAAGAATAAGAAGCAGAGGACGGAGGCGGAGGAAGGTGTAGGAGAGACGCCGGCTTGGGCAGAGAGCGCTTCACGGGGTAAGATTTTGGGCGTCGGGTTTGTGAGGGCGGAGACTCCGGAGGAGCTGAGACCGCCAAAGCCTGCTGCTGAGCCGGCGACGGAGGCTAGTATGGAGGTGGATGGGAATGGAGCAGCGGAAAAGAAGGATGAAGCTGTGAAGGAAAAGGCTGCGGAAGCGGAGGAGGTGAGGAAACATGCTGAAAAGGAGGCTATCGAGAAGCTCAACATCGAACTCGGTGTCACACCTGCTCAGGCACCTGAGGCACCACCAGCAGCAGAACCTGCGGCTGCGACTACCTTCGCACCTGCTGCTCCTGCCACAATCGAGCCAGCAGCGCCCGCTGACATCGCCGCCACTGCTGCTACTACCACCGCGGAAGCTGCCGCTCCTACATCAGCCGACATCGAACCGCCCCCCGCGCCCGTTCCCGAGGTGCCAGCAGAAGCCACTGCCACGACCGCCGCTGCTGAGACAACACCCACCGCAGAACCAAGCACAGAAGATGCAGTCGCAGCAGCTGTCGCCGTGACTGCTCCTGAAGCTGTTGCCAATGCTGAAGGTGCTGCTGCCGTCCCCGCTGCTGCTGAGGGCGAGAGCAACGTCGATGTGGCTGCGTCGAAGACCGAGAATACGGCAGACGTGACTATGACTGAAGCTGAGCCACTCGCTGCGTCGGCGCCGGTTGCGGAGGAGACAGCTGCTATACCAGAGGCAGAAGTTGTGCCCGCGGCGGCGAGTGGAGCTCCAGCAGTAGCGGAAGAGGCGACTGTGGCGGAGGGTGCGTCTGAAGCTCCGGCTCCTGCTGCTGCTTCTGGGGAAAAGCAGGCTCCTGCTCCGGAAGCACAGGCTAAGGTCAAGGCCGAGGCCAACGCCACGATTTGATCACCATTCATTCTTGTATTTCAATCGCATTCAATTTGCAGACACTTGTCACAGACTTCACAACGAGCGTGGTGGCAGAACACAAAAGAGCAATGAATCACTGAGATTCCTAATACCGACATCACAACAGCAGAAACAGCGAAAAACGAGGAGCGAACTCTTAAGAGAACTTCTTATAATCATGTGTCTCATAATTTTTCAGCTTATGCGTCCTCCTCTTAGGCATCTGTTTCACCCTTGGCTCAACAACACCTCTTGCCTGCAACTTGTTATACCTATCCCTGAACAGATTTCCCTCTGGCTTCAAAGTCCTCAACGACTCGCTCAAGTCATCTCCCACCTGGACATCCAACCTCTGAGCAGGTACTTTATGCTTGCCCACCTTCAAACCCGCCAGACCTTGCTTCGCCAGAATTTGTTCCTTTTGCACTCGTCGGGCTTCAGCAGCTTGAGCTCTAGCTGTGGCGAGACGAGCTTGACGACGTTTAAGAGCGGGAAGTTGGAGGATGGCTGCAGCTTCGATACGGGCTTTTTTGCGTGCGGCTGCTTCGAGTTGTTGTTGACGTGTGCGTTTGGCTCGGGCGCGTTGTTGACGGGTTTTGCGCTTGGGTTCGGTCGTGGATTGGGCGCCGTCATTGTCTTCCTCTGCGTCGCTCTGTTCGGAAGCTGCTTCGAGGTCGTCCTCGTCAGCGTCGTCGGAGTCAGAGTTGATGCCTGGCACGTCGAGGTTCATTCCCCTGTATCGCCTAATGTCGTCGTCTTTCTGAAGACGCAACTCAGCCTCGCGTGCAATGATGGTAGCGAGTTTGGCTTGCCAGTTCTCTCGCTCGGCTTTGTCCATCTGTTCGTTCTCCTCAAGTCGCTTTTCGATCTGGTAAGCTTCCTGAATGAGCGCTTCATGCGACTCAAGATCAGGATTGTAGGATGTACCAGGATGAGGCAGATCAACAGCGGGAAGCTTAGAGGCGATATTGTTGTAATCATCCCTACGGAGAGTCTTGGGAACGTGAACGGCTGGTTTGGAGTGTGTAGGTGGAATCCAATTCTCCTCACCCTCCACCGCTGCCTTTGACTTGCCCTTAACATCACCCGAAGTTGAGGGAGAAGACAAACCCCAGACATCATACACACTCCCCAAGTTCTTCTTTACAACATCAGCACTACCATCTGCAATCGCACTAGCATCTCCTTGCGTCCCAATCTGCTGACGTCCAACCATCTTTCTCAAGCGTTGTTCGACTTTCTTGTCTACACCGGCTGCTTGTCTCTGCTTCTTGGCTGGAAGGAGTGGTGCATGGCCGATTTTATTTTGTAGGATCTCGAGAGATTTGAGGGGTCGTTTCGTGCGGGCCTGTTTGGCCAGGAGAGTTTCCTGACCAGAACGATCTTCGACGAAGAGAAGGTCGGAGGCGGTTTGGCGGAGGGGGTGGGATTGTTCTTCGAGAAACTGCTCGGTGGAAGTGAGGTCGACGTTTTTACGCCATGCCTTTTTGCCTTTGCGTGAGGATTGGGCTGGCTGGGCTGGTTGGCCGATGTTGGAGGCCTTGGTGCGAGTGGGCGCCATGGTTGTAGGTCAGCCTGATGGGGGGTGGTTGGTGGCTGTGAGAGACTATGTTCGGTGACGCCGTTTGCTGACGAAAGTTGATCGGCTAATGTTCCGAATTGTGTCAGAGGCTATTGAGTTGGTGTCAGATTGTACCAAGATGATGATCAAGAAGGATTGTGATGGTCGAGGAGGAGGGAAAGCAAAGCAGAAGGTATGTGAGAAGAGACCCTGACCAACTTGCCTGCTTGTTGGCTTGGGATTGGAAAAAAAAAAGTGAGAACGAACAGCGTGCGTGGGCCAAGGAAGAAAAATTCTACAATTTCCCGGATGCTCGTCCGTGTGCCGAGAAAAGCTTGGAAAAAAAAAAAAAAAAAAAAAAAAAAAAAAAGTCAAAAAGTGGCAGTTGAGACATGTGAAGCAAAGGTTCGAGGCTGTGACAGCTGCTGAGAGCTGCCTTCTCACATCACAAGGAAGTAACCCTAAGTGCCCCCCACAGATTTTCCTCATCACAACTAAACTGTCGAGCCCCACCATCCTTGGGACCACCTTCCACTCAATAAGACCACCATTATGTCAGACAAAGCCGCTTCGCTGACCAGCGACCAAATCGAAGAGCTCCTCCTCTCGGCTCGATACGGCGATCTTGAGGACCTTCAAGCCACCCTCTCTCCCCTCTTCTCTAGTGCGTCCAAGGTCGCCGAGCTCCTTGCAAGCATCCAGAACGAGGACTCCAACACACTTCTGCACTACGCATCTGCCAACGGCCATCTCAAAGTAGTCCAATACCTTCTCCCGCACTCCGACCTCCCCTCCCTCCTCGCACAGAACATCTCTGGCAACACCCCTCTCCACTGGGCAGGACTCAACGGTCACCTCGAAGTAGTCAAAGTACTCGTTGTTCACATCGAAAAGCTCGAAAAAGAGAATCCTGAGCAAGCAAAGAGGCTTAACCTCATCTTCCACCCAAAGACCGAAGCAGCACCCGCAGATGGAGAAGAGAAGGAACACGATGGATCAGAACGAAAGTTGTGGGATGTGAGGAACAAGGCTGGTCGAGGACCAATGAGTGAGGCGCAGATGAGGGAACAGGAGGCTGTGGTCAAATTCTTGTTGGAACGCATGATTGATGGACCGGAAGGATCGACGTTGCAGCCTGCTGAACCGCTCCCACCGAAGCCATCAGTGGAGGGGAGCGTCGAGCAGCAGACTGAGAAGCTTAGCTTGAACAACTAGACTGTCCGCCTAGGCATCTCTTAGACGAGAGTGTGCCTCTCAGCCCGGTACAGGCTGCGGGTCGCTCCATCTTGTACTTTTATCTCACCTTTGCAAGCATTTCTCAATCACCACAGCAACCCACGTTTCGTGACAGCAGCGGTTCCTCAACTGTTTTGCCTTGAGGCCGATGTGCATGTGCTCATAGCAGCATTTTGCCTGGTGCGAGCCTTCGTAATCAAGCTTGCAGAAAAGGGCTCGTTGAAGTTGCGAGCTTCATCGGTAGGGTAGGCAGAACGAATCTTGCACAGAACGACGCCAGTGAGGAAGGTGGTCCAAGTACCACCGACGCAACCGTTCGAAATTGACGTGGTACTACTCATGGCCCTTAAGTTTTGAGGCGCCAGAAGTCGCAATAGATCGCCCACAAAAGTTCGTCATTGTAGGCCCAACTGACCTCCAGCCGGCGATCATTCCTATATCCATACAACACTTTGACTTGCCACTCCCCACGTCTCCAAGACACGCCAGTAAAGAAGGAGCAGTGCTCGCTCGGTGTCTTCCGAACCAAAAAAGCTCCCCATTCCGAAACAACTTTCTCTACTTGAACGGCACGATCTCGACGGTGCGTGTAACTTGAGTCTTTGACATTCGGGCTTGCTGCGCTCTTTGGCGCCCACGCTTGACTTCCTCTTAGGGTCAGGTTTAGGCAGATCGTTCTTTCGCCTCATCGAATGGTTCCTTCCGACTAACAACAAAATATTTGTGCATGGCAAGAAATAGAAGCAACGGCACAGCCGGGACACAGTACCGGAATGGGTCTCAAAGGTTTGCTTGTATTACGAGCAGATGGTGAGCAACAATCGTCTACGTTGCTCAACCTGTGGGTGTGATGATGATGATGATGGTGGTGATGATGATGAATAATGGAGCAGCTAGCGATGGCGGTACTAGTACTGCTGAGGTGTGATTATCATTGTTGTTTGTTTTCCAGCTCAGATGGTCTTGGACTTGACAAGGTTCTCGATCTCGGCAACGGCGTTGTCAAGGATCTGCTTCTGCAACTTGTCGTCCCGAAGCGAGTCCTGAACCTTCTTGATAACAGTGGCGGCAAGCTCGCGCTGCTCCTGTTCACGCTCGCTGGCCTCGAAACGAACCCAAGAGTCGAGGACGGACTTGACCTCAGCAGCGAGGGTGGTCTTTTGTCGGAGCTCAAAGACCTCCTTCTCGGTCTGTGCAGTCTCCTTGGCGACAGAGTAAAGGGCCTGGGTGAGGCCGACAACGTCCTTCTGCGACTCTACGGAGTCAATGCGGGCCTGAACAGCCTCGGTGTGCTTGGTACGGGCGCCGTTGAGGATCTTGGAGATTTTCTGTTGGCGGCGAGAACATCGTGATCGATACATGATATGAGGAGAGAAGGACGGTCAGTACTGTTCAAAGATTGGCTGTCGGTCTGAAACCGCGGTTGTAGCATGTAGTTGTCGCAGCAGCAGCAGCAATGGTGGAGATGGAGAAACATGCGACAGAGCTGAATGTCGCAGGGCTCGCTTGCTCCATGTAGAGTCCGGGAAATGCAGTCCTCCCTTTGTTCAACCTAATGATGATCTGTATGGGAGCTCTTGAATCAAAGTGACATCTAGCCTGTGTGTTGACGGGTGGAAGCAGTGTTTGTTGTGCCCCGCTTGGGCAGCAAGCCCGAGTGGATCAGGCAGATCTCCATTGTTTTTATCTCCAAGTAATTCCTTCGTTGGCACGTCCGTGATCGTCATGTCGGCATACGTTCTCAAGATTCGGTCCGCATTGTATGAGTGTCGAATGTGCGGCTTCGCGACCTGCTTTTGCATCAAAATTATCGAGTGCTGTATGCGGAGATGGTAGATGCTAGCGGAAGGGTGGCTGCAATTGATCATGTCGAAGAGTAAGAAGACTGCGTGTTGGTTGGTGTGCGTTTGGGTCGAGGCTTTGCTTTGCTGATCTGGTTGCTACCACTGATGCCACTGCTCACGCTGCTGCTGCGATACTGATATTGAGGTTGGCGATGAATGGATCCTTACCTCAATCTGGGAGTCAGCCCACTCCTTGTAAGGACCGGTGATGGCACGTCCGACGAGAACGGCAAAGATGAGCGAACCGACAAGGATAACAGTCTCCTCGTTGGCAACGTAAATCTCCTTGCTGATGGCGACGGCGGTGAGACCAGTTCCGAGGGTGACCCAGCCGGTCTTGCTAACGAGCGAGTTGCCGGGCAAAGCGTCAAGGATGGAGCTGGCACGAGCCTCAGGGGAAGGCTTGTCGCTGTAGAGGCGGATAGCAACGACCGAAGCGGCGGTGCGGGGAGCGACTGTGGGTCGCGCAAGGGCGAGGGTGGGGACCCGACGAGCAGCAACACGGAACGACATTACGGATGATGAACGAGACTAGGGTGAAGAGGTGGGGAGAGGTGGTGGTCGAAGAGATGTGGATCTGGATAGGATCGCGACGAGGAGCTATCTCGTTCACAGCAGCGGCAACAGACTGAACTGGCCAACGACTCGGAAGAATTGCAACGCTCGACCGTTTGGCTGTTTGGGACTCGTTCGTTGCTCACCGCTCAGCCGCTCTGAAGAGTTGAACGGATCAACGGTGTGCTGTCTCTCTTGCTTGCCCAACCGTTTCCTTCCTGTCCAAGTCTTCCGGACGATTGAACCGATTCTTCTGCTTGAGGTCTGAATCCAATTGCGTGAGAAGAGAGTTTGTATTTCCATACCAGGGCCAATTCAACAGCTTGTAATTAAGACATCGAAATTTCTCATTTCACTTCTTCGAGGTTGGCGAGGAAGGCTCAGAAGTAGCGAAAACGCAGGCAGAAGGCTTAAGGCCAGATCGATCACGAATTTCCCTTTCAATCAGAGCGCGCTTGAGCCTTGTTTGTTCCGTTTTGAATGTCGTTAGCGGCCGGAGCCGAATTGAGGACGACTGATGCATCGGGATCGGCCCTCACAACAAGGATGAGACTATATCGGTGATAGCCGACCGGACAGCGGCGACTTTGCCGTGGCTGCAACATGACTTGAAAACGCCCACTAAGCTTGCTGTACTTGACATTGCACCCTGAAATGACAGTTTGGCTTTCCGAACCTTCTTGTCCAGTATCTTCTGACGTGCCACGCCGCTCGACGCCGGAGCTTGCTTCTGCGCCTGCTGAAGATAGGATAGCAGCTACAATGGTGAACCGAAAGATCAGAAATTCACCGAGTCTGTCTCGTGGCAACGAAGCAGCTTGCGTGAGAGCGTCTGGAAGTAAAAACGCAGGATGAGTGAGCATATGATTCATCGGGTAAAATTAAACGTTACGATTCCTGCTTTCCGCTACGTTCCTCATGTCATACTGTGCAGCCTATATCAACTTGGCTGCGAGCTGTCGATCCGAAGTCGATGCTCAAGCCAAGCCTAGCCGCGGCTTCCGAGGCAGGATGAGCTCACTGATGCCAGACGCAGCTGTCTCTTGAGATCATGGGCGACAACACTTTCTTTTACCAGACACTTGCAGGCCTCGCAAAGTGTGGCACAAACTAGAGTGGGCAGTGTCGAGGGAGATGACTGAAGAAAAGAAACAGAGTGCGCCTAGCCGTTACTCAGTCCAGACAAAGTCCACAGGATAGAACCTCACACCTATATACCTGGGTTGCCTGTCAACGAACCAATTCTTGCCTCTCTCCATCTTCATCATCGATACATTACCCCCTTGGCACCCCTTGGCACCAACCGTCAACATGTCTGAAGCTTACGCAGGAAAGTCCGATCAGCAGATAATCGACGAGCAGGTATGTACTCAAATCCACACAAATTGCTCTGCAAAGAAAGCAAGAACGGCAACGCTGACCCGACAACTTGCTTCTCTCCCTCGCTCGGCAGGCTCGTGACCTCGACTTCAAGTCGGACAACCGCCTCAAGGACTCGTTCAACCCTAAGACCACCGTCACCTCGGAAGAATCCGGCGTCAACGAATCTGGTCTCGAAAAGTTCCCCGGCGCTTCCGTCAGCGTCGGTCGCACTGGTCAGACCGGTGGTGGCGCCAACCCTCAAAACATCCCACCCGAGGAGGGAGGAGACGACCGAAGCCAGCGCACCGGCGAGTCGAGCATCCGTTTCGAAGGCACTGGTGGTCCCCAAGACAAGAAGTACGAGGCTTTGAGGGACAACCCGGGTGGATTTGACGCCAAGCCCCGTGGATTCGACGAGCCTCACCAGGCTCAACTTAACGAGCCTGTTCCTCAGACCGAGCCTCAGCGTCTTGAGGCCGACCAGGAGGCCACTGCCCGCAACCATGCCATCAACTCGTGATTCCTTCCATCTTCATCCAATCTAATGTTGTGTTTTCACTCTTTTGATGCCTCTGTCATGTAAGACCAATCTCACTTTAATCTGACAGCTATGTTGTCGTATCGTCACAGAGGCCCTGAGATGTGTGTGCGTGTGATCAAGACTCTGCTGGACCATCAGACGGCCCCGAAGAACAGCTATCGAATTGCCATCGAACTGTCTGGAGAATGTATTTTTCGAGTTTGTTGAGGTTAGACAGGCAGGTCTAACAAGGCTCTACTGTTCGAAAAATCCAATTTTTCACGTCCCAAAGCGGCGATGTCTTGCATTTCGACAAGTGCGCTAGACGACCGGCTTCAAGGCTCCATCTAGCCGTCTCGACCAGTCATTGCAAAGACAAAGCGCTCTGCTGCCGCACTTCTCCTTCGCTTGGCTTGATTGCGGAGTCTGCTTTCTGCCCTTGTGACTCTGACACGCTCCTCCCACATTAACTCTCCGCATTGGCCCGGTAATTTCCTTCTGTGTCCCGCTCGCATAATTCCATATTGGCCTTGACTCGACTCACTTACGAGCTACCCCGCAACCAAACGAAGCTCGTCTTTGGTCATCAGCTGTTGCCGTGTTCCTCATGACCACAACTCTCCTCCTCTACCATCATCAATCCATACCCCGCAAGCATCGCCTTAAAGCTCACACAAACCCTGTTTCCGTTGAAGGCTTTCAAGCAGCAAGCATCCATCCAATAGCGAACCCCCTCGAAACGAGCACGCCTTCTCCTCATCTCTAAGTGCTCCCGATCATCCGATCTCGCTCGTCGTAGCCACACAATCCAAACCATTCCAGGACAGCTCGACTCACGCCCGACAAGCTGTATCATCACGCAGCCGATCGTCTACTAGATCAGCGCTCCCGTACCGCTCGTCACCAGGACTAGCGACTTCTGCCCGTCGCCTCCTTCTCTCAAGATCACGTTCAAAGCTTAGCCCGCAGTCAGGCATCAAGCTCGATCCAGCAAAAATTCCAGCTCCAGTTGACTCGCTACACAGTCACGCCTGAGAGCATTGAGTCACAATTGATAAGTTCGAGGGATCGGATCCCTAGCAGGCTGTAGTCAGCCGCAGCATTCAATCACAATGTGAGTATTGCGATACTTTTGAGTCGAGAGAGAGAGGCGAACTGATTCATTACGGACATGCTGACATGTTGATCCCTTTGCACATTTTTGCAGGAGCTACCACATCTCACAAAAGCTTTGGTCGCAGCTGCATCACTTTGCAAGCTTCCCACAGACCGGCATCTCGCTGCGTCAGATGGTCCAATTCGGTCGCAATCCAAATCCAGGCACCATTCTACAAGCAGGCAGCTTCCTTGCTGAAGAACTTCCCATCCGACTCGCACATCGTGTCAAGGAGCTCGACGAACTTCCACATGACCTCTCCAAGATGTCCTCGATCGTCAAGGTCAAGAATTGGTATGCGCAGTCCTTCGAAGAGCTTGTCAACTTTCCCAAACCACAACTCTCTGATTCAGTTCAAAAGCTGCTGCAAAATGCTTCGAGGAACGCAGAGCCTCTTCCAGAGTCCAAGCCAAATCCGAGTCTGCTCGAGTCAGCGACCATCAGCGACAGCGAAAATGGCCTTGCCAAAGCACTTGTGCCCAAGAACAATGGAAACGGCAAGAATGGCAACGGTTCAAGATCAAGAGCACTGCTCGAACACCGCTACTATGCCAACCTTCCGGATCACCAGTGGCCTAGCGAGATCGAGCAGTACAACGAGGATTTCACGAAAGCACTCGAAAAGATCAAAAAGAGGCACGATGCCGTCGTTACCACTATTGCACAGGGTGTGCTTGAATACAAACGTTCAAGAAAGGCCAACACGCTCCAAGCTGACGTGCAGGCCTTCTTGGATCGTTTCTACCTCTCGCGTATCGGCATCCGTATCTTGATTGGACAGCACATCGCCCTCAGTCGATCATCACAGCGACCTTCCTCCAAACTGATTGGTAGCGGCGGCAGCTCCAGCAACAGCGGCGACTACTCGCTGTCCGATCAGATCGCTCGTGTCAAGGTCGATGGCAACCAGGAGCACGAGCAGTACGTCGGCATAATCTGCACCAACACCAACGTCGGCGCCATGGCACACGAAGCTATTGAGAATGCAAGATTCGTCTGCGAGGAGCACTACGGACTCTTCAAGGGTCCACCTGTCCAGCTCGTCTGCCCACCAGATCTCACGTTCATGTACGTGCCAAGCCACTTGAACCACATGCTCTTTGAGCTGCTCAAGAACTCGCTCCGTGCCGTAGTGGAGCGGTACGGGGTTGATCAGGAGGACAACTTCCCACCCATCAAGGTCATCGTCGTTGAAGGCAAGGAGGATATCACGATCAAGATCAGCGACGAAGGAGGAGGAATCCCACGCAGCGAGATGCCACTCGTATGGACCTACATGTACACCACCGCACAGTCAGAAGACTTGGACCCCGAGTTCAACGCGTCCGACTTCAAAGCGCCAATGGCTGGTTTCGGTTACGGTCTGCCGCTGGCACGTCTCTACGCACGTTACTTCGGTGGTGACCTGAAGCTGATCTCAATGGAAGGCTACGGAACGGATGTCTACCTGCACCTCAATCGACTCTCTTCGAGTAGCGAGCCGCTGCCGTAGGAATACCTCAGGTCCAAATACGGCTGGAAGCGTAACCGCACCATCAGCGAGATCAAGGCCAAGGAACGTGACGCCGTCAAGCCAGGCGCTCGAGAACGGTCTGGAGAGCAACCATCGCTGCTGGAGGTGCCAGCGTCGCCGTTTGCCGGATTGCGTCTGCACACACACTCGCCCTCGACTTCTCAGCCTAATTATAGCCGTTTTGGACCTGCCTCTTCTGCCGATTCTCGAACAGGAGGGGGTCTTTCATTTCTTTTGACGCTTTTGCCCAAAAGTTGGCAACGGAGATGGGCTCCAGAGCAGACATCTTGGCCCACACCACCAAAACCACCACCACCACCACCACCACCGCCGCCGCGGCGATCACCACCATCATCATCAGCCGGTGATAGCAAGGGCGACGTTCGCCGCCCGCTTTGATCATGCGATTCATTCCATGACTGCATGCCGACCACCAATCACGCTCGGATTCACTGCCACGAACCAGGATCAGCTACGATTTGCATGTACAATAGTTCCAATGCCATCTTGCAACGACATGCATATCACACCACAACGTCTTTGTTTTCTGGTCGATAGAAATGTTGCATCTGAATTTCGAGACATGATGCGAAAAGTGAAGCTGTTCCAGCGGGATGCACGGGAGATGAAGCTGCAGATCCAACAGGGTTTGCCTCGGTGGGTTGGGCGGATCGAAAACAATGAGCCATGGACGTGGGTTGGACGTGTTCGGTTATGCGGATCGCATATCCAATCGTTGGCGTCTAACCAAGATCTCGCTCTCGCATAGCAGCCGGAGCAGAAGGTAGCGAGGGCGTGTAGGCGTTGAAGCTGCTCGCTTGAAGAGTTCAAGTTGGCGTCTGAGGATGCGCCCGGATGATCATTGGCGAGAGAGTTGCGTACAACGTGGGCTGCTAACCGTGGATTGTTAGCTGTAGGCTGCGAGTTGACCGTTCATGGGCGGCAAGTATAACACGGGAAGGATTTGACAGCATCTCCACGGCTCTTTGAGCTCGCGAAACGCTTCATTGAGAACGCGTGCGTGTGTGTCCCGGTTCAGCTATAGCCCAACACACACACACACACACACACACACACACACACACACACACACATATACACAGCAAAGCAGCTGAAGAAAAAAAAAAAAAAAAAAAAAAAAAAAAAGGCGCTATCAAAGCGTATGCAGACTGCAAGCGATCAACACTGTTCAGCTGCTTCGCTCTTCGGTGTCGTGTAAGAGCTCGGGTCTTCCGACTGGCGTGGGCGCTGATCTTTGCTCTCTGCCTCTGCCAAGCTGTGCTTCTTGCGCTCTGTCTCTGCTCTTCTGGTGCTGGCCTTGGTGCTTTGATTCTTGCCTTTGCTGGCCGTCCTGGTGCCTCTCTCTTTTTATCTGTCTGAGGGAACGACATTCTGTTGCATTGCCTATCCGTCGTCGTTCCGCTTTTCAACCCAGACCCTGACTACGCCAGAGGAACGTCATTTGGCGTAGCGGCCGACAAGTCTCGCAAGCTTGGCCTCGAGGAGGCACGAGCTGTCAAATCGCTTTCTCCGCCGCTGAAACAAGGCTTACTGTGTGTCCGTGAGGCCTCTTTACACTTTTCGCGTGTCCTGCTGTTCTTGCCCTCGAGCTCGACAGCCGCGCTCTTCGGCACTGCTCCTCTCCCTTGCTTGAGATTTGCTGTCTGTTACTTTCTCTCTTTCCCGTTAAGCTCACTGCAGCAAGAGTGTTTCTCCTGTAAACGCGATCGGTATCAGTGTAATGCTTGCCTTCCATCTCAACCATACACTCTCTCCTGATCGCGTCGACAGAGACTCCACCCATCTTCCTAATCTCGCGGTTTCCTGCTTCTATCCTTCTCTCTCTCTCCCGTCCGTGCTAGGTCTCTTCAAGACTTTATCCTTCACGCCGCTGCATCTCGTCGACTCTCCGTCCAGTAGCTACGATCGATATCCTCAACCATGCAATGAACAAGCAGTAGCTTCATCCAGTTTCTTCTCGCTCCTTCTCCTTTCTCGAGGTACTGCGCTTGATAAAACAGCAGTATCCGTCATCTCTTCACGCCCTTTCGCTGTGTCTCAACCGTCACACTTTGTCTCGCATCCTTTGCGCAAACGGTTTCGCTATCGCCTCACGCTCGCTGCCCTTGCTCGAGTTACATCCAACCTCGCTGCCCGTCACGACTGATTCGGCTCTCTGATCGAAGTACAGCTTCTCGAACAATCTTCAGACTTGGAATACTGTTTCGGGTTACCCGACAGATTACTCAGCACATCGGAACCGCCGAAACCGAGTCATCCTAGCCTCACTTGACTGCCACATTATCAGCGCTGCTCAGTCTCGCCCACAATGAACGGCATCGACAATGGTCAGACCTTTGACCCGGCATTTGACGCCTTCTTCCAGGCACCTTGCTCCTCTTCACCACACCATCAGCTTCAGCATCTTGTCTCCGACTTGCCATCTATGGCGCACCATCCCAATGCTCACGTCGCAGACTCCTCGCTGAGCGCCTATGGTCATGACGCAACACCCATGCGACCCACCTCCAGCTCCTCTGGCAGCAACTTGCATCTCAACATCTCGGCTCTCTCGGTCAAAGGTGAAACCGATCAGCAACACCAGCCACGCTTCGGCAACTCTCTCAACTTTGCCGCCACCAACACCCCTTCGCCTCAATCGAATCTCGCATCTCCAGCTGATGCAGCAGCCTCATTTAGCATGCACGGCGCACAGTCGACCTCACCGCTCTTGCATCCAGACGGCACATCCGCCGCCATTCCCGACGAACATCTTGGCGCGCCTACTGCCTCTTCACCGCTGCGAACAGAGCACAATCTTAGCAACGAAACAGGGGGCATGACCACCGCCATGCGATCCTACAGCTCCACCTCGATCAAGAGTGCCACTGGCTCACAGAATGCAGATAGCCCCACTTCCGCTTTCGGCGGCGTCGGCAACCAGAGCATGGGCGACGTCTCAGTTGATGATCCCAACGTAACGAGCCAGTCTGAAGCCGATCTTGCAGCAGAAAAGCGTCAGAGCAGCAAGTTCGTATACAAGCTCTTCCGCATGGTCGGTGATCCCGACTACCAGCATCTCATCAGCTGGAACCCTAACGGCACTAGTGTCATGGTCTGCAACTTTGACGATTTTGCCAAAGAAGTCCTCGGCAAGCATTTTAAGCACAGCAACTTTTCCAGCTTCATTCGACAGCTCAACATGTACGGCTTCTACAAAGTCAACAAGACTCCACGCGGACACCGTCAATCAGTCGATCCACAGATATGGGAGTTTTCGCATCCCAAGTTTTTGAGAGGAAGGCCCGACTTGCTCGATGACATTCGCAGGAAGGCGCTCGATTCAGAGCACGCCCGTGTCGAAGCGCGCGATCTTCAATATAGTGTCAGCGTTGGTCAGATGCAGTTGCGACAGCAGCTTGACGAGATGCAGTTCAGACTCGAGGAACTCGCGGAGCAAAACATGGCCCTTCGCACGTTCACAACACAGCTCAGAGATGTTCTGGGACTTGTGTTCGAACATGTTAAAAAGACGAGCGGTGGCAACCTCGGCTTTGACGTCCGCATCCCCACACTCGATCTCCCCTTGCCTATGCCCCCTCAAGGGCTTTGGACTCCTCAGGGGCACGATGGTCCGCCTATCTTTGTTACCGAGCCCGAGTTTGGTGCCGGAGTTGGTCCAGGCGGTCTGCGCATCGGCCCTGGCCATGGCTTGGGTCACGGTCCTCAGTCTATGCACGGTCCTCCGCCCTCGTTTGGTGCAGCTCCTGATGGATTTGGCATGGTAGCAACGCCTCTCTCTCGTCGCGTCTCTTCTAGCTCGGCTCACAGCGAAAGCATGCTCACCATGAATGGTTCCCCGATGCATGGCTCAATGCAGGGTGAAGCCATGATGATGGGACAGCCGCATGGCTTGCCGCAACGTTCTCCCTCATTTGGGGAAGGACAGATGCCATCACCCCAGTTCAACATCGGTCGAGGTGGCACTGGAGGTCGACCAGGCCTGGCTAGTCTTGCCATTGACACTTTAGCAGCATCGGCGGGCATGTTTGCACCCGGCGGCATGTATCACCGCGCTAGCCCAACTTCGGCAGGTCTCTCTGCGAGCAATGCCGGACTTGGCGTGTTGAGCATGCCTCCATCGCCACTGACACCACAGCATCAAGCCATGATGGCAGCGATCAACACGCCCTTGCCACCGTCGCCCGCACCTGGATCCATGGCAGGCTCACCCTTTATCGTCAATAACGGCTTCCCCGCTTTCAACAATGGTCATCTAAACATGGTCGATCAGAGCTTCTTTGGCCCCGAAGATGAGGGTCCAAATGCCAAGGCGATGCGAACGCCGCTGAAGCGTACTGCATCCAATTCACGACCGAGTGTACATGGCACACCAGTGCTCATGCAGACCGCAACGTCGCCAGGGCTTGCCAAGCGCAAGTCGCCAGTGTAGACGCAACGACCGACGACACTCCCCGTCCCAGCTTTTCGGCACATCCTGCGTGCCGTATCAACGGACTCGCTGCCTCGCACATCTTGCTCCATGATACCCGGGTCTCCACGCATATTTAGCTTTGACAGCTTCTTGCGGGCCCACACTCACTGTTGTTTCATTGCCCTCCTCGCCCTTCCCACTCCTCTCTTTGCTCGATTCATGAACTACATACATGCGCTTTACTCTCGTTTCCTCTTCTTCCCACCACGACGTGTCCTCGAGCAGCATTTGCGTGACGTTCACGGTCCGGATACACTCGTTCTTTCCCACCCTTGCCCTTGTAAAGCGCTGTCACAGTACGCAGCTTTGTTATAGTATATCTTGAATCCAGCCTCATTCGACTTACTCTCCACCGCTGTGAACGGCAAAGTGCTCGATCATGGACCTGTGTGAGACTTGATGCTTGCTCCGTTGAGAAACGGACGTTGCAGAAAGTGACGTACGAGACTGCAATCATCCCCGCACCAAAGGTCCGTCCGCGGACGGAGCGAAGTTATGAGGGACAGAACGCCGATCCTTTAGGCTTGAATGAGTTGAAGATTGAAGCGGCACGGCACCTCCTCTATGAGCTACGTACTAGCTCCTACGGTATAGGTGTATGGTAACTGCAATGCTTAAGATTTTGATAGATTAAGACTACAGTAGTGTGAAGATATATATACTTTTGCTTCATCCATGAGAATGGCCATCCATGCCCTGTGAACCAGATGTTTCATGAGGAGCCTTGGCATTTTCTTCCCTTAGTCTTGGTGTTCCTCTCTAGAGGTGTCCTGATTGGTCACCACCAAAATTATCATGCATGCATGATCCTCGGTTTGAGCTTCCAGTGTTTAGCTGGGTCCTTACTTACTTGTATGCATCCTTGACTGTTGGTGCAGAGCACTGGTTTGATGTCATCAAATCCTAAGTCTCATAGTAGGTATGAGAAGAATAGAGCTTCCCATGCTGCTTCCAATGTGGTGACAAACTCTGCTTCTATGGCTGAGAGAGCTACACATTTTTGCATGTGAGATTGCCAACTCACTGGACACCTGTATAAGTATGTGATTGCTCCTGATGTGCTCCTCCAACTGTTTGTGGGATCTGATGCCCAATTCACATTGGTGTATGTCACCACTGCTCCCTTCTCCTCATTTACCCCCTTTCCTAGTCACAGGTGGTAGTCACTTGTCTGGTTTAGGTATTTTAGCACATGGATCACCACATGCCAGGCTCCTTTGATTGGAGTTGTCATGTGTTGTGCTAAAGTCCCCACCATGAACAATATGTCTGGTTTCACTGTGTTTGATATCCATAAAAGCTGTCCCACAAGCTCCTGGTATTCCTTGCTTCACAATGGTGAACATATGTTTCCTCCAGCACTCACAGCAATGTCCTGCATGGGAACCCAGGATTTCTCTGTTGCTCTCTGTAACCATTTGCTCACCATTGCTTTAATGTATGCTGTTAAGTCCAGGGATACACTTCTTTGAGTTTGGTCCCATGTGATCTTGATGCCAAGGAACTCCTTTATTCTCCCATTGTCTTCCATCCCCCACTTGTTCATGATCTCACCCTTGGTGCAATCCACCTCCTTATGACTTGGTGAGGCTATCAGCATGTCATTGACATATGCTGTGATGACTGTGATCCCATTTCCTGTTCCTCTTGTGTACAGGCAGGGTGTGCTGGGCATGCAGTGAAATCCCATCCTCCAAAGGTGTGAATCCATTTCAGTGTTCCACTCTTGGCCTGACTGTTTCAAACCATATGACCCCTTTTTCAGTTTGAAGACCTTCCCTGGGGGCACTTTTGTTCCAATTGGTGGCTTCAGGTATATGTTGTGGTGTAGGTTCAAGTTGAGGTATGCCTGCTTGACATCAACTGAGTCTCCCAGTCTTGCACAGCCACCACAGCCAATACTCCTCTAATCAATTGGATTGGCACTACAGGTGCAAAGATTTCGGTGTAGTTGACACCTTCTCTCTGAGTGAAACCTCTTGCCACAAGTCTCACTTTGAACTTCGTAGGTACCAGGTTTGCATCTGTTTTCACTTTGAGCACCCATTTGGTATCAACAGTGTTCATTCTGGGTGGGAGGTTCATGACCTCCCATGTGCCCATTGCTTCCAGTCCCTCTAACTCCTTTCACATTGCTTCTTCCCACAGCCTCTTATCCAGCCCTGCTAGTGCTTCTCAGACTGTTGGGTTGAGGTTCCTTTCACTTTTGTTGTCCATGGCTGCAAGTCCAAAGGACTCACTGTTTGTCGATGCTCTGAGGTCCTGGCTTTTGTCCATGTCCACAGTTGGCTCCATGTCCATGTATTCACTTAGCAATCCCTGGTCTGTTTCATCAAATAGATTCACTTCCGAGTTACCCAAGTTTTTGGCATCTTCTTCATTTATCATTGTCTGAGGCAATTGAACATTTATTGGCTTCCATTTGGTCCAATCAGACCAGCATTTGGATTCCATGAACTTCACTGAGTTACTCCAGAAGATGTTTGGTCAATAGTCTGGACCATAGAATAACCATCCCTTTTGTTCTAGGCTATATCCTATGAAAATAGCTGCCACCACTCATTGGCCCAAATTCTTGTTGTTTTGTTTTACCTTTGGGATGTTCACCCAGGCAAGACATCCAAAGATGTGGAGAAGTCTTATGAGCCTTTCAGGTGATCTCTTGAACACCACTTCATATGGGAACTCATTGTCAGTGTTTGAAGTAAGGTTTATCTTGAATGCTGCTGCCCTGATTGTGTACAGCCAGAAGCTCTTTGGTAGCCCTCATTGTACCAGTAATGTTCACATCTTTTTGCTCAAGCTTCTGTTCATCTGTTCCACCCTTCCATTTTGTTTGCTATTGTACCCCACTGTTGTTTGCCATTCTATTCCTTTGTCTTGTGACCATTCAAGAGCTTCATTGCTTCTCCACTCTGTTCCTTGATCCAATTGGATTGCCTTTAGATTTCTTCTGGTCTGTGTCTCAAGGAATGAAACAATTCTTCTGAGCTGCATGAAGGCTTGGCTCTTTTGCAACAATGGTTGTGCATAAACATACTTGCTGTGATCGTCAATAAGCACCAGGATGCAGGTGTGTTTGGTTGCATGCAATGCATCAATGATCAAATCTATATGTATGAGGTTGAGAGGTGCAGCAGCTCTTTCTCCACTGCCTTGTCCCATTCTTGTGGCCATGCTTTTGGACTGTATACATTGCTCACATGTCAGAGCTGTATCTGGGTCCAAATCCTTTTGAATGTTACCTCCTATCTTCTTTATAATAGCCTTGGCTTTGTCTCTACCTGGATGTCCAAGGCACTCATGCCAGAGTTGCTGTGTGGAAATGGTATGCTTCTTCACAATCGGCTCAAACTCTTTGTCAACACCCTCAAATGGCTGTGCTGATGTTGTCATTGCACTCTCCTGCCATACCTCACTTTGCAACTCTAGCAAGCCATGCTTGCTGTTCTTCGATACCTTGAGTGATGTTCCATTCACCAGGTGTATCTGTCCACTGGCATGGTCTAGAATCACTGGTGCTCCCTTGTCTGTTAATGCATTGGTTGACAATAGATTCACATTGAGATTCTTAACATACAAAATGTTCTGGAGTAGTATATCTCCATACTCAGTTGATATGCTGGCTTCTCCTACAGCACTTGCATCCAAAACCTCTCTTCCAACAGTGTAGATACACTTTTGGCAGGTTCTTGGATTTACAAGTGTGCTATAGTTATTGGTCATGTGAAAACTGGCTCCTGAATCCAGAATCCAACAAGTTGTTTTTTCTGGGTTCAGGGCCTTCTTCCAACTTGGAGTGAGGGAACACCAAGCTTCCTAGTTGGAGTTGGTGAGTGGGGAGCCTTTTGGGATGCTAACAGATGCATTGCATTGTCTTGCTCCATGTCCAACTTGCCTGCATATGAAACACTGGATCTTTTGCAGTCTATACACAGTCTTAGCAATTTCACTGCTGTCATTGCTATTGGTTTCTTGAGCTGGTCTGTCCTGGTCACCACTGCTGGCAGTCCTAGCATGAGCTTGCTGAGGATCGAGTTTCTGGGTGGGGATACTCTCCAATGCCAATTGGCATATGCTGAGTGTGGTGGCTAGTGCCTCGAAACTAAGTTGGTGGACAGTGGCAACTGTCTCCCTGAACATTGGGTGGTGAATCATGCATTTCTGGAGAGCTGAGAATAAGGTGTCATCTGTGAATGGTCTTCCCAGGATGCTTCCTTTGGCTTGGATAGTTCTGATTTCTTGTACCAGCTTCTGAGCATTGGAATGGAACATCTTGATGTCACCCAGCTGGGTGATCAGGGTGAGCCAGCAGGAAGTTCTGGTGGCTTCATCACCTAACCTTGCTTCTATCTTGCTCCAGACTTGATGGAATGTAAGGTACTCTCTTATTATGTCCAAGAGAAGGTAGTTTACATTACATTCTCCTATGGTGTCAATGGTTCCATGTAAGGCATTTGTCAATGCATCATCAAATGAGCAACTCCATTTTGAGTGATTCACATCATATGTTCCTTCAAGATGTTCCATGGCATAAGGTACCAATTGGAGGAAGGACTTTATGTGAGCACTCCAGCTGTAATAGTTCTGGGTAGTAAGCTTTGGTACCAGCTCAAGGAGTTTGCTTAAGGTGCAAAAACTGTATTGTTTACCAATGTCATCATCATCTGATTCATATTCAGGTTTGTCATCAATCTTGTTGTCATCATTGGCTATATTTCCAGCTTGTTTCTGTTGGACAATTGTTACCTTCTTGGTCCTTTTAGACCTCTTGGCAGCCTCACTGGCACCAGCTTGAGGATTGGTGTCATCCACCATGACTAGTCTGGTGAAGGAGCTTCAGACTCTTAATCAGTTGAAGATTGAAGCGGCATGGCACCTCCTCTATGAGCTACATGTCATGGGGCTGGATGCGCAGGAAGCAGGAAGATCTGTCAACTCATATGAGGGGAGCGCAGGAACCAAGGAATCAGGTGGATCTTAGGATTTGCAGCAGAGTTCACTGAGATCTGTAGTAGAGACAGCTCTATTACAGATCTCACCTAGATCAGTGCGAGCGAAGTTGATATTACGAATCCTGCCGAGATCGGTAGTTGAAGAGACCATGTGGCAGATTCTGCGGAGATCAGTGGCAAGGATGAGTGTACAATGAATTCACACACGAGGGGACCAAGCGCTGCCAAGGAAGGGTCCGAGCTCAGGAGCATGCAGCTGGTTACTGTCATGGGCCTGAATGCTCAAGAAGCAGGAGGGTCACTGGTTCATATGGAAGGAGCACAGGTATCGAAGATCTAGTCGATACCATTAGAGAGCATGGTCGTAGTGCAGTCTCCATGGAGACCATGGACTCCTATGGACTCACATGCAAAGGAGGACCAAGCCCATATGCAAGGAGGGCCAGGCACAGCCATGAAGAGGACCAAGCTCAAGGAGCATGCAGATGGTTACCACTCAGGGGGCTCAAGAGACAAAAGTCAAAGGAACTGTCACTGGTCAAAGGAGAAGGAGCAGTGTATAGGGAACCGGCAAGCAGGTCCTGAGGAGGAGGAGCAGTGTCGAAGGAGTCGACACCACTCAGGAGGCACAAGGGTGCCAAACAAGCAGGATAGCAAGGAGGAGGAGCAGTGATGAAGGAGTTGACACAGCTCAAGAGGCACAGGGGTGCCAAGCAAGCAGGAGAGGCCTCCTGAACAGTACTCGATGAAGAAGGTACTCTCTGGAGAGAGAGCAGGAGCAGCATCACTGGCGATGCTGTGAAGAGGTATATAACCATGCTTTCTCATCATCAAAGGTCAAGTGGATCCTCATCCACTCTACACACAACCATCATAACTAGTTATCACTTCAGCATAAGTATATATTAGTTTCAGTCAGCATAGCAGCAATCTATCAAGGTTGCTCCTTGTCATGGGCCTGGATGCTCAAGAAGCAGGAGGGTCACTGGTTCATATGGAAGGAGCACAGGTATCGAAGATCTAGTCGATACCAGTAGAGAGCATGGTCGTAGTGCAGTCTCCATGGAGACCATGGACTTCTATGGACTCACATGCAAAGGAGGACCGAGCCATATGCAAGGAGGGCCAAGCACAGCCACAAGGAGGACCAAGCTCAAGGAGCAGGCACAGCCACGAAGAGGACCAAGCTCAAGGAGCATGCAGATGGTTACCACTCAGGGGCTCGAGAAGAGCAGGGTCGACAGGTCCTGAGGAGGAGGAGCAGTGTCGAAGGAGTTGACACAGTTCAAGAGGCACAGGGGTACCAAGCAGGCAGGAGAGGCCCCTGAACAGTACTCAATGAAGAAGGTACTCTCTGGAGTAGAGAGCAGGAGCAGCATCGCTGGTGATGCTGTGAAGAGGTATATAACCATGCTTTCTCATCATCAAAGGTTGAGTGGATCCTCATCCACTCTACTCACCATAACTAGTTATCACTTCAGCATAAGTATATATTAGTTTCAGTCAGCATAGCAGCAATCTATCAAGGTTGCTCCTCATCATAGTGTGTGTGTTGTATCACCACTACCTGACATCCGAAGGCGCCCATAGCAGGTTAGCGGTCTGGATCAAGATAGAACCGAAGGCAGTAGTCCACTGCAGTCTGGGGATCACTTCAAGCATCAAGTCAACACACTGGACACTCGTGTTGATGCCACCAACCTTATCACCAACACCATCAACCTCATTATCATCGACATCACCAATCTCATCACCAACACCATCAACCTCATCATCATCAACACTCGCACCAGACCTTGGTGTCATCACAACCTACGCCTTGCTATTGATCGTGCCGAGCTACCCCTGAATGGAGTGTCCACAGAGGTCAGCCGAAACCTACGATAGTATATACAACGAATGCCACCTGCTGTCACTGCGCAACTTGATAGTCACCGATACCGAGACAATAGCTGTCGCACAGTTTGATAGTCACCGAGTATCTCGACAGACCAACCTGGGTTTCAGGCGCGAGACGCCTGACACTCCTCATCGTAGTGTGTGTGTTGTATCACCACTACCTGACGTCCGAAGGTGCCCCATAGCAGGTTAGCGGTCCGGATCAAGATAGAACCGAAGGCAGTAGTCCACTGCGGTCCGGGGATCACCTCAAGCATCAGTCAACACACTGGACACTTGTGTTGATGCCACCAACCTTATCACCAGCACCATCAACCTCATTATCATCAACACCCACCAACCTTATCACCAATGTCATCAACCTCATCATCATCAACACTCACACCAGACCTTGGTGTCATCATAATCTATGCATTGATATTGATCATGCCAAGCTACCCCTGAATGGAGTGTCCACAGGGGTCAGCCAAAACCTATGATAGTATATACCCAAATGCCACCCATCGCGCAACTTGATAGTCACCAAGTGACTAGCTCGTCAAGACTGATACCAAGACAATAGCTGTCGCACAGTTTGATAGTCACTGAGTATCTCGACAGACCGACCTGGGTTTCAGGCGCGAGACCCCTGACAGTTACCACTCAGGGGGCACAAGATGAAGACCTGGAGGACTGTTGCCAGTCGAAGGAAGAAGAGCTGTGTCAAGGACACTGGCAAGCAGGTCATGAGGAGGAGGAGCAGCATCGAAGAAGTCGACACACAGCTCAGAAGAGACAGGAAGCCGGTAAGCAGGTCATGAGGAGGAGGAGCAGTGTTGAAGGAGACAACACACAGCTCAGAAGAGACAGGAAGCCGGTAAGCAGGTCATGAGGAGGAGGAGCAGTGTTGAAGGAGACAACACACAGCTCAGAAGAGACAGGAAACAGTGTTGCCAGTGACACTGGGAGAATGTCTATAAAGAGCATGCTTTTTCGCCACAAGTAGTTGAGTGGAGCTTCATCCACTCTACACCATACATAACTAGTTATCACTTCAGCATAAGTATATATTAGTTTCAGTCAGCATAGTTGCAATCAAGTAGATTGCTTCCATTGTAGCACATGTGTTGTATCACTGCTCACTGACATCCAAAGGTGGTTCATAGCAAACCAGCAGTCTGGATAAAGATAGAACTAAAGGCAGTAGTCCACTGCAGTCCAGGGATCACTTCAAGCAATAGTTGACACACTGGACACTCATGTTGACATCACCAAACAATCATATTCACACCAGGCCTTGGTGTTAGTACAACTCATATCATTATTGATTGTGCTGAGCTACCTCTGGATGGAGTGTCCACAGCAGTCAGTCGAAACCTGCAATAGCAAAACCCTTACTGCAGTTCCAAGCAAGAAAAGTGATAGAGATGGCTCTACTACATATTTTGCTGAGAATCGCAATACCACAAGTGTTGTCACATAACTCGACAGGATTCGTAATAGACACGACTCTATTACCGATCTCAGGTTTTGGGCACATGACCGCTGACACTACATACTAGCTCCTACGGTATTGGTGTATGGTAACTGCAATGCTTAAGATTTTGATAGACTAAGACTACAGTAGTGTGAAGATATATATACTTTTGCTTTGTCCATGAGAATGGCCATCCATGCCCTGTGAACCAGATGTTTCATGAGGAGCCTTGGCATTTTCTTCCCTTAGTCTTGGTGTTCCTCTCTAGAGGTGTCCTGATTGGTCACCACCAAAATTATCATGCATGCATGATCCTCGGCCTGTCAGTGGCTCGGCTCTCTTGCATGTTTGTCATTCCGGTGCAACTTCAACTGAATGGAATGATTTGTAGCAAAAGCACTGGGAAATGTGGGGAGAGAAGGCAAACTGCGAAAGTATGTGAGTCCTGCTTCGATCTCACATAATTTGCCAACTTCACTCCTCCGGATATGCACCACCTAGGCCCGAACCGACTGTCGCGACAGGCATCGGCATACCGGCTATCAGACATCCAACATCGTTTCCCCGTTACCTTTCAGCCTCATCAACCTTGTATCATACACATATACACAGAATGCTGGAAGACATATGTATACATTTGAATTATCTTGTACTTAGTTTATGAACAATATCACAATCGATACTTGTGATCAATGCTATTTGTCGCATGCCCTACAACACAAAGGGAAACGCGTGTGGGCGTCTTAGCCGAGATCTTGAGAATTTCGTGAGCTAGAGCTCAAGCTAACTCCGCTCAGGCGAAGCGTGGGCTTGAGCACTTGCTCGGCATATGAAAAGTTGGACCCTGTTTGAAGCCCAACCTTGCCACGACTCACCGCTGAGTACATCAGCTGAGCTCAGGATCCATCAAATCTCGACTGAATTTCAAGCTGTCAATAACCCTCTTTCATCTCTTCTCGCATCACATACAACCGAAAGAACGAGCATCGAATCCAGCAACATTGTGCACGTTCTTCAATGCATCTCTAGATCCAAAACTCCGTTCAAGCAAGGACTGCTTTTTGCGAGACGACCACACCATTCACTCACTTTCGCCTCGGTACTGCCTACTTGGTGGAGGTTGACCATCAACATGGCGGACTATCGCAAAGTGCCCCGGCCGTCATACGACTCGCAAGCAACAGCATCAGATGCCACTGTTGACGACGAAAAGACCTCACCGATGGAGCAGTATCGCGACGACACTTCTTCACCCAGCAGTTCCACTGCCCATCCTCCCAAGCGCATAGCTTCACCGTACTGTGCAGATGAAGATCTGGAAGGTGGCATGGGCATGAGGCTGGACGACGATGAAGAGGTTGGGCTAATGCAAGCAGATCGCGATGCCAGATCGCCGCCTGCATGGGCGAGGTTGAGGTCGACATCATTGGACAAAGCGAGAAGCAGCAGAAGACCGACTGCTTTTGCAGGATATTTGATCTTCACAGGTATCATCATCGGTTTTATACTCGGTCTGCCACTACTGCAGTGGCTGTCGTCCAACACTGCAGCTCCAGCAACAACAAACATTGGCACATCGAGCAGCATCGATGCCGCCGACAACCTCCCAGACTCATCAACAAACGCATCCAGCTCCGCAGCATCAGCAATATGGAAGCAGGCTCCATCGCCCGATACCGCCGTAGGCCACTATGCACTCTCCAACACATCCCGCTTTCAAGTCGATTTCCAGGATGCAGGATGGAGCACATTCGCCCAAGCCGCCGCCGGAACCGGGCTCAGCCAAGAAGAAGTCTCCTCATACAAGTCAAAGGATGGACAAGATCTCATGCCTCTCGATATGGACACTGTCTTTGGTGGCACTCTTGCTCCTCAAACATCTGACCTGACTTGGAGCGAGGAAGACCCGGACGAGGGTGTCTTTAGTCATGTCGATTGGGCGAGGCGCGATATCTGGTTGGAAGACGTCACGCACGCCCGGAAGCAGAAAACGGGGGATGGGACTGTAGCGCCTTTCGGGGGCAAAGTGCTGATGGTGGAGGGTAAGAATGTGCTGAATCAGGGAGGAAGGATGCTGGATTGGACAAGTTTCAAGTTCTCACCCGACCTAAGATGGGTGTTGTTCTTCAGCAGCGAAACGAATCAGTGGAGATACAGCAAAAAGTCGCATCTGTGGTTGCACAACATTGCGACAAGGAAGACAGTCCCGCTTGGGTCTAGGCCGAGCGGTAAGCCAAAGGTCTCATTCGCTGCTTGGGCGCCTAAGAACCCAAATGCTAAGTCGGGAGATGCGCCTGGAATCGCATTCGTCGAAGAGAACAACCTCTACTTTGTCCCTCGTGCAGGCGAAGATCCTGTCAAAGTGACCGAGGATGGAGCAGCGACAATCTTCAATGCGGTTCCAGATTGGGTGTATGAGGAGGAAATCTTCGGGTCCGATTCGGTCATGTGGTTCAGTCCTGGCGGTACCAAGCTGGTTTTCTTACGATTGGACGAGACTGCGGTCCCGGTGTACGAGTTCCCAATCTACAGCCCAGATCCATACCGAGCAGGTTTTACGACACCGTACCAGAAGATGACCAAGATGAAGTATCCCAAGCCTGGCTTCCCTAACCCTGTTGTCAGCGTCAAGATGATTGACCTGGACGAGATCCGCGAAGCCACCAAGAAGGGTGCTACTGTCAGACCGACCCAGTTCACGCTGTACAGTCCGCTCTCAACCAAGGGTAAAGCAGCGAACGAGGTGGATAAGCTGCTTTCTAGCGATGCTGGCACGAAGGAGAGGTTGGTTACTGAAGTCAAGTGGGTCGCTGACTCAGAACTGCTGGTCAGAGAGACGGATCGATACAGCGACGTGATGCGCCTTATCAAGTTTGACCTCTCTGACAAGGGCAAAGCCACTGCCGCAACTGCTGGTGGCGGTGCGGACATCGCGGGTGAAGTTGTGCGGAGACAAGATGCTCGAGCTGACAAGAGCGGCTGGATTCGTGCAGCGCAAACCATCGAACCTCTGTCACACCACAATCTGTCCCTCGGTTCCACCGCCTATCTCGACATTGTCGTTTCACCCGAAGGTTTTCGACACCTAGCGTATTATGATTCAGCTGCATCGGATCAGCCGACCTTTTTGACGAAAGGAAGATGGGAGATCGCAGCGTTGAAGCATATTGATGCAAAGAGAGCAAGAGCCTACTTTGTCGCTGCGAGACCGACGCCAGCTCTTCGCAACGTCTACTACGTCGAATTGCCGAATTGGACATCAGAGACCTCCGCAGCTAGCGACAAGGTGAAGGAACCAGTGGCGCTGACGGATGTATCCAGGCCAGGCAGCTTCGATGTCAGCTTCGATCCCAAGGGAGCGTACTATGTGCTCAACTACCAAGGTCCTGATGTGCCCTACCAAAAGGTGGTGGGTGTCGACGATCCCAAGTTCGAACTCATGCTGGAGGAGAACAAGATGCTGCGCGAGATCTCGAGTCAGTACGTCAAGCCTTCGAACACGTTCTACCAGCTCGTGCTCAACACTACCATGCCTGACGGAAGTCCAGCACTTTCCAGTGTAAAGGAGATTCGACCGCATGACTTTGATCCGTCAGGTGCGACCAAGTATCCAGTGTTGATTCGGGTCTATGGTGGACCAGACTCGCAGCTTGTCGATGCGAGATGGAACCGAGCTGATTGGCACCAGTATGTCGCCTCCACTCTCGGATACATCGTCGTAGTAGTCGATGGACGAGGCACAGGCTTCAAGGGCCAAGCCTACCGCGCCTCCGTCGCAGGCAACCTCGGCGACTTGGAATCACAAGACGTCAACGAAGTAGCCCAACTGCTCTCCACCCTCCCTTACGTCAATGAAACCCGCATCGGTCTATGGGGCTGGAGCTTCGGCGGCTATCTCACCGCTAAATCCGTCGAACGTGACCGCAACCTCTTCTCACTTGCCATCTCGGTTGCCCCCGTAACCAAATGGGAGTTTTACGACTCAGTCTACACCGAACGCTACATGAAGTCCCCACTCACCAACAAGAAGGGTTACGAAAAAGCAGCGGTCCACGTCAACACCGCTTTCGCCAAAACCAAATACCTCCTCATGCAAGGTTCAGCAGATGATAACGTTCACTACAGCAACTCGGCGCATTTGTTGGAGCTGTTGACAAAAGCGAAAGTTAGAGGGTTCAGGTTTAGGATGTTTACGGATAGTGCGCATAGTATCAGTGTTAAGGGTGCATATAGGGAGCTGTTTGAGGAGATGACGGCGTTTTTGAGAGATCAGTGGGGAGCGGGAGGGAAGAGGGAGAAGGGGAAGAAGAATAGACCGAGTCTGCACAATTCTGTTGAACGAGATGGGTAGGCTCTCTTTCAGTGTTGCAATCGAAGTTGATGTTATTTGTGTACGAAGAGAAGTCTGCAGCCGTGAAGTTGCCTGTGCATGTGCCGCCAGCTGGTTTCGACCGGTCTGGAACAAAGAGAGAGAACTAAGAAGTGACCAGCACATCCACCTATGAGAGGGCTTTCCTAACCAAATGGCCGAGGAATAACGAACTGAGGGTCCCCAACACTGAAGAAATGACCGATCGCACGCGAAAGGATCTTCAACGGACGACCCTGGCCGGCGGGCTCGAATCCTAACGCTCGCCGAAGGCCACACCTGGTGTAACGAGGTTGAAAATGCTGGTAACCTGACGATCGAATCGGACGAAACGAGCAGGCTTAATGACCGGTATCAACTCGTTGTCGAGGAGGAGGGACGCGACGAACGGTGTAAGAAGGCCGGGCTCGGTCGAAGTTCGGGACACCTCAGCGCGATTCTTGGCGTCCGGGGTTTCTGATGGGAGCCCCGCGGAAATCGCTTCAGTCCATCCGTTACGGAAGGATCAAAAGTGCCGAGCGGGGTTGAAAGTGCTGCGCTTGTCGTATGCTGTTGCTCGCGATCGCAGGTCAAAATCACAGCGTCCGCTTCCCTCTCATCTGACGGATGGCCCAAAGTATGTGGAATGGACCGGTGTGAAGAAGACGCCGTGGGTGTCCCGGTTGACTGAGCTGCGATTGCACATGCCAACAAGCCTACAAACAAGGCGTAGGAAGGACCGTCTGTCTGTTGACCCCCTTCGCTCCTCGCGTCACATCCTTCTTCGTCATCATCATCGGCCCTGCCTGCCTTCCATCATGTCGCTGCGAGAACCTTCCCTAGACGTTCAGCCCGCATCAAAGCCTCGCTACCGTCGGTCTTTCAACTCCGTCTCTCGTGCAACCTCGATCTACACAATGCGACCACGCACGGGCAACTCCGTGCGACATGCTGTCAAAAAAAGCCATTAGCCGCTATGCCGGCCACCGCGATTCCAAGGACCTTCAAAACTCCAAGAGCATGTTCCTCAAGGAATGTTCGCTCTACACATGTTTCCTCCTCGCAGGTTGGGTCGATGCTACCGTCGGTGCTCTTCTCCCTGCTATTCGTGAACACTGGGATCTAAGCTTCGTCCTTGTATCCATGCTCTTCGTTGGTACCTTTGTGGGATGCATCATTGCTGCTACCTTTGTCTCTCCGCTGATGGATAGAATTGGTTATGGAATTATGATCAGCGGCGCTGCTGGATTGTCTATCATATTTCCAGTGGTTTTTCTGACTATGCCACCTTTCCCCGTTCTCGTCGTCGCCATGATCTTTTCTGGAATGTCGACTTCGACTTTGGATGCTTTGGTCAATGTCTGGATCTCTCAACGTCCCAAAGCTGACGTTCGACTCGGATTCTTGCACTTCCTTTACGGAGTAGGAGCTCTCTGTTCACCGTTGGCAGCGATCCCGTTTGTCGAGAAGAAAGGCGTTGCATTCCAGTACTTCTTCTGCACCTCTTTGGCACTCGCAACACTCGTCTTGACTCTCGTTACAGTGGCATTCCGTCTACAACGTGACGAGCATGTAGAAGGTGCTGACGAGGGCCCTGCTGACGCCGACGACTCTATTGGGCTTCAGCCTCAATCCACATCAGCACACGATCTCAAGGACAAGTCTTCCTCTGCTCTCGCTAGAACACCCGCCCACGGCAATGCTGCCTCAAACCCGCACGATCCAATCAATCTTATGCCTACCACAAACGCCCACACATTCGCATCGGAGCTTCACCCCGTTCCTGCGCGCACGAACACACGCACCGGCTTCGAAAAGCTCAAGGCGGTAGTCAGCCAGTCCAAAGTTCTCCTTCTCGCTGCGTTCACCGGTATCTATGTCGGTACAGAAGTCACCGTCGGTGGATGGTCGAGCACGTTCCTGATCGAGGCAAGGGGGCAAGGTGCGAGTGCCAACGCTCTCGTTTCAGGGTTTTGGGCTGGTATTGCATTTGGACGAATTCTTTTGATCCCTGTCACCGCCTGGCTGGGAGATGAGATTGCAATCATCATCTACCTCCTCTTCGCAGTCGGTCTCCAACTGTTGGTCTGGTTCGTGCCCAACATGATCGCCAACGCAGTCGCGCTTGCTTTGCTTGGTGTTTTCCTCGGACCTGCCTTCCCGTGTATGATTAGGGTGACGAGTAAGACCATTCGTCCTAGAGCGCATCTTACGGCAGCGATTAGCTTCATCTCAACTTTCTCAGCAGCAGGTATGGCATTGTTGCCGTTAATTGTCGGTCTTGCGTCGCAAAAGGCTTCGCAAGGGGTCAAGATCTTGCCGCCTATGCTGGTTGGGTTGCTCAGTCTGCAAGTGTTTTTGTGGATCGCTTCGAACAAAGAGTACTTTGTTAAGCGGTTCGTTAAGAAGGAGGATATGAGCGAGGTCGAGGATGTCGATTGTCTTGGTTAGACTCGCTGTTGTGGACCTCACTTTATAACATCTCATCTCTTGGCCCGTATCTAATAACGAAGTGCAATCTGATACCTACCAACCGCTTCTCCTCGTGATGCTTCGGTCCTTGCCAACAAAGCAGTCAAATCTTCTTGCGTCCTGCGTGTCATGGGACCGGATGCGCAGGAAGCAAGAAGAGTTGAAGTCATATGAAGAGGAGTGCAGAAATCGCAGGATCGGGCTAAGCGAGAGCTTAAGGCAGAGTTCATTGAGATCGGTAGTAGAAATGACTCTATGGCATAACTCATCAAGATCAGCAGGTACGAGGTTGTTACTACAGAGTTCAGTGGGAATGGTAATACCATGCTAAGTATGACAGATCTCACATGTATTGGTTCGAGAGGCACCTCTATCGCCAATATGGCAAGAGGAGGAAGCCAAACAAGGGAGAAGGTCACCATTGGATGAAGTAGGGGCCTTGCACAACGATGAAGTCGGTGCCAGCAGGTGGGCGCTGTCACAGGGTCAGCAGATCAGCATATGAAGTGTGTGCCAAATTGATCTGTGGCAATCATCAGTAATCGACAATCTAATCAGGTTGGTAGCACATATGACTTGTGAGATCAACCAAACTCTGGGATCCTGGTTAATCTCACAAGTATCAATTGGAATCAGCCTGATCAGCATGTCTCAGCAAGTTGGCCATCATGAGCAAGCATTGGGAGATTCAGGAAGGAGGATACCAGCATTAGAAGGAGAAGCATATGGGAGATAACCACATGCAGGAGTGGGGACTGAGCTCAGCATCATGCAGATGGTTACCACTCAAGGGGTACATGCATACAGCCACATAGGACTGAGCACAGGGGTGACCACATGATCAAGGGGGGCTTGGCAACAGGGCTTGACAGGTGGTTAAGGGATTCACAAGATAAGGTTGAGAAGGTGGTTGCCAGTGAAGAAAGAAAGAGCTGTGTCAAGTAGACCAGGGATTGTCTATGAGGAGGAGGAGCTGTGTCAAAGGGGTCATCACACATCACCAGGCAAAGAAGAGCATGGAGGCAAAGGGGCAGTATCACACAAACCAATACACTGTGCAAGCAGTAGAGGCACAGCATCAAAGGGATTGACACCAGCAGGAGAGAGAGTGTTGAGAGGAGGCAAAGGCCTCTCAGGAGGAGCAGGAGAGGTGTTGCAGGCAACACCAAGCAAATGCATAAATACTCTCATTCTACCATAGCATATGAGTGGATCCTCATCCACTCTACTCTATACTTTACATACTCTTTACTTGACTCATAGTTATGTATCATTGCAATAGCAGAGCTTTGCAATGACACCTCAAATGTGTGTGTTGTATCACTGTTAGGCATCAACTGTAGGTGGTGTTCCTCAACACCTGTGGTCCAGTTCCTTACTGTAGGTGGTGTTTGCTTGACATCTGTGGTCCAGTCAGTTATTGAAGGTGGTGTCCAACACCTGTGGTCCAGTAACTCCCATCCTCTGTAGGCATTAAGCATATCACAGTCCAGATGACATTAGAGAGCATTAGCAACAGTACTATGAACACTCATACTGTAAAGGAGAGTGTATTACTCTCCCTCCAGAGAATAACAGATGTGCCATGCAACCTCTGAATGGAGTGTTCAAGGTGGTCAGCTGAGACCTACCAGTACAAAGCTGTCTGGTTATGCTTAGTTGAAACATACCAAGTAGAACTTATTCAATTGATCCCACCAATACCAATCAGAAACACCCAATCTGGTTTCAGGCGTGCGACTGCTTACAGGCGCGAACGACAGGAGGGTGATGAAGGGGTGCAAGTTGCCACCCAGATGAAGTGGGACTGGCCCCTGTCGATGATGAGGCAGCAGGAGGACCATCCATCCACAGGAGACAATGGAAGTGGTGCCAACGAGCAGCATCGCAAGGTGGATGGAGTAGATAGGAGGGACAAGGAGGAGGAGCAAGGTTGAGGAGGCATCCCAGAACAGGAGCAGTGTCACAGGTGACACTACAAGAATGGTATATAACCATGCTCCTCATCATAACAAATGAGTGGATCCCCATCCACTCTACACCATATATTACTAGCTATAACTTCACATAAGTATACTTAGTATTCTGTCAGCAAGTTGCAATCACAATAGATCACTTCCATTGTAGCACATGTGTTGTATCACCACTCACTGACATCCAAAGGCAGTTCATAGTAACCAGGGGTCCGGATAACGATCATAGAACCGAAGGCAGTCATTGTGGCACAGTGTCAGTACAAAGTTCCTATAGTTATTGATCGTGCCAAGCTACCTCTGGACAGAGTGTCCACAGCAGTTAGTTGAAACCTGCCATAGCAAACACACTACTACATTTTCAAGCAAGAAAAGTCATAGAGGCTTTTCTACAACAGATCTCAACCAAAATAATATTACACAGTACTTTACCACATATCTCGATGGGATCTGAAATAGAAGCATTTCTACTACAGATATCAGGTTTCAGGCATGGTACCCCTGAAAGATCACTTGTGCTCCCTCATCCATTAGTGAATTTGTTGACAGAAGGTTAACATTGAGGTGCTTGACATATAATACATTTTGTAGAGGTACATCTTCATGTTCTGTTGATATGCTAATGTCTCCTATAGCAGTTGCCTCCAGAACCTCATTCCCAGCAGTGGTTACACACTTTTGGCAGGTTCTTGGATGGATGAGCATACTATAGTTGTTCACCATGTGATAGCTCACCCCTGAGTCCAAAATCCAGTGAGCTATTTTTTTTGGGTCCAGGGTTTCTGCCAATTTGGTGTGAGGGAGCACCATGCTTCCTAGTTGGATTTGACAAGGGGCAAGTCTTTGGGAATGGTGACCAAGGCATCACATTGCTTGGCTCCGTGTCCCATTCGTTTGCAGACCCAGCATTGGATTCATCGTGGCCTGCTTGTGCCCTTCGGATTCGCATCGCCGTTGCCCATTTCGGCTTCCTTTGCTTGTTTGTCTTGAGGGAATACAAAGTACTAAGGTGTTGTAGAGGAGGGCTCCATTTACTGTCCCAGAATAAAATTATTCTTGACTCTTTTTTGATGCACAATTTTCTCATGCAATGTCAATATCAATTACCCAGTCTTGGAGAGAAGAAGCAGAGCTTTCAGATGATATAAGACAGTGTGGCAATAAGACATATGGCTATTGAGCATTGGAGTGATGTGTGGTGACATCTAAAATGGTGGGACAGTTTACGCGCGAGCTGTATGTCGACATGACAACTGTTATGAAGTGCTGTCATGGCAACAGTTAGGAGGTATTGACAAGGCGATAGTTATGAAAGGAGACACACGGCCCATGGACATGACTTGAAGGGTGAGCATAGTCGGGCGTTAAGATATATATACTCCTGTTACGCAGCGCCTCTCTCCTCAAAATAATAAGCCTTTTACTTAGACATACCCGACTCTAAAGAGCGCCTGATAATGGTCTCTGAAGCGGTGTACTTAATTTCAACTGGTGAGCTGCCGACGAAGAGTGGCAGTTGCGGTGTTTCGAATATGCTATGATGGATGGAATTCCTACGTTGTCGCGTCTCCCTCAACTGTGGCGTGCTGTGGAGAAGAAATCACAAACTTTGGCGCCTGCAGCTAGAAAGACCCTGTTCCATGTTGTCAGCCAAAGCTTCGCTGAGCTTTCTTCCCTGGCTGGCTGAGGAGAGGTCGCCGAAGAATTGCCCGTCATATGAAAGTTCGCAAGTCACGGTTACACAAACAGCTCGGACGACATCTAAGCTTCAACTTTCCCACGAGCACAGCTTTCTTTGATACATTACCACCATCTGAATCCCCGACATCCATCCTCACCCTTGTTCGCATGCTATAACGATATCAGAAGCTTCGTCATACACGATGACGGACCTTGAGAAAGGTGGACTGCCTAGCCACGAAGCTGGCCCACCGCCTGATGTCTCACATCCAAACCTGGACCCATCACAAGCTACAGATTACACAAATGCGGTCAAACAACAAAGCCGGAAGGAATCGCCATTGCAGGAGCAGCTCAACAATGCCAACTCGACACCCTCTCATCATGACATGACGCCGACGACCGAAGGTGGCTCACCACTCACACCGACGCGAGCTCAACGTTTTCGATCAGAGATGCGCCGAATCACCATGCACTTCACTCCGAGCTGGTTCAGCTGTGTCATGGGAACCGGTATTGTTAGTGTTCTTCTGCACCAGCTTCCATATCAATTCACAGGACTTGGTGTGATATCGAACGTCATCTTCGGCTTCAACGTTCTGCTATTTCTGCTCTTTCTCGGCATCAGCATCGCACGCTACGTCATCTGGCCACAGCTCTTCTGGATCATGCTCTTCCACCCAACGCAGTCGCTGTTCCTCGGCACTTTCGTGATGGGTATGACCACTCTGATCTCCATGTGCGCCATCTCAGCTGCTCCAGCGTGGGGCGGAGGATTCATCACCTTTACCTGGGTCTTCTGGTGGATCAACGCCGCCCTTGCGCTCGTCGTCTGCGTCGGCTTACCCTTCGTCCAGTTCACTCGTCACGTCCAGTCACTCGACAAGATCACCGCAGTCTGGATGCTTCCCGTGGTCAGCACCATCGTCTGCTCAGCAACAGGCGGTCTTGTAGCTGAGATCCTCTCACCAGCACACGCTCGCCTCACCTTGTTCGCATGCTACGTCTTATGGGGCACAGGTTTCGGCATGGCCTTCCTTCTCATGTCGCTCTACTATGCTCGACAGGCCATCTACAAGATCCCACCAGCTCAAGTTATCACTTCGGCTTTCCTACCAATCGGCCCGTGCGGTCAAGGTGCGTTTGGTTTGCTACAGTTCGCTTCAGTTCTCTACGACCTCTATCAAAAGGACGGCACAGCGTTAGTTAGCCCCAAAGTAAGTGATGCCGAAACCGCTCGTATCATGGCTACTGCCATCTACGTTGTCAGTGTACCCATCGCACTTGTCATCTGGGGCCTCGGTCTAGTCTGGCTCATTCTAGCAGTATCTAGTATGGTCGATCTGTGGCTCGTCTCTAAGCTCACCTTCAATCTGGGTTGGTTCGCATTGGTCTTCCCTATCGGAACAATGGCTGCAGCTGCGATCAAGTTCGGAGCAATGCTAGATTCAGGTGGATTCAGGGTGATTGGTACGGTGCTAGCGTTGATAGTATTGCTGCTTTGGATCTTTGTTTCGGTCATGACGATGGCTAAGGCTTTCAGAGGGGACATCTTTTTTTCGCCTTGTCTTGCGGAGATGTGCGATGAGAGAGGCGAGCCTCCCAACTACGTCGCTCCTGCGCGAAAATATCAATATCAGGCGAGGCCGACGACGAATAACACTTTCGATGGCAATCATGAAGATGCGGACGCCGACAGAGCTGCTTCGAGGAGCAGAAGCAGGTTCAGGGGAAGATTGGGAGGAGAAATGGCTCTGTCGAGAGCGAGAAAGTGGATCGCTGCGACGGCTTCGAGTTCTACTTCGCCTGCTGGTAGGTCGAGGAGCCGTGGTAGGAGAGCTAATTCATAGACACAGATGCTCCTTCTAGTTGGCTGTAACAGATACCCTTTGCTTCACGTTCAGCAATCAAGTTCTAGCTCTGATAAGATGTTCGTGCTGATGTAGACTACTGTACAAAGAGAAGGGCGAATGACGTACGGGTATACGTGCGTTTGACGCAACGAAAAGTGGAAGACAGGAAGCTCTTGGCAATAAGTCTTGAGAAAGATCTTGAAGGAATATCGGTGAAATCTAGTCCCAGATCCACGATATGAACTTGAGCCAAGTTCTGTTGCTTGTCTTGAGAGCGTCTTCAGCTTCTTGCTCGAGCTCGGCCTGTTCGGCTCTCTCTCTCGCCTGGTCAATAACTTCCCTCAGCGGAATATCTTCTAACTTGACCCACTTAGTTTTCTTGATCAGCTTCCACCCGAAGAAGAAGAGAATGACGAGCGGAATGTCAAGGTAGCTCGACACAAAGCTGTTCGTGTCCCATCGTCCGGATGTAAAGACAGCGAAGCCACCAGTGAAAAGTATGATAAGGCACATGACGAGTGCGGCGTAGCTGGAGAAGAGAGTCCACCCGTGATTCCAGGGAAGTTCGGAAGCGGGGATGCCCTGACGCTTGAGGGCAGTCCTGAGGCGGATATGATTGAACAGAATGGTCGACCAAGAGACGAGGACACCAGCAGATGTTAAAGCTACTAGCCAATAGAAGACTGTGAGAGCGCCGGAGGAGAGCGACATGAAGCTCAAGAACATGAAGGCGGTGAAGAATAGGACGCAAAAGATGGGGATACCCCAGGAGGTGGTGCGTAGGAAGAAGCGTGGAGCTTGTCGCTTGAGCGCGAGACCGTAAAGGACACGGGTGCCGGAAAGGAGAGCCTGATTGGAAGACGACCAAGCCGATGTGATGACAATGGCATTGATCACGGAGCTGACGGCCGAGTAGCCAGCTGTAGAGACAGCAATGACGAAAGGCGACATGGCAGCAGTGCCTGTGTAGTCGTTCAGACGAGGATCATCAGATGCGACCAGCATACCAACAACTAGAACAGCGAGCAAATAGAAGACTACGATGCGGAAGAAGACGCGCTTGCAGGCATGAGGAATAGTGCGGCCGGGGTTGCGAGTCTCTGCAGCAGCCATAGCCAAAGATTCTGTTCCGGCAAACGAGAAGACAGCATTGGTCATGACAGACCAGAAGCCGAGGAACTTGCCCCAAGATCCAGTACCGATATAATCGACAAAGGGACCGGGGTTCTTCCAGTATCTGAAACCAATGCGCTCGACGCCTGGAATGCCTCCCAGATTGACAACAAGGCCAAATATGATGAGGAAGATGACCGTGAGGAGCTTGAGCGAAGCGAAGAAGAACTCTACTTCACCGAATGCGCGGACGAAGGCTGCTCCGACCGTGAAGGTGAGCAGGATGAAGATTATGATCCAAAGGGAAGAGTTGATATCGGTCCAGAATTGGAAGAGAACGCAGATGGCAGAGATCTCGGATGGGATGGAGAGGACGTTGCCATAGACCAAATTCCATCCGACTGCAAAGCTCCAAGCAGGGTCGATCAGGAAGTCGGCATGACGAACGAAGGAGCCGGTTACAGGAAGAAGAGCCGAGACCTCTCCAAGAGCGAATTGGACAGCACAGACGATGCTCCCGACGACAGCATAGCCGAGGAGCGCACCAAGGGGACCACCGGTCTGAATCGAACCACCAAGCGAGAGAAAGAGACCTGTACCAATGGAGCCTGCGAGGGCGATCATGGAAAGATGGCGTTGTTCCAAACCTTTCTTGAGGTGTGCGGTCTCTGTGTTCGTAACACCGCCTCGTACATCATCTTCAGCTGCCGTGGTGTACAGATTCTTGTCGATAGAGCCACCATCTTCTTCTGCTCGAAGCTTGCTGTGGTGTTCTGCCTCGTGAGAGGAGCTCGAACCGAGAATGGTGTCCTGAGCGGCCGACATCGTTAGGGAGGTCGACGTATGAAGGAAAAGGCACAATGTGATCGAAAGGTGTCGTATCGGCAGCTCCAACGTGGGTGGAACAGAGCAGCCCAGACGAGACTCTGGGAAGGCAAACTCAGGAAGGCCTGTTTGGCCACACATAAAGTTAGCTCGTACAGTAGCAGCAAACAAGAACCAAGAAGCTCCAACGGATTCAGCCGAGCTCGAACTTCGAACCCCACGCGGACATCAGAGGGTCGCACGAGCTCTGAACCCTTTCTATTGGTTGTGGCAGGCTTGCTCGCTTGCTAGAGCTCTTCATTTGAGCGAGATCTTCGACATCGCTTTTTGAAATGGCGTTATCAGCGCGGCCTCAAACGTCCAAAAGGATAAAACCCCTGTTGTTCCGCGGCTTCCAAACGAACCACAGGCAAGAAGAAGACGAGCGTTCTTCTCTTTGCATCGGCGAATTTCACTCGTTCTGAACTCATCCGAAGAGCCGGTCTAACAAGGCTAGAAAGACGACCTCCTGCCAAGCGTTGGCCACGTGTTGTTGATCCCTTCTCGACGCGGGGTTGATTCTTGAGGGTGGTTTGCCATCGTACACAACTCGATTCTTGCACGTCTCTTGTCCTGGTGTCACAATGCAAAGTTAGCGAATGCTTTGAAGTCAGCGTGTGCTTTGAAGTCAGCGTGTGCTTTGAAGTCAACGTGTGCTTTGAAGTCAACGTGTGCTTTGAAGTCAACGTGTGCTTTGAAGCCATCCGTTTCCGAATAGAGCGAGCGAGGACCAGGACATTGATCGTTGCTGAGTGCCAAGTTCTTTCGAAAACTGTGGTGTCCGGTAGCTCGGTCTCCGAAAGTGCTGGTGGAGGCCCGAGCGTGCTGCTTCACTTCTTCTTCTTCTTCTTCTTCTTCTTCTTCCTGGTCCCTTTCATGCTTCGTCCCTGCGGCTTCCTTGTTCATACCACCTTTCTCCGCCCCGTCACGGAATTGACAGCATGAGCAACTCGGTCGTCAAGTGGTCGTTCTATGACCCAACTTCGACCTCCACTCACAGCGTTTCTTCCTCCTCGCCCGCCTCGCATTCCATCTCGATCTCTTCAGGCCCAAAGACGGACTGGTGGACCACAGCACCCGGTTCTCAGCCCGAGTCATCTGCTCATCGCTCGTCCGGCCCTGTGGTCTATCAAACTGTTCGCCTATCTTCATCGCAGGACTGGAAGCTGTCTGGTCTTGTCCGTCAAGAAGGTACCGAGCGGTTCCAACAGACGACTCTCTTCGTCAAGCGAATCAACCCCAAAGAAGGTGCTAATGGCGAAGGCCAGCTTTGGCTCAAGTCAGGAATCGAGAATGAAGGTGGTCGCAAATACGTTGGGTTAGTAATCTCTGCCAAGATCTTGTAATTTGTCTGCTTTGCTGACATCTCTCCTCATTCTTGCATCCAGCGTCGTCGCAACAAACCCTTTCTCAGACTGGAATGTCTCTCCCTTACCCACGGGAAGCTCTTCATCGGTAGACATTGAGATTGAGAAAGTCGGTCCAGACATGCACGTATACTACTCGTACCCTGACGCCAGCGGTAAGCAGCAACGCTTTCTGTTGCGTGAGAAGAAAGGCTTCGCTCTTCCTTTATCTGCCGGAGACAAGGCTCAGGAGGAAGAGTGGTGGATCGGCGCAATGGTCTGTGGTCCGTTGACCGACGAAACAAAGGGAGAGGTACACGGCTGGAAGTTCGAGCTTCTCAAAGCAGATCGTGTTCAATCGCATTAGCTTGTCAATGATCGAGATAGAAACGTTGAAATGGTTTGAGCTCAGTCAGTCACAAATGACCACAGCTGTAAACAACTTGAGTGCTTGCGACCTTTTTGTTCGCGAGCGCTGTTTGGCGCTGTTTGGCACTGTTTGGTGGCATGTGACCTTCAATAGACCTCGGCACAGCCCTCAAGTCGGTAGTGCCGTCTTCGTGAATGCGTTTGTCTTAAAGATGTCCTATTGGCAGTACAGATAGAACATCTTCAATCGACGCAGTTTGTGACTTGAGACTTTTTGACTGGAGGAGCTTGCTATCACAGCACGATTTGAATTGACTGGTGTGATGCCCGAATTCCCTATTTTCACGCCGTCACATCGCAGCCACAGGCCACCAGCCAGAGAAATTTCGGCTTGCTCAAGTCGGAACTGCCGATCGGTGTATGCTGCAAGTTTCACAAAGGCAAACGTTCCTATACCTCACCTTTGCCATCTCGACCTCTTATCGTGCTTTTCCCACGACTCGACTCAGCATCGGCTTCGCTCCGAGGTGTAGCTACGGGCAGTTTGGCCCACAGTTACCATGCCAGAGCCAGACCGTTCTCGTCGCGGCCAAGGCTCGTCCAAGTCGCAACAGCATTTCGAGATTGCTGGCGTTGAATATCAAGCTCCCTTCCAGCTTCCAGCCAAGAAGGTCAATCTCGATGAGGATCACCCGGCAAACGAAACAGACGCCACCGAATCCGCCTCTTCTCCTTACTTTGACGACCAGGAAGCCCGAGAAGCCATCGAATGGGCTCGATCTCAGCAGGAAGCTGAGCTAGACACTACCACCAGTGGTACCGCAGCTGGTGGCGCAGTTGATATCCGTCGTAGACGGCGTCGAGACAGTCAGGTAGCCAGCTATGACGAAAATGCTAGCATCTTCGACGGCCCCGGTGCTGGCGCTGTTCCTAGCTCGGTCAGCAGTATGCGTCACGAGATGGCCAGACCAGAGCTAGGACGTCGAGCCTCGAAAAGCTCTCGCCGTCGCATTTCGATGGAAGGTCGATCCCCGCCTCCTACTCGCAAGATGTCGTCTGCATCAGCTCACAGCGAAGCGATCACCACATCTAGCCAACGTAGTGTCTCACCTGACTCCGTTGCCGGACGGTGCAAGCCCGCAAGCCAACGAAGCGGAAGCGCTTACCGTTTCGGTCGCAGGAAGCGCCTCCCTGAAGATGCTGAGCTCACCGGCTCCAGCCAACCCAAGGGCATGCTCGGCTCCATCCTTGCATCCATCCGACGCGATCGCGGCGACAATGACGACGATGACGCCCGCAGTCGTCGCTCCTCTTCTCGACCTCTCCTCTCCCGAAGACGCTCATCTAACTCTGTAGTTTCATCTCGAGGAGAAAGATCCGATGCAGGACGTGATGACGACAATGAAGATGAAGATTACCATCGCAGAGGTTGGAGCGATGATGACTACGGCTTTGATGACGAGGACGACGATGATGATGGCTCCTACCACTCTTCCGATGACGACGATACCTCCGGCCGCAACGGCATCCTCCCTTCCGCCTTCGGTACCCTCAGTGGCACAGTCGATCCCCTCTTTGGAGATACCCGCTTCTCCACCGACCATCCGCCCGAGGACGAGCTTGCCGGTCGCGATCTCGAAGCCGGAGATGCTTCGGCCTTCGGCCGCTCCGATGGTGACATTCACTCCAACGCGCACATCCACAGTCAGCGTGCCGGGATCAGTGTCGCTGAAGCCAAAAGGGAGCTCAGCTTCTTGGACAAAACTTCCAAGAGTCGTCAGCAGATCTATCTTGCAGAAGAAGATGCCCTCATCCGCTTCACCGCTTATCGAATTCTTGTTGCCAACCAGATTATCTACACAATCATCTGCTGTCTCACGCTTGGAATCGTCTACCTCATCGGGCGGTGGCTGCCCCGCTTCCGCCTTAAGCATGTATGCAAGGAGGTCGAATTCGAGGATGCAGAGTTCATCGTCATCGAAAACCAGTGGGGTGACCTGAACAAGGAGAAGATCACCACCATACCTTTTGCTCGCCCACTCGCCACCGTCTTCCCGCACTCTTCTCGCGAACCGCCTGCAACGCAAGCCGACTTCCAGTCCGCTCCGACCATCAATCTCCCTCCTGAGCTTGTCAACAAGAGCAATGCATCCTCCAAAACTGCCTCCGCAAAAAGCAGCATTATCAATGGTGGCAACCCGGCAACGGGCGATATCAACGGCGTCGATGCGCCCACCAAAGGTGCGCTGCCCATGCTCTCTGGCGTTCAGACCGAACAGTTGATGGAGCTCTCCTTTTTCGACTACCGCTACACTCGATTTGCACTTCACCCACCTACTGGCCGTCTTCGCATGATCAAGGACTGGCGCGACCCACTTTGGACTTCGCTCCCTGCCATCAACAACGGTATCACTTTCGACGCCGAGAAAGATCGCACCACCATCTTCGGTAAGAACGCCATCGAGATCAAGGCCAAATCAACTTGGCAGCTCCTGGTCGACGAGGTTCTTCACCCTTTCTACATGTTCCAGATCGTCTCTATCATTCTCTGGTCCATCGACGATTACTATTACTACGCTTTCTGCATTGCCGTCATCTCGCTCGCTTCCATCTTCACCACACTCATTGAGACTCGTCAGACCGTCAACCGCATGCGCGAGATGAGCCGCTTCTCCTGCGAAGTGCGCGTTCTCCGCGAAGGCCAATGGCAGGTGCTCGACTCGAGCGACTTGGTCCCAGGCGACGTCTACGATGTTGCTGAGCCTGGTCTGCTCCTCTTCCCAGCCGATAGTGTGCTACTCAGCGGTGATGCCATTGTCAATGAGAGTATGCTTACAGGTGAAAGTGTCCCTGTCAGTAAGGTGCCCCTAACCACGCCCAGCATGGTCGGCCTTCACGCAGCTGGCACCGATGTAATCCCCGATCTCGCAAAACACTTCCTCTTCTCTGGCACTCGTATCATCCGCATCCGCGGCAACGGATCAGGTGATAAGAGTGAGGCAGGTGCCAAAGCCATGGTGGTGCGTACTGGCTTTAACACCACTAAAGGTGCTCTTGTTCGTAGCATGCTCTTCCCGAAACCTATGGGCTTCAAGTTCTACCGCGACTCGTTCCGTTTCATCGGCTTCCTGGCCATCACTGCCGGTATCGGCTTCACCTTTGCCGCCGTCAATTTCGTCAAGATTGGCATTGCATGGCACACGATCGTCATTCGAGCCCTTGACTTGGTCACCGTCGTCGTTCCACCGGCGCTACCCGCAACCATGTCGATCGGCATCTCCTTCGCTATCAATCGTCTCCGCAAACTTGGCATCTTCTGTATTTCGCCCAATCGCGTCATCATCGGAGGCAAGGTTGACGTCTTCTGCTTCGACAAGACGGGCACCCTCACGGCTGACGGTCTTGATGTGCTCGGCACACGAACAATCAACCTCAAAGCCGGCAGGTTCAGCGAACTCCATGAGACCGTGGATGAGATGCCTGTTGGAGCGGGAACAAAGAGCGACACGGACGCACGCAAGATGCCTTTGTTGTATGCTCTGGCTACATGCCATTCGCTCAAGGTGGTCGACGGTGAAGTCATCGGTGACCCTCTGGATGTCAAGATGTTCGAGTACACAGGCTGGACATTGGACGAAGGCAAAGAACACTCGGCAAAGGTGACTACCAAGACCGGCACCGCAAAGAACGGCAAGTCCAAGCTCACAGAACGACCACCTGCGCTGGTCCAAACCGTTGTGCGACCTCCTGGCGGTCAGGCCTTTGAGGTGGAAGATGCCATCAAGTCTGGTCGTCATGCCCACTTCCTCGAGCTCGGTGTGCTGCGAACGTTCGAATTCGTGTCCTCACTTCGCCGCATGAGTGTCATCGTCAAGCGTCTCAAATCGCAGTCGATGGAAGTCTTTGTGAAAGGTGCACCCGAGGTCATGGCTGACATCTGCGACAAGGACACTTTCCCAGCCGACTACGACGATCTTCTCTCGTATTACACCAAGCACGGCTACCGTGTCATTGCCTGCGCAGGCAAATCGATGACGGGCATGAGCTGGATCAAAGCACAGCGCATGCGTCGAGAACAGGCCGAAAGCGGTCTTCGCTTCTTGGGTCTCATCATTTTCGAGAACAAGCTCAAGGAAGGCACCGCTCCTGCCATCGCTGTGCTGAAGCAGGCCAACATCATTACCAAGATGGTCACGGGAGACAACCCTCGTACCGCCATCAGTGTTGCACGTGAATGTGGGATGGTCGGGCAGTCAGCACACGTCTTCATGCCAACGTTTGTGGAAGGAGGGCAAAAGAACCCAAGGGCAGTTATCGATTGGTCGAGCGTTGACGACGATCGCATCAAGCTGGACCCCTACAATCTGCAGCCGAGAGAAGTGGATCCGCATGTGCTTGATCTGGAGGAGTTCGATTTCCACGACTACCAGCTCGCTTTGACAGGTGACGTGTTTAGGTGGATGGTCGACTTTGCACCCATAGAGACGCTCAGGAGAATGTTGATCAAAGGCACCATCTTTGCAAGAATGTCGCCGGATGAGAAGCACGAGCTGATCGAAAGACTGCAAGCCATGGGCTGCACGACTGGCATGTGCGGCGACGGAGCCAACGATTGCGGTGCGTTGAAGGCTGCCGATATCGGAATCTCCTTGTCAGAAGCCGAAGCATCAGTCGCAGCACCTTTCACATCGAATCGCGGAGATATCGGCTGTGTCATTGACACAATCAAGGAAGGAAGGGCAGCACTGGTCACCTCGTTCGGCTGCTTCAGCTATATCTGTCTAACATCCCTCCTGCAGTTCTGTTCTGTGCTTTTGCTCTATTCATTCGGTAGTTCACTCGCTGACGGCCAGTTTATGCTTGCTGATTTCAGCGCTCTGTTGTTGAGCGTCTTCTCAGCTCGCACCGGTCCTCCATAGAGACGATGCGGAGGACCTATCCGGACTATACACTGTCCATCATATCGTTCGTATCTCTCTATTTTGCAATACCATGGTGTGCGCACTAAGTCATACTATTCCGCCGATCCTTTGTATTCGTCTCTCACATGCTTTCGTCCAAAGGGGTCTTCCAGGGTCTTCAGGCTTCTCGGAATCATTGTTCAGCACTGTCGTTCGTTCTCACATTGAGTACGCTCTGGTTTCATTGTAGGCTTGCGCGACAGGGTATAAGTACAGTAAGAATCCAGAGCAGCGACGAGGAATCAAGCGTCTCCATCGTGCTGCATGCTTCGCTCGACAGCTTTATACATCTTGCTGCCGTGTTTGCGTGTCTTGTTCCGTCTCGATCGGCGGGACAGTCGCTGAACGCCCTTCACAAATTTGACGACATACTTGGACAGTACCGACTCGAAGAGGAAGCAGAGGATGGTGTTGAGCACGACCGCAATGAAGAGCGCAATGTGGAAAGAGCGCGGCAAGGAGACCAGTCCCAGCAGATCAAAGACGAGTCCCGAAGGTGTGAAGAGTGCAAAGAGCGAGAACAGCAGCAGAATCGTCACTGTTGCCATTAGCCATACGTTCGTGTAGACCGGCTTCCGGTATGGGTAGCCTGTGGAGTACACGATGGACCCGATGACATATTGGAATGAGGAGACGAGAAAGACGGCCGAGTTCTCGGGATTGCTGGTATTGAGCTCGTCGGGGTTGATCTCTGGAGGCTCGTACCAGTCTTGTCGACGAGTGTAATAGAATGCCCACATCTGAAAGCCTCCGCAGATAGCCACCTGACCAATCAAGCTGACGAGCACCTTGACGGATACAAGGTTAGCGGTCGGCGCCCGAGGGTGGATCGGCGTATGAATGTGCGAATATTCGTTCGCCATGGTGACCGATAAAGACGACGAGGACGAGGATGGAGAGGGTGGGGGCAAGCCTCGAGACAGAGGCTGCAATTCAATCTCGTTCGAGGCAGAGATACTGGCGGACACTTCGTCTAAGCGATTCAGAAGATGGGTTGCTGATTTAGGAGCCTCGTGATGCCGGGAGTGCGGTGAGTGCCGGAGACCGGGTTGTTGGATCAGATGGAGTAGCGACGATGGTGAACACACGCTGAAAACTTGGAAGCTCTCGTTTGCCGCTACGGAAAATGGCCTCCACTCGAGGTTGTTCGTTTACGCGATCTGACAACGTCGAAGTCGGATAAATCCGTCTCATGACGCATCGGTCAATCGGCTAATGTCAAAATGCCGAGCTTTGTGCGATCCTGCTTGCCAAAGCGAGTATAACGCAGACGTGCATGTCCATCTCGTTGAGCGACACTAGACCTTTCTTCCATCTTAACCTTCCAGGCCTTTTATAGATGCTTCGGGCTCCGTCACTGCACACAATCCTCATCTCCGTACTTGTCCTGCTCGTATCTGTTCTCTTCTACCGCGACCAGAAGCGCTCAACCTCTCTGTCCATTCATCAACTTGGCGTTTTCATAGATGCTGAACTAAGCGACACCTCTTCTACATCGGCCCCACTTCTCGGCCACATAGACACGATGTCTTCGTCAAACAGCAGCTCAACATGCACGCCAAAGGTTCTGATGGTGAACGACGATGGCCCGCCCTCCTCGTCTTCACCGCACATTCTCGGTCTCTACGAAGAGCTCACTGCGCTCGGGTGGGATGTCAGCGTCGTCCTTCCCTCTTTTCAAAAGTCATGGGGCTCCATGCAGTTCTCGCTCCAAGGACCCGTCGCATACTGGTACTACTATCCGCTCAAGGACAACTTTGATGGTAAGCACCCTGGCACAGCCGAGTCATGGTCTGCTACTCGTCGACCGATCAACCGCGAACGAGGCGAGATTGCAGAATGGGTCCTCATCGATGGCTCGCCAACCACTGCCTCCAACTCAGGACTGTTCAATCAGAATGCATTCTTCGGAGAGACAGAAGAGCAGAGAGAGGCACCCGCTAGCACCACGACGCCATTTGACTTGGTCGTCTCGGGACCCAACTTTGGCAGGAACACAGGCACAGCATTCGCGTTGTCGTCTGGTACATTAGGTGCTGCCTTGGCTTCTTCATTAGCTGGAGTCAAGAGCATCGCTGTCTCGTTCGGCCACTTCACCGCCAATCCACCAACTCTCGTCGATCGCTCCAAGGCAAGAGGTCCTGGTCTCCAACCAACGGAGTTGCGGAGCATCGCAGCACAGGCCAACAAGCTCTCAGCTGACCTCATCCAGCGCCTGTACGTCAACTGGGACAAAGAACCCGACGTAGGATGCTACAGTATCAATGTTCCGCTCTGCGAGACAGTCACAAAGCCCGAGGTCGTCTGGACGCGCATCTGGGAGAATCGCTACGGTCCACTCTTTGCTGCCGAGTCCACGGCCAAATATCTGGCTCCACCAGCTCCACAACCTCCAACAGCACCGAAACCGGAAAATGTACTCCACTTTGCACCCAACATGGCATCCCTGCTCGGTCCAAAGAAGCTACCTGAAGGAACAGACGTGTGGGCTATCCTCAACGGTTTCATCAGCATCACGAGGTTGAGACCTAACTTCATGGAGGTGGACAAGGATGGAAGAGGGCTGGATGTGCCCAAGATTGCTACTGGCGAAGAGGTGAAGCAGCAGGGACAGACGAATGCGGCTCAGACGGATGCTCAGCCAGCCCTTGAGCAGAACTTGCAAGATGGTCAGGAGGTCGGTAAACGATGGCGTCTGTAGGTCTTCCTCGCTCTCATTGTGCATCTATTCAGACCGAAATAGAAGCAACACTGTCATCATCATGATTGGCTCTTCATGCGTATTCGGTCGATCATTTAGATGCTGAACAGTAGCTGTGATTATGCCTTGTACTATTGCGCTGTTGACATGGTTTCGTTTAGACATCGGGCTTGTCGGGACCAGACTGAGAAGAGTGGACCTTCTTGTGGGTCTCATTGGCTCCAGCATGCATGTGCGGCTTGTTGGCTGCATAACGATGTCCTGTTCGTGTCAAGAAGAGCGAAGCATCAATCTCGTGCTAGTTTTCGAGCTAAGTGTGTCAAATGCTGGAGGAACTGTGAGAAGGAACACTTACATGAGCCTGGGTCTCCTTGCGGATAACATCGCCTCCTCGGTCGCCAGTGTTCACCTCGTAACGGCCGGCTTCAGGGCTGGGAACAACATTGACGGGCTCCTTTGGATCGGCCTTCATGTTGCCGCCTTCGAGCGAGTAATCTCCCTCGCTTACACAGTCCAAAGTTTGCATATCAGAAACAACAGAGCTGGATTTCAACAACAAATGCAAAGAGGAACGAATGACAGACAAAAGATGCAGATACAACCGAGTCAGAGAACAAGACCATGGACGAAACGATTAGATGCCTGGCACGGATCCAAGCTCAGGTGTTCCCTCGGAATGAGGCTTGGAGTGCTTGGTTTCGAAGAAAGCCTTTATGGAAGGGATCCCCTTCGCTTCATCGTTTCGCTTCTTGTCGAAGCTCTGGTAAGCCTTTGCGACATGGTCGAAGGTGAAGCAGTGAGTCAAGATCATAGTAGGACCAAACTTGCCCGGCGCAATGTACTCGTTGATGACCTTCTCCACGTAGGCCTGAACAGGTGCTTGGCCGTTACCCTTCAACGTGATGGCCTTCTCCATCAGAGCGCCGATAAGGGATCCAACGCACAGACCAACATAGTCGGCAATGACGCTGATGCGACCGTACTTGCGAGTGGCTAGAATGCATTTGTTGAGCGTCTCGGGGATGCCAGTCTCGAGCGAAAGCGTCTGTATGGCCTTGTGCAGCAACGACTTGGAGTAGCGGCAGCCAGCAGCGTCGAAGGAGACATCGACACCGTCAGGAATCTTCTTCATCGCTTCCTCAGCTACCTTAGAGGTGTGAACAAAGTTGATGTCCTCGACGTCGAGACGGTCTGTAGCCCACTGAAGACGAGGAGCGACATTGTCGATAAGGATGACCTTCTTGGCGCCAAAGACCTTGGTGAGCCACTGAGACATGAGCTGACCGATAGGACCGGCACCTCAGATGGCAGCGGTCTCGCCTTCCTGAAGCCAATATCGACAATACTGTGGTAGGCGGCGGGGGTCACATCCGCTAAAAACAAAGCCTACTCATCGGGGACCTCGTCGGGAAGGTGGATGCAGTTGACGTCACCGAAAGGAACGCGGAAGTATTCGGCTTGGGTGCCGGCGTAGCCACCGAGAAGGTGAGAGTAGCCAAGGATCCCGCCGAGTTTCTGTCCGTAGAGTTGCTCCGTCTTGCCGCTCTTGTTGGTACGGTCGCACATCGAGAACTGCTTGGCTTTGCAGTACTGGAAGGTGCCACAGGCGATCGAGAAGGAAGCAACCACGCAGTCACCAGCCTTGAACTTGGTAATCTAAGCATCAACGTGTTCAACAGTACCGACACATTCGTGGCCGAGGATCTGGGCTTTCTCGAGGTCAGGAATGTCAGCGGGGTCGGTGATTGTGGGCTTGTCTACGGTAGAGACGCGAACATCGCGCTTGCCTTGGTAGTTCAAGGCATGCATGATGGACTTGCCGGGCTTGTAGCCATCTGCAGAGGCGGTAGGGAGCTTTTGAGACGTAGACATGATGTGCAAAAGTGCTTGGGTATTAGTTGCGATGGTGTTGGAAGCGGCTTTGAGACAGAATCAAGGCAGAGGCTAGCGAAGGGTTGGGAAGAGTCTCGTTTTCTTTGGCTCGATGCGACCCTGTACATCTATATATCTTCTGGCCTCATTCTGAACTGAGCCAAACCCTGAGCTCGTTCACATTGCTGAATGTTGCAAAGGTAGCAGACGCTAGAGCTCAGCCGGTCGGCGCAAAACACACATCTCCGCTTTGACCTGACAAGAAAGGGAGATGAGACACCACAGGCTTAGTGACTGCTAGGACGAGTAGTCGTCGACTCATTTTGCAGGGACGTGTCCAGAATCGCAATCGCTTACCGGACGAGCCCTGACAACGATGCAGCGCGAGGAAGGTGCAAAATCAAAGGCTGACTGTCGTGTGACACGTGTGGCGGGATGCTTTCTCAGGGTCTCTGTGTTGAAGATATCCGAGCACACCAGAACGACTCTTTTCTCTATCTTCGGTGACAGCTGCAAGGCTGTTCTAGAAACCGAGCAAGCAAATGTCACTCAGGGCAGGCGTGTCAATGGAAGGTCAAGGGGGTTCGCCTACCGATGACGACCCATGACGACCCAGCAATGGTGCTGGACCCTAAGAATGCTCACCGTTCTAGGGAGGAATTGTGGTTCAGGAAAATGGACGCAAAAATTAAAGGTCATGGAAAATACGGTAAATAAAATTTCTGACGCTGTTTCGTGATGATGTGCTTTGCTATACTGTATGTGTGGGTATCTGATGCATGATATGCGGACGGCGAGAACTTGTTCTTTCAATCGCTCCAGTCGGACTCGTCTTGCTGCTCGCGTAAAGGGACTGGTGAGAGAGGTCTGGGTCGTTTGCTCTGGTGTGAAGAGGAAACGCCGTGTGACGCTTCTGATGGGTTCGTGGTGTGCTTTGGTCGCTTTTTGCCACCTCGTCCCACTGATCGAGGCGAAGACGAACTGTTCTCTTTGGAAGCGAGCTCCTGGGCGATATTTTTTGCTAGAAGTATGAACTCGGCATTCCTTTCATCCGCCGATTGGGCAGGCCAGTCGCCAGCAGCAACTTTTGCTCGCTCAAACACGGCAATCTCGGTGGGGTCAGTTCGTAAAAGCGAGTCGAGTTCCTTCGCATCGAACAGCCATTGGTCAACCTGTTCGTTAGACAAGAGATCGATCGGATGTGTTTCAGCTAAGGGGCCTTCAAGTACGCCGGCTTGTTGTAGACGTGACGCGATGCTGGGCCAGATAGCCGCATAATCGCGAGCTTGGGATGAAACGCTGATCCGAATGTCGTCGCAGTCTCGCCCGTCTCTGATTGCAGTGGGAGCAGTTGCAAGGAAGCAAGTTAGCTCGTCTTTGTCCAATTCATCGTCAGGGCCGGCCTCACGATCCCTGCTGTCAGACGCTCCTTCGTCGCTGCTCAACGCCTGTATTGTCGGAGCGTCGGCTGCCTTTGGCTGTGATGAGACCTCGTTGGCCCCCTGCTTCGGATCGTCCTGCCAAATTTTGGCCGAAACCGCCCGCCACACGTGCAGTATGTCAAGCACATGAGCCAAAAGCTCGCGACGAACCATGTCGGTGATGCTCGTCATTGAGGTGTTCGTGTGTTTCTGGACCCTTTTGAGGCTCTTCTTTGCGTGTCCTCGATGGGTGATCGTCATCATTCCGGAAAGCCAGGGGATCTTGGAAGCCTCTTGTCGCAAAGCTTGACATATTTCACTGTGCAAAGCAATGGTAGCCTTGCTGGCAAGGTCTTCACTACTGAGCTGAGGTACTGCTTTGCTGCCTTTGTGGGAAGGATTGAACTGGAGGGCGTGATGGGTGTAACGAAAGATCTCGTAGATGGGCGCAGGAGACTTGAGGTGAGACTCGATCGCGACAACAACGATGGCAAACGCAGCAAGCTGAGGCTCGGTGGCGAATCGAGACCGCTTAGGCCACCAAAAGCTGCAGAGATCCATCGCAGAAGTTTCGATGGCCTCGAATGGCGTGTTAACAAGGCTACGAGTCGGATTAGAGTTGACCTGGGGCGTTGAGGATCGAAGCGGCTCTAGAAACTTGGCGACTGCTTTGCCGAAAAGAGGCGAGCCGCGGTTGACAAGATGAAAGTGGAAGAACATGAGGATGCGATGGACGTAAGGGTCGGGATTGGCGAGCTTGACGTGGCGGACTGCATCTGCGACGAGAAGTTTGAGCAGTCGAAAGGAACGCTTCACGTTGGGTGTAGGCTGATGCGCTGCTTCTGATACGGTCTCAATGTCGACATGAACCCCTTCGCGTCTCAGCACAGCATAGCAGCACGCAGTGGCTAGCAAAAGGGAAGCTTGTCCCCATTTGACCCGGCGAGGGAGCAGGAGAGAGGGCACACCCTCATCGTGACCATTTGCTATCGCGTCCGTTGATGAGGTGGCTGGTGCTTCCCTCCAGGAAGCCTCACGAGCGCGTTGAAAGAGGAACTCGACCGCAGAGAAGAGACCAGAATACCCCAGAGTGGCCAGTGTGCCTTGAATGCGAGCATCGACTTCGGGCTTGCGATGATACTCGTTGAGCCGCCGTGAGTCCTGGAGAGTGTTGGACCAGAGAGGCCGCCCTGATGGCCCTACTAGGGATTGGATCGACGAAGCAGGTAGCCGATGATCTACGGATCCACCTAGAGAATAGGCAATGTCATGTGCACTGGTTGGGTTGTAAATCTGCAAGTCGTCGAGCACAGCACCACACTTGGAGCAGACTTCTTGACCTACGTCTGCGATGAAGCGGAGACCATCACTTGATCCGCAGTCCGGGCAGGCTCGCTGCATGGCTTCAGCGCTGTTGTCACTTCAGACCTGCAGTAATCCAAGGAGGCGGCGACGGTGGCATTGCGACGATCCCTTCGTTGTCTTGTTGATCGAGCCTTACCGAAGTGCTTAGTCTAAAAGGTGAACTTCATGTCGGCGTTTTCGCGCTTGTTTTGGCGGTGCTTTTTTTATTGGTTTTTAAGATGTTACGCCTCTGTAACTGACATGCTTCAAGTGGGCAGAGAAATCAAGTCACGTTACACGAATATCCTCCGAAAAGAAGAATTTGAGAAATACAGCAACTAATCGTGAGAAAGCGCGTCTGTTCTGCATTGCGGATCTGTGTTACATCTCTGCACTTTGTGTGATGGTCTTTGCTTCCGCTTCTTCTCTCTATACTTACCACACAACAGTCGTCCCCCCCCTTTCGGCCTGATTCGCAAGGCGACATCAGCCCCAGCTTGCTCGCTCTACTGCTCTTGAGCGGGCAGATTAGGCTTCGATCATCGGTCTCCGTCGCACTGTCATTACCCTCAACAACGCGCTCCGACTTTGACTGAAACAAAAGCCTAGCATAGTTACATTGACCGCAAGACCCACACGCTCACCAGCCTTTGTCCTTCTCAACGGCTACTGGATACCTCCTCAGATCGACGCTGTCGAGCGCACATCAAAGACGATACGCAACAGCTGATATAGCTTTGTCTTTGCGTCAGCATCTCGGCTGTCCATCCAGCGATACGGGGTCCGACCACGATCGGTCCCCTCACCAACGATCAAAGCCGACCGCAACCGACCGGCTTCGAACCTCTCCAAGCTAGAGATCCGATAAGGTGGAGCCCATGCGACAATAGCGTTCAACCTCCATCCGCATCCCATCCACCGATCCGCCGCCTCGACCCCACATTTCATCTTGGCCGCATCATTTTGCTTGGCAGACCTTCCATCTCATGTCGTATCCACAGCATCCGTCCCCTGCGGGAGGACCGCAGTACATGGCGCCAAGTCCTGGCGTCATTCGTAGTCAGAATCTGCCTTTCCTCCCCTCGCAGCCTCATCAGATGCCACCATCTGGCCAGTATCCGCATCCGCAGCCAGGCTTTCCCTCCCACCAACAACAGCCTTATCCCGTCAACTCCAACCAGCACAGACCCATCGCCTCGCTGCCCTTACATGCTCGCCACATGCCCGCCCCTCAAACTCCCTCCTCACGTCCACAGCCGGGCGCAGCCAGACCGCACACTGCAATGTCGATGCTCCAGCAGCGCCCAGGCTCCGCAAAAGGTCCTCATGCCTTCGCCGATCCTTCCGCATCCTTCAAGCGTCCCAAGATGGTTGGTGATGGCTACGAAGCGCCCTACCTTCTGCCTGGCCCCAGCAATCGCATTCTTCTCTCGCTCAAGTCTGGTTTGCCTAGTCAGATAGACTGGGCTCTCTCTCGTCTCGTCCTCCTCACCGCCAATCACCGTGATCAAGCAGCGCGCGACTTCACCTTCGACAGCGTCCCTGGCCTCGCCGACGCCCTGCTTTCTTACGTGCGCAGGATTCATGCCGCTCTCACTGGCGAGCATCCTTCTAAGTGGGATGCCTCCTTCTTCGAGCAGCCCTCAGAAGCTCCCGACGTCGGCATCGGCGCTCCGGGTGATGCCGGCCATCAGGGCACTTCAACGCGTCAATCTATTCCTACAAAGCCACCTTCCCACCTCGCCCTCGCCAAGCTCACTTCTCCGTCGTCAGACTCTATCCTTTCATTCAATCCCTCGCATGATCCTTCTCATGTCGTCTTGATGCGCAGGGCACTCGAGGCCGCTCTAGCACTTCGAAACCTCGCCACCCACAGCTCTAATGCACGCAGCTTGGCTTCCATCAAAGGCATCTATGCCTTCATACGTGACCTACTACAACTTCCCAGCACAGCAGTTCAAATATTGCAACAATCGCAGACAGATTCGGGATCGGCACACGAAGATGGGTGGCTTGAAATCGAGGGGATTGCCGAACTGCGGCTCTACTTTCTCGACATTCTCGAAACATTGGCGCCAAGACTCACGCTGACTCGACGCGCAACAAGCGGTGCATCAGCGATCTCTGCTTCTACTACACTCAACCGTCACGAAACCGCTTTGACCACTCCGAGAACGGTAAACGAGGACGCCACTTCTCCGGCAGATGTCATCTTCGCGACCCTTCTTTCCCTGGCTCTCCATACCAACGACCGTTCGTTTTTGATAGGTTCGTTGCGGTGTCTCGCCACCCTGGCAGCAAACGAACGCAACGAAGCGGCCTTTGTCGAAATCACGCTTCCTAATGGACAGCAATCTCCTGGCCTCCTACAACGTTGCGTCGAGCTGCTACCCTTGACTCAGGACACAGATCTGCTCGAGGCTGCGCTCGATTTGCTTTACCAACTTGTCTGCATTGGCAACAATGCCATCAAGGTCGCCACTGCGCTCAATCTGGAGCCACTCCGCCCCCATTCGCCTGCATCTCGAGGAACCAAGGAACGCAACGGCAGCGCCGATTCCCACTCTGCAAATGCAAGCAATGCACGTGCCACCGCCAAGACAGCCGCGCTGGTCCGTCTGCTCTCCCGCAATCTGCAGCTTGGACGTTCCATGTGGGAGCGCTCCATGCCGCTCAAGATACCTCAGCGATGGCTCGGCAGCATTCCGAGTCGTCAGGTTGAGGCAATGCGAAGGCAACGCGAGCTCCACTTCAGGATCGCCAACGAGACGCCTCAGGAACGATCCAAGCGCAAGAGACTTACACGGCAGGAGCGACAGAGTCTGGCCGGGCTACAAGAGCCTGAACGTGGAATTGCATGGATGAAGTTGCTCTTCCAGCGCAACCCGGACAAGGAAGTGACGCAGATGGAGTTCTGGACCGCCTACAAGGAAGAGTTCCAAGGTGATGCCGTTGCACTGCAGCCAGCGGCCGAACTGATCCGTGCGGTCGGCATTGTATTCCCGCAAGCAGCTGCCATGGTGGTGCCCAAGCAGGATGGCCAACCGCAACGCTTCGTGATTCGAGGGATCGATGTCAAGGAGCGCGACATTGATCAACTCGAACCTTTCCGCTGTCGCTGGTCGACGTGTTCCTCGCCCGCGACGAGTACTTTGGAAGCGCAGAAGGGTCACGCCAAGTTGCATGCACAGTACGCCTCGGACGGTCGTTGCAGATGGAAAAGCTGTGATTACGATGCCAAGAGCGATAAGACAGCATCAGAGGAGGAGCAGACGCAAGTGCTGGTTGCCCACGTTCTCACACATATCAAGTCGGCGGATGCTGGGAGAGCTGATGCCAAACGAGACGGACGCCCAAAAGTGGTGGTTGATGATGATCTACGTGTCGTCTCAAGGGCTGAACACACTGGCGAAGCGGCGAAGCTGATCACAACGAAGACTGCCAACGGAGCACGAGTTTTGCGCGGCAAGCGAGATCCGGATGGCGTCGAGATCACGTTCACTATCGACAAGGCTGTCGGTGGCCAGAACGGCGTTGATGCAAATGGTGCTAGCAACGGTCATCTAGCTCCCAGCAACGCGACGCCTTCGAGCGGCACGCTGGACAACCCAGGCACGTACGTATTTGATGTGACGCGAACGCCATCGAGCGGCAACGACGACAACTTGTCACCACAGGGACCTGCGTTCACCTCGATCTTGATTCTTCGTATGCTCGCAAGGCGTGCTGCCTCGCTATTGCAGAAGGCAGGATCCAAGCGAAGCAATCCGAGCGAGGATGACGAGGTCGCAGCGACGATCCGTGGGCAGGGCGACGAGAAGTTTGGATTGCCATTGCCGGCCAACTTCAGCTCCTCCGACCGCGCCAAGCAAGGGGAGTCTGGGGATGGAAACGCTCAAGATGGCGTTGATGCCGCAGGATCGATGATGTGTACAGAGGAAGACTACGAGACGACTGAGACATGGGCCGTCGAAGCAGCGACGCGATTGCTGGACGCTGTAGAAGGTGTCGAAGAAGATCTTCTGCATCACTCCTCGCAGAACGACATCTTGTCCTCCTACATCAACGAGACTCTGTTGGAACTTTGCCGTCGTCCTGCGGCCTCTTCAAGCCGAGAGAATTCTAACGGGCAAGTGGATCCGCAGGTTCTGCGAGACGAAGCCTCGCTACTGTAACGGGTGCATCATTATCAATATCAATATCAGTGAATAGAGGCTAGAGCAGTGGATGATGAAAGCGAAGCTGGCCATTGAGTAAAGAGGAACGCGCTCGATGTTGTGTTGATGTCGCTTGAAATTGCAGAGTGAGAATGTGGCCCAAATTGAAAGAGCAGCAGCTGGAGCATGTGGAGACTGCTACTTTTGGACTCAAATTGAAGAATGCCAAGGTTATACGCTGTCTGGAGCTACCAGCAAGCTCATGTCCACAGGCATACATTCTTGAGAAAGGTCTTAAATTTCTCACTCATTAGTTACATCTTAATGGTCATATATATACTTTGTCACCACCTTTGATCATGCCCAAATGAGATGAGCTATCTTCTATATACACCTGTGTTGTCACCTTTTGCAATATAGCACATGATCCATTGGTATGACAACCCCCATGTGCCTCATTGTCTTCATCACCTGTGCATGTTCTAGGCCTCTTGGTGTCTTGGCTAATGCTCACACATCCAGGTTGGAATGCCAATGCATCTTCAACTCCCCCCTTCAATGGCATCTCCAGCCCCAACAACCAAGCAAGGTGAGCTTTGCTGATGCCCTTCAAAGGCTTCATTAGAATGTCAGCTATGTTGCTTGCTGTCCCAACAAATTCAATCATAACTTCCCCCTCCTGCACATGTTCCTGGACAAAATGATATTGGGTGTCTATGTGCTTCAATTTCCAATGCTTGGCTGGTGTCATGGGCCTGAATGCTCAAGAAGCAGGAGGGTCACTGGTTCATATGGAAGGAGCACAGGTATCGAAGATCTAGTCAATACCATTAGAGAGCATGGTCGTAGTGCAGCCTCCATGGAGACCATGGACTCCTATGGACTCACATGCAAAGGAGGACCGAGCCCATATGTGAGGAGGGCCAGGCACAGCCACGAAGAGGACCAAGCTCAAGGAGCATGCAGATGGTTACCACTCAGGGGCTTGAGAGACAAGAGTCAAAGGAGTCGACACCAGGTCCAGAGGAGGAGGAGCAGTGTCGAAGGAGTTGACACCACTCAGGAGGCACAAGGGTGCCAAGCAAGCAGGATAGCAAGGAGGAGGAGCAGTGTCAAAGGAGTCAACACAGCTCAAGAGGCATAGGGGTGCCAAGCAAGCAGGAGAGGCCTCCTGAACAGTACTCGATGAAGAAGGTACTCTCTGGAGAGAGAGCAGGAGCAGCATCACTGGCGATGCTGTGAAGAGGTATATAACCATGCTTTCTCATCATCAAAGGTCAAGTGGATCCTCATCCACTCTACACACACCATAACTAGTTATCACTTCAGCATAAGTATATATTAGTTCCAGTCAGCATAGTAGCAATCTATCAAGGTTGCTCCTCCTTGTAGTGCATGTGTTGTATCACCACTACCTGACATCCAAAGGCAGTTCATAGCAAACCAGTGGTCCAGATCAAGATAGAACCGAAGGCAGTAGTCCACTGCAGTCCGGGGATCACCTCAAGCTTCAGTCAACACACTGGACACTTGTGTTGATGCCACCAACCTTATCACCAACACCATCAACCTCATTATCATCAACACTCACCAACCTTATCACCAACACCATCAACCTCATCATCATCAACACTCACACCAGACCTTGGTGTCATCATAACCTATGCATTGATATTGATTGTGCCGAGCTACCCCTGAATGGAGTGTCCACAGAGGTCAGCCAAAACCTATGACAGTATATACAACAAACATCACCCACTGTCATCACACAACTTGATAGTTGCCAAGAAACTAGCTCATCAAGACTGATACCAAGACAATAGCTGTCGCACAGTTTGATAGTCACCGAGTATCTCAACAGACCGACCTGGGTTTCAGGCGCGAGACCCCTGACAGCTGGGTCCTTACTCACCTGAATACACCCTTGACTGTCAGTGCAGAGTAACAGTCATATGTCTGGGATCTCCAAACCTCTCGCACTGCTTCGGAGGCTGCAACAAATTCTGCTTCCACTGCTGAGAGCACTATGCATTTCTGCATGTGTGATCTCCAACTGACTGGACACCCATAAATGTATGTAATCACTCCAGACATGCTCCTTTGTCCATTTGTAGGGTCCAATGCCCAACTTGCATCAGTATATGTCATCACTGGCTGCTTAGCATGTTCATTGGATTCACCTCCTAGTTGCCATTGGTACACACTTGTTTGGTTCAGATATTTGACCATGTGAATTGCTGCCTTCCAAGCACCATTGATCAGGTTGGACGTGTGTCATGCCAATGTTCCTATGGCAAAAGAGATATCTGGCTGTATGGTGTTGGACACCCATAATAGCTGGCCAACCAGTTCTTGATATTGTTTTGCCTGTGCTGGATTACACCTGTTGCTTTCAGCGATGTCCACCATACCCTGCATGGGTATCCATGATTTCTCCTTCACTGTCCCCAGCCACTTGCTCACCATGGCCTGAATGTATGCAGTTAGATCTAATGACAAATGTTGGCATGCTCTTTCCTGAGTGATCCTGACCCCCAGGGATTCTGTAACTCCTCCATTGTCTTGTGTTCCCCATTTGTTCATAATTTCTCATTTGGTGCAATCCACTTTGTGATGACTGGGTGATGCAGTCAGCATGTCATCCACATATGCTGTAATGATAGTGATCTGATTTCCTGTTCCTCTTGAGTATAAACATGGTGCACTTGGCATACAATGGAATCTGATTGTCTGGAGGTGTGAGTCTAATTCGATATTCCACTCCTGACCTGATTGCTTCAAACCATATAGCCCTTTCATTAGTTTCAGAGCTTTCCCTGGCAGTACCTTAGTCCCAACCAGTGGCTTCAAAAACACATCATGGTGTAATGTTGAGTTCAGGTATGCCTGTTTTACATCTATAGAGTCCACCTCCCAGTCACATATGGCTGCAACAGCCAAAACTCCTCAGATAGACTGAATCAGTGCCACTGGTGCAAAAACCTCTGTGTAGTCAATGCCTTCTCGTTGCATGAATCCTTGGGCCACCAATCTAGCCTTGAACTTGGTTGGTATGAGATTCACATCAGTCTTGATCTTGAGTACCCAGCATGTGTCAACCATGTTTATGCCTTTTGGGAGGTCTGCCACTTCCCATGTGCCCATCACTTCTAATCTGTTTAGCTTCATTTGCATTGCCTCCTCCCAGTGTCTTCTGTCTTCTCCAGTCAGTGCCTCACAAATGGTCAGGTCCAGGTTCTTCCTTGTTTCAGTGTTCATTGCTGTAAATCCAAAAAGTTTGTCCCCAATCCATGTTTCGGCCTTTGGATCATGTTTGCTCGAGTTGCCCACATCTTCATCTGAGATCTCTGTCATGGGCCTGGGTGCGCAGAACGAGGAAAGACCGAAGTTCATATGAAGGTAGCGCAGGAATCGTGGAATCGGGTAGATTGGAGGAGCTGTGACAAAGTTCACTGAGATCGGTAGTAGAATCAGCTCTATGGCAGATCACAGCGAAATCGGCATGAGCATCGTCGATATCACGAATCCCACCAGAATCTGCAGCAAGCAAGATCATGTGGCAGATTCCACAGAGATCGGTAGTAAGGATGTCCGTATGACGATTCACATGCGAGAGGGACCGAGCTCAGTGACACACAGTCGGTTACCACTCAGGGGCCCACAGGACAGGAGTAGAAGAGAACCATTGCCAGTCAAAGGAAGGAGATCTGTGTATGGGACACCAGCGAAAGGGACATGAAGAGGAGGAGCAGTGTCGATGAAGTTGACACAGCTCAGGAAAGACAGGAGGGACAAGGCTTGAAATGGAGAAGGTGCCTCCTTGGAGATCCCTGTGCAGTACTCGACGAGGAGGGTACCCTCTGGAGAGAGGGAGCAGGAGCAGTGTCACTGGCGACGCTGCAAAGAGGTATATAGTCCTACCTCCTCATCACAAATGGTCAAGTGGATCCTCATCCACTCTACACTCATCAAACAAACTAGTATTACTTCAAGCAACAAGTATCATTAGTTCACAGTCAGCATAGTAGTAATCAACAGATTGCTCCTCATTGAAGTGTGTGTGTTGTATCACCGTTTCCTGACATCCGAAGGCAGTTCTAGCAAACCAGCAGTCCAGATATCGATAGAACCGAAGGCAGTTGTCCACTGCGGTCCAGGGATCACTTCAAGTGTTAGTCGACACACTGGATGCTCGTGTCAACGTCATCTATCCATACTCACACCAGACCATTGGTATCAACATCAAGTTCACTTAGAGTCGTATTGTAGTTTGATCGTGCCGAGCTACCTCTGGACGGAGTGTCCACAGTGGTCAGTCGAAATCTGTCACAACATCAATACAACTACAGATTCCAACGAAAAAAGTGGCAGAGACGGTTCTGTCGCATATTACACTAGGAATTGTAATACCACTAGCACTGTCGCATAACTCGACAGAATCGGTGATAGTACTGATACTACTACTGATCTCAGGTTTCAGGCGCGCGACCGCTGACAATCTCCTCCTCATTTTCTTCCAAGATCAGTCCCATGTCCACATGTTCATTTAGAGGCTCTCCCTCCTTTTCATCAAAGAGGTTCTCTTCAGTGTACCCCAGGTCACTGAAATCTTCTTCATTTGCTATTGTAGGAGGTGGCTGCATGTCAACTGGCCTCCACTCTGTCCAGTCTGACCAGCATTTGGACTCCATGAACTTTGCCAAGTTGCTCCAAAACACATTTGGACTATAGTCCAGACTGTAGAATAGCCATCCTTTCCTTTCCAAACTGTAACCTATGAATATGGATGTGATGGCTCACTGATCCAGTTTCTTATTGTCTCACTTGACCTTGGGTATGTTCACCCATGCTAGGCATCCAAAAATGCATATGAGACACATGAGCTTTTCAGGTGGCTTTCCAAACATTGCTTGGTACAGAAACTCTCTGTCAACACTCAGGATGAGGTTAATCTTGAATGCCACAGCCTGGATGGCATACAGCCAGAACCTCTTTGATAGTCTCCTCTGCATGAGTAGCACTTGCATCTTCTCACCCAGGCTCCAGTTCATTCTTTCCACATGTCTGTTCTGTTGGCTGTTGTATCCAACTGTCATTTGCCACTTGATGCCTTTGTCATATGTCCATTCAATAGCTTCATTGCTTCTCCATTTGGTCCCTTGATCAGATTGTATTGCCTTTAGTCTCCTTCCCATCTGTGTCTCAAGATAGGATACTATTCTTTTGAGTTGAGCAAATGTGTGGCTCTTTCATAGCAGCAGCTGCACACATACATACTTGCTGTGGTCATCAACCAACACTAACATGCATGTGTGCTCTGTGGCATGTGAAGAATCAATTATCAAATCAATGTGAACAAGGTTGAGGGGTGATAGAGCCCTACATTCACTGCCTTGTCCCATTTGGGCTGTCATACTCTTGGACTGGATGCAATGCTCACACATTGGTGCCATTTCTGGGTCCAACTCTATTTCATGGTTGCCCTTCAGCTTGTTGATGATGGCCCTCATCTTATCTCAGCCTGGGTGCCCTAGACATTCATGCCATAATTGTTGCTTCGATGCTCCTGTTTTGCCCTCGATCTGTTCAAGCTCATCACCAACACCTTCAAACAAGGATGTCATCATGATCATTATGTTTTCTTGCCATGTCTCACCTTGGAACTCTAATAGTCCCCACTCACAATCTTTGGCTATCTTGAGTAGCATTCCATTTGCCAAGTGAATCTGTCTGCTGGTGATATCTAATGTCACTCATGCTCCTTCATCCATTAATGAATTGGTTGACAAGAGGTTAGCATTAAGATGCCTAACATACAATACATTGTGAAGAAAGACATCTCCATAACTTGTTGATATGTTCATGTCTCCTATAGCCATTGCCTCCAAGACCTCACTTCCAGCCATGAATACACACTTTTGACAAGTTCTTGGACAAATGAGCATGCTATAGTCATTGACCATGTGATAGCTGGCCCCTGAGTCTAAGATCCAATGGCATGGTTCTTTTGACCTCAGAGGCCTCTGCCAACTCAGTGTGAAGGAGCACCAGACTTCCTAGTCTGCTTTGGCAAGGGGGGAATTCTCAGGAATGGTTACCAATGCATCACACTGCCTAGCACCATGTCTGGATCACTTGCACACCCAGCATCAAATCTTTCTGGGTCTGGTTGCTACTCTTGCACTTGTGTGACTGTCATCCTTCTTGTCCTTCTCATCCTTCTTGTCCTTCTCATCCTTCTTGTCCACTTTGGCAGATTCATCCTGATTGTCACTGCCAGCGATTCTAGCACCAGCCTGGCACAGGTCTACCTTATAAGTGGGGTTGTTTTCAATTGCAGACTGACATATGATCAAGGCAGTGGTGAGTGCATTAAAGTTTAGCTGACTGATGGTTGTGACAGTTTCCTTGTACATGGGGTGGCATATGGTGCACTTCTGCAGGTTTGAGAATAAGGTGTCATTGGCAAATGGCTTTCCCAGGAGACTGCTCTCCATCTGAATGGATCTGATTTCTTGAATAAGCTTTTGGGTGTTGGAGTTGAACATCTTGATATCACCTAGCTGAGCAATGAGTGCAAGTTGACATGAGGTCACAGTGGCTTCATTGGTCAGGCCAGTCTCAATCTTCTTCCAAACTTGGTGGAAAGTATGGTATTCTCTGATGATGTTGAGGATCAGGTAATTTACATTGTATTTGCTGATGGTGTTGATGGTACCATGCAGTGCATTAATGAGAGTGTCATCAAATGCACAGTTCCACTTGGTGTGCTTCTTGTCATAAGCTCCTTTGAGATGCTTCATTACATGTGGCACTGATTGGAGGAAGGACTTGATATGAGTGCTCCAGCTATAGTAGTTGTGCAATGTGAGTTTGGGCACCAGCTCAAGGAGTTTTGCTAGGGTATGGAAATTGTATTGCTTGCTATCACCATTGAGGTCAGAGTTGGAGTTGGTTCCTTCATCAGTGTTGTCATTGAGCACCTCAACTTCTGTCTTGTTGGTGGCCTCATTATCAGCTCATGGCTGTGCCATCTTGCCCCTTCTACCTCCTTTGGCCTTGCTTGCACTAGCTTGGGTTTCAGTCTCTTCTGCCATGTTATTGGGTGGCTCTGTAGCTTGGTTGGTGGAGCTTCAGACTCTTAATCAATTGAAGAATGCCAAGGTTATATGCTGTCTGGAGCTACCAGCAAGCTCATGTCCACAGGCATACATTCTTGAGAAAGGTCTTAAATTTCTCACTCATTAGTTACATCTTAATGGTCATATATATACTTTGTCACCACCTTTGATCATGCCCAAATGAGATGAGCTATCTTCTATATACACCTGTGTTGTCACCTTTTGCAATATAGCACATGATCCATTGGTATGACAACCCCCATGTACCTCATTGTCTTCATCACCTGTGCATGTTCTAGGCCTCTTGGTGTCTTGGCTAATGCTCACACATCCAGGTTGGAATGCCAATGCATCTTCAACTCTCAGGCCCGCGCGAAAGCTCGAATTTAACAAGGGTGCAGCAGTCGACTGCTCACGGATCATATCAAACTCCTCATCAACTACTTGTGACACCACCACTTTGTATCATACGGCTTCTAGGGAGTTCACAAAACTCAAAGATTCTCTTGGAGCTACAGTCGCTTAGAGCCATCGACACCTCCGTCTCACCACGGCCATCACAGTGCACTTTGACTCAGCACTGCAACTCTGCTTCAGCTGTCCACATAGCTCAATCCGCTTTTCCGAATCTGGCTTGCCATCATCGCTTGACCGGCAACACCATATCCAAGTCGGCATTTGTCACCGTTGAGCTTCGTATCACCATCTCGCCCTTATTGTGTAGCGACAAGATGCAGCCCAGCACCCTCGAATTGTCATCTTGAATCGGATCAACCAAGGACAGCATATCCCGACATTCTTCCTTCCACCACCAGCAGTCGTCATCGCAGTGAGCAGTGGCAGCAATCGCAAGTATGGCTTCACACAGCCCAAAGTCGTCGCCGACGGTGCACGTCAATAAGTGGTCGGAGCAACAGGTCGTTGACTGGCTCTCCACTGTTGGTCTCTCCAAGTACGCCAGAGACTTCAAGTCGAATGGCATCACCGGCGATGTCCTCGTTCTTCTCGACGACGAGGCTCTCAAAGATATTGGCGTGGTCACCATTGGTCAAAGACTATCACTCCTTTCGGCGATCTACCGACTCAAGCAGCAGTATGGCATCCCAATGCAGGATGGTGATTGGATCCCCAAAGCAGTCGAGGCCCAAGAGCAAGCCTCCAACGCACTCACAACCGCCCACATGGCCGGAGCGCTTCGACAGCGAGATGACCGCATCCGTCTCTTGGAATCGCAAATACTTCGATTGGCTGACTATCTTGCCCGTTTTCAGCAAGATATGGCTTCCGTAGCCCGTCAAGTTGGCGTAAAGGCGCACTCGATCGATACCCCCATCACGCTCGTCGCCAATTCACTTCATTCACACAACTCGTCTGAGAGCAGCATCCCCTCCATGTCGGCCTATGCGTCCAGCTCAGACCTCGCATTCACTGCTGCATCCAGCCTGCCGCTCGAGTCACCCACCTCGCGTAACGTAGCAGGTCTCGTTTCCCCAACTCGATCTGCTGGCTTTACATATCCTGCGAGTCATGCTATGAGCGGATTCAAGCCTGCCACCGTCAACTCGGCTCGCTCAGACAGTATCGGCGGCAACTCGCCCATGACTCCCACCACCGCTGCTCATTCCTACGCTGCCAGCTCTACCAACGCAGTCGGTCCTACCGATCTTTCGCCAACACGGCCGACACCTTCTGCGACACCAACATCGCTCGGCTCTCAGCCTGGCTTCCCACAGCAGCTTCCACATCAACAGCAGCAGCCATCCAGTGCCGGCTCTTCTTCCATAGTCAGCCCAACCCGCCGACTTGCGCACCAGAACGCACTTGCGCAGCCAGACGCTGCTGGTCCTTCTCGATCTCGCGCCGGATCATTGGATGCCCCAGCTGCTCTCTCGATAAATGGCAGCTCGCCTTTCGTAAACAACAGCACAAGCAGCAACAATGCTAATTCCATCACCGCAGCCTCTCACGCTGCTACGGAACGGGAGGATCGCAAAGGCGTGTCAGCAGCCAGCTCTTCAGAACCGAACGCCAAGTCAGCCACAGCGCCTGCAGCTATAAGTTCACTATCCGCGGGCCCTTCGGCATCTGCATTGGCCGACTCGAACTCTTCCGACAGCAACCCATACAAGTCGTTCCGCGTCACTCTCGACGATCCTTGCTACAAGGTGCTTCCCGCCGCGCTCAAGAAGTACAAGATCAACGACGATTGGCGCAAGTATGCCCTCTTCATCTGCTACGGCAAGACAGAGCGATGTCTCAGTTACGATGAAAAGCCGTTGCTGCTCTTCCAGAAGCTCAAAGAGAACGAACAGAGCCCTGTCTTCATGCTTCGGCACATCCGCGACGTCAAGTCGCCCATCGCCATCGCTGAGGCCAAGGCAGCAACTAAGCTGCAAGAACGAGAAGGCGATGCAAATGCCCCTTCTGCTAAGAAACGCTCCGCGCCAAGAGCAGATCGTCGCCGTGTCATTTCTGGCACACCACCACCCGGTGCTTTGGTCACGAACGCGTCGAATCCTGTCGAGGTAGGTCCAGCAGCGGATCTTCCCGATCGCACCAAGATCACCAAGACCTATGCAGTGGCTATCTACCCGTACATGCCAGAACGCGACGACGAGTTTGACGTCAATGTCGGCGACACCTTTGTCGTCATCAACAAGGCGAAAGGCTGGTGGATCGTGCAGAGGGATGCTAAGGGCGACGGAGTAGGTGACATGGTGTACAGTGTGCCTGCCAGCGAAGCGACTTCGGGCGATGACAAAGGCACTATCTACTCAAACTATCGCGCAGAGTATGCATCGGGTTGGGTGCCAGCAGGGTGTCTCCTCGAGACCAGTCGGCCTTTGGGCAGCATCGTGGATGTCGAGGTCGTTTCCTCAAACTTGCGATCCGGACCTAGCACCATCTCGAATCCAAGCACGCCGACGTTCTCGATCATCTCTGGCAGTAGCATCGGAGGCAAGGTGGATGCCAAGCGAGCTTCGATCCCGCCAGCGCTCATCACGAGCACCAGCACGCCAGGCATCATGCTAATGGATTACCAGAGTGCTGAGGGCGATTTAGATCTTAAAAAGGACGAGCGGTTGAGAGTGTTCAAACGGTACAACCACTGGTCGTACTGCGTACAGGAGCGTGATGGACATGCAAGAGGCTGGGTACCGAGCTGGTACATTGGCAAACTTTCCTCCTCGTCATCTGCGGCTGGTGGAGCGACTAGTAGCAGCAACACGCTGTCCAAATCGCCTTCGACCCACGCCCTGTCTTCGTTCTCCTCTTCTCTGGGCAGTAGCACAGACTCGCGCTTCGCACATCACAACGCTGAGGCTGGTGGCGGCGGAGCAGGTTCGCCCTCGTACGAAGTTTCAAGTGGTGGTCACGACCACGCGAACGCGAACGCAGGAGGTCCGGCAGCTGTGGCGTCCATGTAGAGAGCTGTGAAGGCAATTCCACTTTCTCACCTCAAACTACTCGCATGTGCTTGTCACTTCGTGTGTCCATGATTCTGTTCGTCGTGGCTAGCTAAGGAGTAAACTGGCAGGCTACACTGAGTGTGCAAGGTCATCGGATCAACAGCAAGAAAAAGAGTTGAAGTTTGAAGTATAAAACACCGCTTCGTCCGGGCTACGATCTAGCTCCTTTCGCATAGGTATATGCTAACCACAATGCGTGTCTTATTACTTTACGGGAGCGAAACTACATGAGTATATATATGTCTTGAGATCATCTCTAGCAAAGTTGGTCTGTCTCATACGAATCAAGTGTCTTCTGTGAAACTCCTGTGTTGTCTCCTATGCAGAGCTCCTGAATCGTTGCTGTATCAACCAACATGCATGCATGACCCTCGGTCTGTCTGCATCTTGGGTAAACATATGTGAATTCCGGCGTATCTTCAACTTAAAAGGAAGGTTTTTTTTGGTTTTTTTTTGGTTTTTTTTTATATACCAGGCCGTACGGCCTACATTCAATTGCATCGAGAAGAAAAAGGAGTGAAAAAGTTGCGATAGGAAGCGATCCAATATGGTGATATGTGCTGACATAAACATAATCAGGACATGAAGGAGCAGATCTGTACAGAGATTGGGTACAACACAGTCCCACTTGTTGTCAAGCTGGATCCTGAAGTAGGAGTGCTCCCACCTTTGGCATGTGCCACACCTTTGTATATACAGTTTGTGCATAAACTGTCCCATGATTTTACATGTCACCACACATCACTCTAATGCTCAATACATGCAAAAATTGTGCATCAAAAAAGAGCTGAGAAATTTTTTATTGTGGGACAGTTTATGGAGCACTCCTCTACAACACCTTAGTACTTTGTATTCCCTCCTTTTGCCTTTAGAACTGCCTTGATGCAGTGTGGCATACTCTCTATTAGGTTCCTACATGTCTCTGGAGTGATTGCTGTCCATTCAGCTTCACATCTCTTGAGCAGTTCATCCCTGGACTTTGCAATTGTACTATATGTAAGCGGTTGCATGCCAGAGACTTAGTTTTGGGGTGTTATATTGAGTTTGATTGAGTAAGGTCCACTCAGTATGTTTCACCTAAACATAACCAAGTGTCACCACCTGGTAAGTCTCAACTGACTGCCTTGAACACTCCATTCAGAGGTTGTGTGGCACAAATGCTGTTTGTTGGTGAGTGAGTGATACACCCTCTCCTACAGTACAAGTGTTCATAGTACTGTTGATAATGCTCTTGGATGTTGTCTGGACCATGATATGCTAATTGCCTACAGAGGATGGGAGTTACTGGACCACAGGTGTGAGTCACTGCCTACAATAACTGACTGGACTGCAGGTGTTGAGCAACACTGCCTACAGCAAGGGACTGGACCACAAGTGTTGAAGAACACTGCCTACAGTTGTCAACTAATGGTGATACAACACACATGTTGAGAGTTGTTGCAAGAGCACTGCTATTGCAATGGTATGTAACTGAGTAAGTAAAGTAGATAGAGTATAGAATGGATGGGGCTCCACTCATATGCTATGGTAGGCTGAGAGTATTTATGCATTTGATTGGTGTTGCCCACAACACCTATCCTGCTCCTCCTGAGGGGCCTTTGTCCCCTGTTTGACACTGTCTTGTCCTGCTGGCATCAATCCCATTGATACTGTGCCCCTACCATTTGCATGGCATAAGGGTTATGCAACACTGCCCTCTCACCTTCATGCTCTCCTTCTGCCTGATGATGTGTGATGACCCCTTTCAACACAGCTCCTTCTTGACCTTGTCTTGTGAATCCCTTTAGTCACTTGTTGAACCTCATGACCAAACCCCTTGGTCATGTGGTCACTTCGACACAGCTCCTTCTTGACCTTATCTTGTGAATCCCTTTAGCCACTTGTTGAACCTCATGACTGAACCCCTTGGTCATGTGGTCACCCCTGTGCTTGGGCCTGTGTGACTTTATGCATGCACCCCTCAGGCAGTAACCATCTGTGTGATACTGAGCTTGGTCCCCTGCTCCCTCCTATGGTTATCTCTGAGTGCCTCTCCTTCTGATGCCAGTACCTTCCTTTCTGAGTCTCCTAGTACTTGCTCATATTGGCTGACTTGTTGAGGCATGCTGATCTGACTGATTCTGACTGATCCCCATGAGTTTAATCTGGAACCCAGGGTTCGATCAATCTCATGATTCATATGTGCTGCCAGCCTGATTAATCTCATTGATCCCTGATGGTTTGGCACTGATCAATCTGGTGTGCCCTCCATATATTGAACTGTTGCACACCCTTCATACATTGCTCCGTTGCATGACATTCCCATGACTGCCATTGATAAATTTGGCGCACTCTCTTGCGCTGGCCTGCTGACCCTGTGACACTATACCGTGAAAGTCGCATTTTGAGATGGTGCCAGAGGTGTTCAATTGGGTTTAAGTCAGGCAACTGCACCAGCCATTCCATAACCTTAATGCTATTGCTTGTCAACCAAGTTGTTGTCTTCTTGGACATGTGTTTAGGGTCATTGTCTTGCTGAAACATGATGTCAGTGTATGCATGCTGAAGCCACAAATCTGAGATTGTTTTCAAAAGCTTGTCATTCAAGATATCAATGTATTGGTCTGAATTCATTGAACCCAGCACCAAGCACATACCTCCCACCCTTCCCACATCATACAGCCCCAGATCATGATGGAGCCACTGCCGAACTTGACTGTCAGCCTGACAAGCTTACTGTTGAAGCTGGCATTCTTAATCCAACAGAACTGCTTACCATCTGGTCCAAAGAAGTTGATCTTTGTCTTGTCCGACCATACCACATTCTTCCAATCCTCAACAGTCATGTCCTTGTGCTCATTAGCAAATTTGAAATGGGCTTTGTAATGTCTCTTGAGTAGCTTTGGTTTTTTCACCAACCTCCATGCTGTCATGGGCCTGAATGCTCAGGAAGCAGGAGGGTCACTGGTTCATATGGAAGGAGCATAGGTATCGGAGATCTAGTCGATACCAGTGATGAGCATGGTTGTAGTGCAGTCTCCATGGAGATTATGGACTCTCCTACAGACTCACATGCAAAGGAGGACTGGGCCCATATGCGAAGAGGACCAAGCTCAAGGAGCAGGCACAGCCACGAAGAGGACCAAGCTCAAGGAGTATGCAGACAGTTACCACTCAGGGGCTCGAGAGACAAGAGTAAAAGGAACCATCACTGGTCAAAGGTGAAGGAGCAGTGTATAGGGAACCAGAAAGCAGGTCCTGAGGAGGAGGAGCAGTGTCGAAGGAGTTGACACCACTCAGGAGGCACAGGGGTGCCAAACAAGCAGGATAGCAAGGAGGAGGAGCAGTGTCAAAGGAGTCGACACAGCTCAAGAGGACAGGAGTGGTGCTAGAGGGGCCCCCTGTACAAGTACTCAATGAAGAAGGTACTCTCTGGAGAGAGAGCAGGAGCAGCATCACTGGTGATGCTGTGAAGAGGTATATAACCATACTTTCTCATCATCAAAGGTCAAGTGGATCCTCATCCACTCTACACACACCATAACTAGTTATCACTTCAGCATAAGTATATATTAGTTCCAGTCAGCATAAGTAGCAATCTATCAAGGTTGCTCCTCATTGTAGTGCATGTGTTGTATCACCACTACCTGACATCCAAAGGCAGTTCATAGCAAACCAGTGGTCCAGATCAAGATAGAACCAAAGGCAGTAGTCCACTGTGGTCCAGGGATCACCTCAAGCATCAGTCAACACACTGGACACTTGTGTTGACACCACCAACCTTATCACCAACACCATCAACCTCATTATCATCAACACTCACCAACCTTATCATCAACACCATCAACCTCATTATCATCAACACTCACCAACCTTATCATCAACACCATCAACCTCATCATCATCAACACTCACACCAGACCTTGGTGTCATCATAACCTACATATCAATATTGATTGTGCTGAGCTACCCCTGAATGGAGTGTCCACAGAGGTCAGCTGAAACCTATGATAGTATATACAATGAATGCCACCTGCTGTCATCATGCAATTTGATAGTCACTGAACAACTAGCTCATTGAGACCAACACTGAGACAATAGCTGTCACACAGTTTGATAGTCACCAAGTATCTCGACAGACTGACCTGGGTTTCAGGCACGAGACCCCTGACACATGCTTTGTAGCAACAATAATGAAGTGCTTTTCTTACTGTGGTTGGGCAAGCTGTGACTTGGAATGTCTCCTACAGTGCTTGACATGCTTTCCTGACTGTGGAGGTGGAATTGAGCTCAAAATAGTGGTCCAGGAAGCAAACATGATGGGGCTGGAGTTTTCTTGGCCAGCCCCCCTTTGACTTTGGAACATCAGCTGAGGTGCTTTTGCTGATGTGTTTCACAGTAGACTTGCTCAAACCAAGTTGCTTGGCAAATGAATGGGTAGATTCCCCATTTTGGAGGTGAAAGATTGCCAATCAGCACTTCTCTGGGGTGGTTTTTGGCATGATGGTATAGATATGATGGTGTTAGACTGGAAGCACCACTGGATTGCTCACAGTCATCTGATTGAGCTGAAACTTTCCACATCACTACTTTCAATGTATATGAAGGCACCTGCCAAGTTACATTGCAAGTTTCATTGTAGTCAAAAGCCCACAAGGTCAGGAATGGAGCAGTGTCACTATTTGGTGGCATGCTCCATAAACTGTCCCACAATAAAAAAAATCTCAGCTCTTTTTTGAAGCACAATTTTCTCAGGCAATGTCAATATCAATTACAGTCTTGGAGAGAAGAAGCAGGGCTTTCAGATGATATGAGACAGTGTGGCAATACAACATATGGCTATTGAGCATTAGAGTGATGTGTGGTGACATGTAAAATTGTGGGACAGTTTACATGCGAGCTGTATATCTAGTGGGGAGCTTGAGGCTCCTGCCACATTCTCTCTTCAGTCAATTGCATCTACATGTTTCTGTCTAAAACAGCAGTGACATCGTGCTTGGACTCTCCCCGATCGCCAGTATCGGGATTATACTTCTTCACATTTCTTCAAATGTGGGAGTATAATCCTTCATGACCTAGCTTGACAATGAGCGGGGCTATGTTGCACCCGATCTCCAGACAGATCTGTTCCATCTGATCGCCGATTGCGTTTATGCCAGCATGCATCATCATAACGGATCGCTTCCTTCGGCAGGGAGGTGTCTCTTCCTTGGCCAAGGGCGAGCTCCTCAGAGAGTACACAAACCGTCGACAGTGGGTCCCCATAGAGAGGTGACTTCCCGGTGTTTGGGCGAGAGGTCGTAAGCCAGAGCAACAGATCATAGTCTCTGAAGAGTAGACCAATGGTCAGGAGATAGAAGGGGGAGGAGTGCAAAAGCGGGGTCAGAAGAAGCTTTGAAGCCATGATCGTGAGAGGAGCAGTGGTCGTGAGAGTAGTTTATGTCGTCCTGGAGATCGTTTTAGAGGCAGGGTCTCCTCTAACCAAAGGTAGTCGTAGAGCAGGAGCTTGAGTCTCTTGATGCAGATGTGGCCCGCGTGTGGTACGCACGATGCACCAAAAGCAAAAGGACCCGCCGTCGTGATCAGGCTCTCCAGAGCTGTTGCTGGGAGAGGTATGGAGCGAAAGAGATGCTGGTTTTGCTTGACATTGCTATGCTGAGCTCCCCAGCGTCGCTAAAGTAGCGAAGTTTGCGAAGGTCACGATTTCATTGATTCGAGTTCGAGCCGTTATGCGGATGGATGGATGCGGAGGTGGCGTTTGCTGGCTTTGGCTTGCAAGGTGTCGATGCTGTCGGTTCTTTATGTTGGTTCTTGATACGTTGGTGCGTTGTGGTCTGTTGAGTGTCCTCGTCGAGCTTGGTGGAGAGTTGTGATGTCGAAAGGTCGAGGTGATTAGGAGCGACGCCTAATTATCGCCAGTGACACCATCTCAAAAATTTCGTTTTAGCATAACTCGTCCATTTCCTGGTCGATCCTGTTCTGGGAAGTTGGAGGGGGTGCCCGTCGATCCTCTGCGTTCGTGGAAGAAAAAGGAGCCCGAAATTGAGGCTAAAAAAATTGAACCTACGTTTTACGTCTCTCTGGCATAGCCCTGGAACTGAAACCTATCCTTGAGACGCTTGTGCCTGCGCTTGAGGATCTGTGTGCTTTCTCTTGCCGTTCAGAAGAGGTGAGTAACGAAGCAGATGTATCTTACCAGGATGGAACTAGCCTGCTGTCGCTTTCGAAATATCTATTAAGGGATCCTATACTTGACCTAGAGCCTAGATGCGTCAATCAAGTAAATCGCCTTCTGCGCCTTTCGAGCTCCCAAGAAATTAGAAGAGAAATATCAAAGCAGACACGAAGAATCGAACACGCAATCTCAACATGCCTGCGTACACACAAAAGCCCAAGCTCAAACAAGACCTTGATACCACTTGGCCAACTCGTAGTTCTGTAGTAACTCAATTGTGCTGACATAGCGTATATGAACTGCCCTTCGGATCCTCTCAGAAGAGCATTGCTCGCGAGTACCTCGGCTGCTCAACTACAGTCTCAAGAGCGTCAAGGCTGAGGCGCTGTGGAAGGGCAAGTCATGAAGCTGAGAAGGGTGCAGTCTTGGCGACTAGCACACTTGCAGGGAACGGTGGGACGGAAACGATGAAAGTGGCATTAGCACGAATGATTTGAACTTTATAAAATGATTCCTAGTGATGTATGAGTATGCGTGGTAAGACGGTCTCCTGCTAGGATGGTCTACAACCTCTTCTCAATCTCTGCGAGTTTGGAAGGATGCTTGATACCATCATCCTTATTTGTTGGCTGCAACTTCTTGTTGCCACCCTGAGCATCTGCGAGCGAGTGAAAGTAGAGTTGGAGATCCTCCTCCATCATCTCCCGACCAGTCGACTCGCTGTCAGCACCCTTTTCATTCTGACTGGAGTGGAAGAGAGCCTCAAGCTCCTGCATCTTCTGCTGTCGGTCAAGCTCGGGGTCGTAGAATCGGTGACGCTTGAGCACGACACGCTCCCAGAGCGAAAGGTGACGAGGGTGAACAGCAACACCGTGGTAGTCTTGTTCGCGACCCTGGACGACGCACTCCCAGTATCGCTCCTGCTCTCGCAAATCGAGACCAGTGGTGTCAGGAATAAAGACCATGGTGAGGAACCAACCGAGTAAACCGAACCAGGAGACGACCCAGAACTTGGTGTGGTTGTCGATGTAGTTGTACAAGGTCGCAGGCGCCAAAGCACCGAGTTTACCGACGGCAGCGGCGACACCGTGCGAAGTGGCACGAATGGAAGCGGGAAAGACCTCGGCAGCGAGCAAGAAGGTGGTCGAGTTGGGACCGAACTGGTTAAAGAAGGACGAGAGGAAGTAGATGGCCTGGAACGCCTTAATACCAGATCCAGGCACGGTGAGAGTATTGAAGAGGGCGGCACCGATGATGAAAAGGATGAAATCAGCAGCGAAACCGTTTGCCTGCATCCACTTCCGACCGTACTGCTTATGGTCCATGAGCAAAGCAGCCATGTAGTAACCTGCAAGCGAGATGATGATGTTGTACAAGTTGTACAGCCATGTAGTCTCAAGACCACCCTGGTTGCCAGTGATGATATTGATAAAGATACCAGAGAAGATCTTGTTACCGTAGAAGAAGAAATCGTTGGCGAACCAGCCACCAGCAGTTCCCACAAGGCGGTGCCAGTAGTGACTGAGGGAAAGCTTGAGCGACCTGACATCGTATCCGGAAGTGTTGAGACGCTTCTTAGCATCTTGAAGCGCCGCATCCTGGTACTTCATGCGGTAGTATCGAATGTAAGCGAGATAGAGAGTGAAGACCGAGATGATACCGAATTGGACACGGAAGGTCCACTGTGTCGAAGTCTCAGTGTAAGGACCATTGAGAGAGCCGTGAAAGATGAGAAGACCGATGATGAGGATGGCCTGATTGGCAAGCTGACCCCAACCTTGCATCAAGAAGGAAAGAGCCACCTTTCGACCACGGTGCATTCGATCACCTGTAGTGGCAGCACGACCAGTACCAGAGCCCTCCATAGCACGGGTTGAGGTCATTGGATATTCGCCGCCGACGCCAATTCCGTATACGAAGACGGACCATGCATAGCAGATGACCCAACCGTTGAGTGAGGTAGCCCACATAGCGGTGAGCATGACGGAACCAAGAGCCATGATGAGTGCGTCCTGCACCATACCGAAACGACGACCGATCCAATCACCCTCAATACCGACAAGGATCTGACCGACTATGATACCAACAATCTCGAGGTAGTCAATGGCATGGAGCCAGTTCTCGTCGCAAACCTCGTGGTTCTTCCAGCATCTGGGCCAGACAGCCTTGAAGAGGGGCGAAAGATTTCCTATCGAAAAGAGGGTGTATCCTTCGACAAAGAGACCGAGACCAGTGATGACATAGTTGTTGTAGTAGGCACGGAGAGGAGAGAGAGGGTCACGCTTGAACATGCGACCGATGTCGGCTAGCTCACGACGAGCTTCTGCGTTGGACTGATTGTTGATCCACTTTGTCTTTTCCCGAAATGGAAGATCGGCCCAGTAAGTTTTTGTATCGTTGGTGTACGAGTCGGCGGGGAAGAGGGTCTCGTCGAGGACGCTGGCTTGAGCAGCGTTGGGACGAGCATGATGTTTGTTAGGAGTCGAGTGCGACTGCGAGTCGGAGGCAGAGGAAGCGCCAGCCTGACTGGCTGACGAGATCGAGGCCATTTCAGTCTGAGGTTCGGCCATGGTGTGACTCGGCTAGAGAGGGCTATACGAGAAAGTTCTTTCGGATAAGCCGATAGAAGGTCGTGTGTCGGGAAAGGGCCGAGAGGGGAGATGTTGCCTGGTGGGAGAGAAGATAGGGAGATCAAGGTGATACAAAAGGAGCAAGGCAAGGGTTGCTTTGCGACTATATACTTGGAGCTGCTTCAACGAGCAGCAGCAGCCGTGGCACAAACAGAAAAAGGGAGCCAAGGTGGGGGCCAACAGAGCGCATCCAAGGAAGAAGGTGGCTCAGACATTGCAAAATTGCTTCCTTTGGATGTGTATAATTTTCTTTTTCTTTTTCTTTTTCTTTTTCTTTTTCTTTACTGCAACTGAATCACTTTCTTTCCGTAGGGAACACTAACTGCCGAAGGCTCAAGCTTGGACCGGCCAAAAAGAAATGAAAAAATTCCACTTTTCGAACACGGTCATACCTGGGTCCTTTCCAGCTAGCCTGCTCATCACTCCACAGGCAGACCAAGTCAACCATTTCGAACACATTATACTCCACTCTGGTCGGTGGATCGGGCAACTGTGCTGTAACTGAGAGAATCGTCGCCAACCTCGGATGTGTCGTCTCACCTTATTGTCGTCCGGGGATCGCCAACCCTGAGCAATAGAAACGCAGAATCAGAGTAACGGTGCTTCAATGCTTCGTTCCTGTAGTCGGTCATGGCCAGTTCCACACATAGCTTGTCAGCTTGTTCGATGCATTCGAGTTGACATAGAATCAGCACATGCGCTTGACGACCACGGCGTCGAATGCACCAATTTGAGTTGGACAGACAGCATGCTCAAACTAGAGGCGACGAGCTTTAATCTTGACCCACGAGGCACCCTTTGTTTGACTGTTAACAGCAATGCTTTCAGTCTGAAAGCTGACGGCATCCTGGCGTCCATTCATCATGCTCTGACATCGATCAACGGAGGGCAGTGGCAGATAACCCCAGTTACAGCGGCACTTGTTAGAGGCGTACCCGCCGAAGCGGCTCAATCGCCTTCATTGACGCTGCTGCTTCATGAGTCTAGTTGTGCTTTGCGCCTTACTCGTAGTTGATCCTGCCGATCGACCCAAGAGATGAGGTAGAGACTTGATTGTCTGTATCAGCGAGGACTGGACCTATGCGGAAACGAAATCGCTGGCTTCCCTTGACGAGCCTCGCTTGCAGTCAAAAGAGAAGTTTTAGCTCTTTTCAACACCCAGAATGCTCGCTTGCGAGTTCGAATTGTAACTGCAGTCTGCGGTCCCACTACACAATTCAACTCTGCCCGGGAGAATAATACCGAGTCTATCTCGCGCATCGAGCACAATTCTCCGCGGGATGGAGCTTGACATACCAATCCACTAACCGCAATTCGAACTATAACACCGCTTGACTGCCTCTTCTCTCCTGCCTCTCCGTTCTTCCCATTGACTCCGCTTGACTTTGCTTGCACCAAAAAGCTCATTTAAGCGAGCTGTCCACGTTCCCTCGATTGCATTGATTCCACACAGCCTTCCTCTACAGAGCCTTGTTGGCTGTCGCCCTTTTCTCGTACGTCGTGTCGCGCGAGCATTAATATCGTTGCTCTTCGTCGTATCGTAGTGTGGCCATGCCCCTCTCCTTACTAGGACCGCACAACCTTGGCTGCACTCGTACCATCGCTTAAGCTAACAATCCATGTCACAGGAAGGGTTGCATTGGCATTGTGCTTCACTTCAGGCCCTGATCTGAACAAGACGTGCAGTAGGTTGGTGTTCATCAGCTCGACGATTCTCTACCATGACGCCAATGACTTCGGCTTCAGCACCTAGACGATCTGCTCCGTTCTTGCCCATGTACCGCGTGCCTGCGGCGGCCGGCATGTCATGTTCTCATCCGCGGGAACATGGTCATCAGATGATCCTTATGATTGCCCTCACTTGGACTGGCTATCGCTGCCTGTCTCGCGGTTGGCGCTCTTAAAGGCCGTCCCTAGGGACGGCTCGCGGAGTGCTACTAGTCATACTTGCTTCCGGATCCTTGGAGCGGTGGTACAAACATGGCACAAGTCAAAGTGTCAACGCGTTGTGGGCAGTGAAGAGCCTAGTGTGTTTGTTGTCGATGTTGTAAGTATGGTGACAGGCTTAGCACATGCTAAGCTTTTTCAAGGCATCAATCCGCGAATGTTGGCGCTCTGCACCTTGGCGTCAAGGATGAGCTCGGACAGGACTTTGCCGGTCCCCAGCGAGTTGGTAATGCCCCAGCAAGAATGTCCTGCGGCAACGTAGACTCCCTCCTTGCCTCCGATGATCGGATTGCCTGTCCTGTTGCTGATCGGGAGATAGCATGCTTGCTTGGCACGCAGAGTAGCTCCCGATTCTACGTCGAGCGAAGAGGGTGACAGAACTTTGCTCTGCTCAATCAATGCTGCAACCTTTTTCTCGTCAAAGCTCACTTCGTCTGCTGTGTCAGGGAGAGGAACATCGTCGGAGCCGCCGCAAACATATGCTGTGCCGTCGGGGCGGCAGTAAAGCTCGGGAGCGCCTGCTTTGCAACCACCTGGGCCATACGCCATGTCGGTAAATAGGCAGTCAGCTGACAAGGGCTTGCCGCGGGGAGATTCGATGACTATGCTATGAGCTCGAGAACCATCGATGGATGATGCCGACTTAAGGTGTGCGGGTAGCAGGCTGCGCGGGAACAACTGAGTGATGAGCGATCCTGTCCACGGTCTACTCACGAGATGAGAAAAGGATTGTCAGTATTCGAGCTTCAGGGTTCTAAGAAAGAATCTTTCGAGGAAAGACTCACCCTGCGGCAATGACAAGATCATCGACATCGAGCATCTTTGTCTCGCCCGACTTTGTATCTTTGACTTCGATGCCATTGGCATTGCGATCATTCAGGAACCGCAAGCTTGAGGCGCGGGAGTTAAACAGAACCTCGACACCGGCTTTGCGAGATTCGTCGACAAGGTGTTGTGTCAATTGACCGGGATGAACTTGGGCCGTGGTACCTCCGCCGCCCATGTTGGAGGTGGAGCGAACGATGTCGTTGTCGAGCCAGCTGATCGCGGGTTTAGACTTGATGCTAGGCTCATCCTTGAGGTTAGAGTCGACGTTGACTTGCCATGTCTCTACTTGTCGGAAGCCCCACTTTTCATGTCCGCCATCCTGATCTGCGAGTTGGCGATGCAGCTTGAAGCTAAGTTCAGCTAAACTTGCTGTAGCAGCACCGTGCCAGTCGAGTGCGAGGAAACCGCCTGCTTTTCCTGAGGCTGCAGGAGCTGGTGCGGCGGAAGCTTCGACAAGGGTGATCTTCGCAGCTGCTCGAGTTGCGGACCGGGAAAGGTAGTAGGCTATGCTAGATCCGATGATGCCGCCGCCGATGACGACGATGGAGCGATTAGGTTGAGTGGCTACTGTCATCTTGTTAGCGATACTTGAAGATGTCGATGTGGCAAATAGTAAGGGGCAGGTCTAGCGGAAGAGTGTCGAGGGTATTGCGTGCGCAAGTGGCAAGGTTTTTCCAAACTGAGCTGCAAGCGGAATCATGCACACTCTCTCGCCTTTGTGCGTCAAGTTAGTTGCACCCTGAATTTCTGGTGAAGGCTTTCTTCCGAATTCCGAAGTTGAAAATATTCACGGCCGATACGCGGCACTGCGCTTTGGCTACTGCAGTTGGTCAACAAAGAAAAATGAGCATCCGAGCGCGTTATGAGCACACAGAGAAGAAGAACAACATCCATCGGCTTGATCATACTCACACGGTGTTGCGACTACGGACTGCAACTTGATATCGCACGGTGACCATCCACTGCTCCTTCTCGACTGACTGTAGACTCGGGCCTCTACCTATCCTACCTATTCTTCTTCTTTGAGTCAGCTGCGCTGGTACCGGATTGGCGAATCGATCATGTTTTCGTTTTCGAACCCTGCGGGGACACCACAACAAGCTGGCCAGCAGCAGCAGCAATCATCCACTCCATTCGGCAATAATACAGGCGGTTTCGGAGGCAACTCGTCCTCGACCCCTGGTGGCTTATCATTCGGCAACACCACCAACAATACACAGCAGCAACAGCAATCGCAACCGCAGTCGACGAGCTTGTTCGGACAGAAGCCGCTCTTCGGCACTCCCGGTACACAGCAGCAGCCGTCGGGATCTCTGTTCGGCAACAATGCTACTTCGACACCCAATGCAGGCCAGACTGGTCAGTCAAGCAATCTGTTTGGTACACCCCAGAACAACAGCCTTTTCGGTGCATCCGCGTCTTCAGCTTTCGCCCAACAGCAGCAACCTCAGCAGCAGCAGCAGCAGCAACAACCGACACAACCCAACACATTTGCTCAGGGCTCTTTCGGCTTCAATACGGCCTCTCCCGCGCCGTTCCCGACATCTGCACAGAACCAGTCATTTGGCAGTCCGTTCAATCAACAGAATACGCAGCAGCAGCACGGTTTGCCGCAACACGGCACACCACAGTCGTCACAGCATCAGCACTTTCAGCAGCAGCAACAACAACAGCAGCAACAACAGCAGGCGATTGAGCAACAGCGATATCACTTGGAACAACAGAGCCAGAACATGAGCTACATCCCAGGCTATCTCAGCCGCACCAAGGTTGTGAAAGTAAGCACAGTGCCCGGTCACTTGTCCTGTTTACTGCCTTGCACCGATCACTGACTCATCATCTCATTGCCGCACTCTGCTAACAGCCATACAAGCTCCCCGCTCGTCAGAAGGAACCCACTTCACCAGAAGCCGCACAGGAGGCCGACTCGAGCATCGCTTTCGGCACTCCCGCTTCCAAGTTAGGCAAAGAGGAGAGCACACCATCCTCCAAAGGTCAACCTTCTCCAGTTGGACGTTTCAGCTCGAGCTTCTTCAACGAAAGACGCGATGATGCATCTTTCAGTCGAGCTGGCTCAGCCGGTCCAGGCACACCTTGGAGAGGAGGCAAGCAGAGCATCTTTGGCGCTCATGGTTTACGCGGTGCACGTCAGTCAGCGACACCGGCTCCAAGCTCCTCTGCTGCCGGTGCATCCGCTACGCCTGCGCGCAAGACTTCCATCGACTCTCCGGCCCGCTCTGTTCGTTCCAACTCGACACCTCCTGCAGCTTCCACCTCTTTCAACGTCGCTCATGGCGCTATGGACGAGGAAGATAATGATGATGACGCTCCGCCGCAGGAGCGACTCGAAGACCAAGCTTCCGCTGCTGCGCACTCCTCTTTCCTCGGCGCCCCAAACAGCTTCCTTTCTCCTGCTGGTGCTGAGTCTGCGTCGGCACAACAACGGCTGCTCCCAGGCAGGTCAGCGCTCTCCACGCCTTCTACCGGTGCAGTTCCAAGGAGGTCCCCCTCGCTCGGTGCAGTTTCTGGCAGTGCAACAGATGCAGCTGCTTCATCTGCCCGCAGTGACGGTTCAACCGATAAGAATTCGGCCCTGGCATCTGCTCAACGTACTGTGCTGGTTTACGGCTACCCGAGCTGGATGGAAAAGGCAGTACTCGAACTCTTCGCCAGTATCGGCGGAGTCGAGTTCATCGAGGCCATCGACCTTACTGGAAGTGGCTCAGCACAGGAGCAGGCAACATCGCAGCCCAACTCGCCCCCGCTTTCATGCTGCACACGCATCCGATACGCCGAGTCCTTCCAAGCGTTGCATGCGCTTCGCCGCAACGGCGAAGTCGTAGCGGGTGCCTGCATGGTCGGTGTTCGATGGGAGGATGACAACTTCCACCAGGTCGCTCTAACCAACGGTATCGACGCCGTCTTCCGCATGGATGTCTATCCATCCAGCCGCACAGCAGAGACCTTCAAGGCTTCGTCCAAAGCGATCGCCGTTCCATCCATCGACGCAGCAGCTGGAGCCTCCGCGCTTTCCCAAACTCGCACTCATGCTGTCTCTTCCTCCAGCATCAACGGCGGCAACGGCGCAAACCGGCAGAATAACCGCCACTCAACCGCTTTCGGTCAGGGTGTCAATGCTCATGCTGGCCGAAATAACACTTCCGCCGGCTCGAATGCTGGTCAAGCATCCAGCGGTAGTAATGCCTCTTACCCTGCGTTTGGTCGACCACTCTCGGTGATCAACGATCCTTCCGTTGCCTTCAAACCATCCGCATCAAACAACCACTTGGGCGGCCTCGCGGCTTCGCCGTTCAAAGCAGCCTCTTCTCTCTTCGGTTCGGGTGCGACGTCTGCGGCCAAGCCTGCCACTCCACAAGCAGATGGCAATACAGGAGACAAGAAACCGGCCCCCGCTGGCAGCACCAGCATGCTCGGCCGGATCACCGACGGCATCTTTGGCTGGTAGTTGACTCCCTTCCTTGCCTATGGCCCTACCAAGACATGCTCATTAGGTTCAACTCAATACAGAATATTCCGCTACCATCATGTTCTGCTGTCTGCGATAGGATGATTTTTCAAAGTTTGAGCTAGAGCGGACCGTGTCAATGCAAAAGAGAACTATCGTACAGAATGGAGAGAGACAAGAGGTCGGAAGAACATCGACTCTGCGTGGTATATTGGTGCAGCTCAAGACTGCATGCGAGCATTTGACCAGAGATGTACAATCAACGAGTTCAGTATCCTCCGAGACCATCCCATCGACCACGAAGACGTCTCGCGAGCTGGAAGTCCTTCTTCATCAGTGTCACTCGCTTGCCGTGAATGGCGCATAAATTCCTGTCACGACCAAGACCAAAGTGAGAAGCGAGTCAGTCTCCGTAGCATGTCGGGGTAACCGTGATGTTTTGAGTTCTATATCACTTACGCGTCTTCGAACAGGTGGACAAGGAAGGCTTCGGTCGCTTCTTGCAATGCCAGGATGGCCGAACTCTGCCATCGCAGACCGGATCCATATTCTCCGTGCTCGTAAGAAGTGACAAAGTCGTTGGCGATCTCCCTTACCAGGCGAGCGAAGGGAAGCTTGCGCAGCAAGAGGTCGGTCGATTTCTGGTACTTGCGAATCTCTCGCAGAGCCACTGTTCCTGGCTTGAAGCGCTTTCTCTGTCCGATGTGGCCTGAAAGTAAGAAAAAAGGGTTGTGACACATAGGGCATACAAAGAAAATCAGCAAAAATGCTGCCAGAGTCTTGCAGGCAACGCAGTGGTTTCGATACTTACTGAGACTTGGTTCGGTGACAGAGTACTCTTCGAACCTTCTCCTGGACAGTGACGACTGGATCGAGGGCGCTCGACGAGAAAGCATCGCAGAACCACCACCTTCGGACGAGCTGGCGTATGAACCCTCATCGTACGTTTCGGCGTATGTCGACTCGGGATAGGATGAGTCAGCCAGACTAGGCCTTGGGCGTGAAGCCATTCTGATGGGCTAGGTATTTGGTGCAGATCTAGACAGCAACGTTTGCGTTGTCTGCTGTTCTTTCTGCCGGAGCGCTGGTCTGGGAGTTGGCGATGGCAATCAATGCTCGACGAAGGAAGGATGGTCGAAAGTGTTGGAGTGTTTGAAGGGTCGCGTCGTACAGCCAGAAAAAGAATCGGGCTAGGTCCCGATACACACAGTTGCGCAGCAGCAGGTCACGTGTTTCTGCTCTCCACTAAAAGCTCAGCAGCTCCATTTCAGCAGAGGAAGTGTGAGACGCGTCGCGAGTGTTGTTCTCTGAAGAAACTCATCCTTCGCTGTGGGAGCTGCATGAGCTGGATGTCATTTGTCGTATTCAAGGTTCTTCGCCACCATCATATCATACTCAGTAAAGTTGCGAAAGAGACGCAATGGACAAGTCCGACCGGCAGTCGGTTGCCTTGGGGCCATCAACGACAAGTGCTATACAAGAATCACAATCTGGCACCTACGACCATCTACCGGACCTATCCGTCGATATCTCAATGGGCACGAGCAGTACAAGCCGACCCGCTTTCGAACAGCTCAATGCCACTCTTATATCGCGAGGATACCTTCGTCTGCCTCTGAACGTGGCGGGGATGCGCGAGGACTCGCTCTCTGCCCTCGCCGACGCACTGCATGCGTTAATTGCCCAACGAGAAGAGGACATCGAAGTGCGCACTGCTCTCACAGCCAAGAATCGCACGCTGACGGCATCGCTGGAGCGAACAAAGCGTTTTCAGAAGGAGGAAATTGAGCGGTCCGCTGACTTTGAGCGCAAGGCGGAGGCTTCAAAATCCAAGCTCATACATCTATCAACGCAGCTGGAGACGGAGAGAAACGCTCACAAGGCAACGAAAGAGGCACTGGGGCGCATGCGAAGGGACCTTCAGGCGATCAAGGCTTCTGCGCTCCAGTACAAAACCGCGAACGATCGATCTGTAGCCAGAGTACGGGCCCGTATCGGAGAAGTGACCAACTCGGCGATTCGATCTGCAGTACCGGACTTCCAGATTGTTGCTTCTGCTTTTGACGATGTTCCGAACGGATCGTCCTCGAAAGCTGGTGCAGCGGGCGTGTATGCCCAACAGGTGCAGGAGCTGGAGCAGAAGCGAGCTCACCTGGTGGAGTACAATCAGGCTCTGAAACGCTTTGCGACAGAAGCCATAAACGCTGCTCGTCGCGCGGATCAGGAGTTGGTTGATATAGTGGAAGCAGAGGAGGATGACGCAAGAAAAAGGGACGACAAAGCTGCGAGCAAGCCGCTTGGCGACTCGAACGGCTCTCGATCTGCCTCCTCAAGTAGTGTGACCGGGATGGGCGCATCCAACCGATCTTCGCCGTCGGATGCATGGCTTGACGGTCACCGACCTCTCTTCCAGCGGGATCTCTTTCCCACCAACGACACTCTGCGTTCCACCCCGGCAGGCACTTTGGTTTCAGGCTCATCGAGCAAGTCGCAACATCCAGCCTTGCGTGCACTCGAACTCACCTCGACTACCATCAGCGCCCACATTCAGTCTCTTCTGGACCGCCGCACCGAGCGCTCTATCTACGAGTCCTCGCTCCGTCAGCGCATGGCTGCGGAAGCACGCGAGCAAGCATGGGCCGCCAAGCTCGAGCAAGACGTTCACGAAGATTTACAAAACGACGTTCGACTCTCGCTCAACAAGACAAATGGGCCCGCGCATATTGGTTCGCTCGCCTCTGCAGCCATTGTAGCCTTGAGTGGCTCTGGCGGTAGTCGTGCATCAGGTCGAGTGGACTGGCAGAGGGAGAAAGTAGACTTGGAGAAGAAGCTCGCACAGCTTGTGAAGGAGGTTGCAGTAGCAGAACAGCATGCGGCAAGGAAGGAGAAGGAGGTCAAGAAGCTCGCCGAGGCAGAGCAGAGGGCACGTAGTTTGCTCGACCAGGTTTCTTCATCTGCTGCAACTGGCAAGGCAGAAAAGTCAGCAAATGACTCGGAGGAGATGCAGCAAGTGGATGCTTTGAGAGAGGAGCTCCATAACTCCGAAGGGGAGCGGGCACGACTTGCCTCAAGATGCGAAATGTTGGAAGCCGAAGCCCGAGAGCTACGCAATGAGCGAAATCGTGTCGCCTCAATTGTGGCAACACCTGCTGCACCAAATGTTTCTGCATTCACCTCTCTCAAGCGACTCAACGATGCTGAGGTGGCCGAGATCCATGCGCGTGATCAAAGGCGACGCACCGACCTCGGCAGCCTCTCTGTCGTTGCCGAAGATTCAGAAATGCCTTCCCTCACCAGCACTGCCGACACAGTCGAGACTGCCAGCGATGACGTGGACGGGGCAGCAGACACGTCAAAATCTCTACGAACTGCACCCAAGAGCCAAAGCAACAAGGGCTCAGCCAATGCCGACATGATGAGCCCTGGAGAAAGTTTTGGCAACAATCCGGAACTTGATGCCATCTTTGGCGTCAGCAAGCCTGCCAAAGCTGTAAAAGCGGCTAAGGCTTCAGATTTGGCGCCACGCCGGTCGTCGAGACTGTCAGGTGGGAGCACTGCAGCTGGGGCAAACCTAGAAACAGCGCTAGTCGAGGAGTCAAAGAATGATCTTCGAAACGCCAAAACTGATGAAGAGGAAGCCGAACCAACAGTTGTGTCAAAGAGTGCTAGCAAGAGGCGCGCAAGCCAACGGATTTCGGACGGCCTACTTCCAGTTTCAGAGCCGGTGGCCACGGACGAATCCTCGTCTCGAGCTTCGAAACGGTCTCGGGCAGAGCAATCAGCACCATCCTCCGGGAGCTCGCTGGCTGAAGCGGATGCAGCAACAAAGCCTACCCTAAGATCAGCTACATCAGATGCTGGCCAGTCTCGACGCCGACTATCAACACGAGAGAAGCAAGAGCTGGAACAGCGACAAAAGCTGCCCCGAACCGTGCCGGGCCCAGCAGCTGCTCCTACCAAAACACCAGCATTGAGCTCGAGGAGAATTGTCTCTGGGTCGTCGTCATCAGTGACTCGACCTACAGCTGCTTCACTGCGACGCAGTGAAGCAACGCTAGCCAGCTCGGCCAAACGTCCACTCTCGAACGCAACCAACACTGGCGAAGGGCTGGCGAAGAACCCAGAGTCTGCTAAAGTCAAGACTCAATCTCGCACTGTATCCGAATCGAGCGTTGTCCGAACACGGTCTTAGCGCATGGCTGATCAGCCTGTTCTCTCGCCACACCCTTTTATGCATTGTATTCTATTTCGTTCCGAAAGGAAGATCCTAACTTATCGTCATGTGACAAACCATGTCAATTGAACCTCCTCGTGCTGCAAGGGAGTACCGAAACAAAGCTGAGCTTAGATCTCAAAGTCGTAGATGAATGCGTCCGCGAGCGCCGGCTTAACTTTGACCTGTGGTTGTCGAAAGTGTAAGGGCGCAGAGAAGTCAAGGTCAGTGCGTCCTCATTCTGCTGCCTTCTGTCTTTGCCAAAATCGCAAACACTCACAACGAAAGCGAGATGCACCGGGTCCTTCTCCAAGTAGTGCTTCACGTGATTTTGCGATGGGAAGGTGGAGATAAAGATGTGATGGAAGTCTTTGCCTGCCTTTTCAGGAGAGGTGTTTTCAGTGGAACTCTTGAAGTCGAGAATGTAAGGCTTTCCGTCGGTGTACAGGCAAGCGGACTTGAAAGTGTTGAATTGGTTGTACAGCTCCAGCCTCTGCTCCGCGGAGACTGAGTCCTTGTATTTGAACGAGACGACGTGAACAATGGCCATTGTGATCAGTGATTGTTCGTCAAAAATCCGCAATGGTGCCAACAACAATGGTGCAAGAATGGCGACAAGATGGTGGATCGCACGGACCCCTTGTCTAAGTCCTGTTTGCTTTGCACGAACGGCGGAGATTCCCACATGGCACAACTCTTTTCTCGCATGATTGCGCCACAGCGATGCTTCTAGAACCTCGTTTGCGGCACCATGACGCCGTTGCATAGCACCAAAGGGGCCTTCCTCATTCGGGGGAACAGATCCGACATGGCATAATGAGTATGCCGGCGATAACGGCTGCGTCAAAATATGCAATCGAGATTTCACGGACTTGACACCATGCAAATTGGGCTTCGTCGTGCGCATGAAAGAAGAAGGAACAAACAAGACCTCTACTCCGTGGAGTTGGACCTCGTATCAGGCATTGCCTTGCTTTTGTCAACTTCCGGGCCGGCGGATCCTGCGAAGTTGACTAGATCTTGGAAAGTTTCTGCCACTCAGTACCATTGCGGCGGAGCACGACCCATTTGGCCTGGGATGGCAGGGCCCCTCTGCACTCTGTTGCAAATGAGAGTGCGTCTTGGTCTGTCTTTCTCGCAGATTGTTCATGGTCCGTGGAGCAGACATTTGACAATGCTCGCCATGGTCAGGTGTGGGCAGCTTTCCTTCATCGATGCGTGATAGTGCTCGATGATGATGCATTCTTCTCAGATCCTAGAGCTTCGCACTAGCATCCCATAGCATCCCCACCAGAGGAAGCCTTGGCACTGCTTCTTCTTTTCTATAAATGCCCACCTTTGTGCAGTCAGTCCTTCCCCTCGACACCACTCATACAAGCGACTCTCATCTCGGCACTCACAAGTCAACCTCAAACACATCTCTTACGGTCTCACATCTATCTCGTACAATCTCCTACATCACACGCAAGAGCATCGACATAGTTTCTCCATCCCAGATCAGCATCTTCCCCGCAACCTCTTCCGTTGCTTCCCACGTTATCGGGATCTTGCAGAAGCAACATCCTCATCTTCGTCTTCGTCTTGCTGCTCGATCTCCCGAGAAGCTGAAAGCAAACGGCGACAGGCTGAAGGTCGCCCAAACCCCTTTGAGCATCGACAGGGTCTCTTCGATCAAGGACGCTCTCGAGGGTAGCGATGCAGCTTTCATCCTGCACCCACCCTTGCACTTGGCTGGAGATCCCTTCGCCCTTTCCAAGACATTCGTGGACACAATCATCGAAGCTGCTAACACCAGCAAGACTCTCAAGAGGATCGTGTATCTAACCTCCATGGCTGCTGAGAAGCCGACCGGCTCTGGCAACATTCGCAGCGTGCACATTGGCGAGACTGCTCTCTTGGCCAATCTTCGTGATGGTATCGACCTGGTTGCATTGCGCCCTTCCTACTTCCTATCGAACTTCAGTCCGGTCCTTCCACTCGCCTTGAACCCACCACACATCCTTCCTTCGATGTTGATTCCTTTTGATAAGGCTTATCCATTGATCGACGCCAGTGCTATCGCTGCCAAGGCTGTCAAGTACCTCGTCGCTTCGCAATTATCTTCACCTGAAGCAGCTAGTCAAGGTAGTCTTACTGCTGTGCAGCTCATCCCTGAATTCAAGACGGTACCTCAGATTGCCGAGTATCTAAGCGAGATCATCGGAACAAAGGTTAACGCGGTCCCGATTCCGGAAGAAGAATGGGCATCGACCTTCAAGAAGGCCGGCATGTCTGATCAGAATGTTGCCATGTACATCGAAATGTTGGGGGGCTTCATTCGTGATGAGCTCTCATTCCTAGATCAGGAAGGCATCGAGCAGGAAAAGAAACGAGGCGTCACTGTCATTGATGAACAGACTGATGTAGATCACGAGGCGGCGCTCACACAGCTCATTGATGACATCAAGGCTGCGGGTGGTCAGCAAGGTCACTAGACACCAACATCACATAGTCACTTTTGTAACTGCTCTTAAGCGCAATACAAGCGAAGTACGTTTCCATGCGCTCTCGAAGCAAGGTCCGTCCAAATGAGCCTGTCTTTCTTTCTCCCGTTCCGCCATCACCAGAGCACAACTGTAGCTCGATCTTCTAGTACCATGTCCGCAACCTAGCACGAGTCTACCTTGAACACGAATCAGTCAGGTGAATACAACTTCCGTCAGCAGCGCGTATCTGAGCATCATCGAACGCGACATTTGAGCTATTGCTGGTGAATGAGAGGTCCCATTATACTGTCCTTTCCGTGTTGATGTTTCCTTGGTGTTGGCCTGAGCGGCTTCGGGGTCCGAATTGACCGAGAAATTCTGTACCTGTCCCGCCTGGATACTCTCTCGTGCGAATGCATGCCGCACGAGAATGTTCGATCATCATCCTCTCGCGCGATACACGCCGCACAAGAAAGTTCGATACCTCGCACACGAAAGTTCGATAGTTATCTTTGCTTTGTATGGAAGCTAATACTTAAACTTGCTGGAATACACGATCCAATGACGATGCTAAGGAGTGATGCAAGGATGACAAGATCGGAAATTGGGGTTAACCAATCCTGTTAAGGATTGGGTACAACCAAGTCCCACTCATTGTCAGGCTGGGTCATTAAGTTGGAGTACTCCCACCTTCGGCATGTGCCACTCACATGTATATATATCTCACAGAGAGCACTAGGCTCTCGCCACATTCCCTTAGTCAATTGAGTATATATGTTTCTGTCTTTTAGCAGCAGTGACATTGTACTTAGACTCTCCCCAATCGCCAGTATCGGGACCGAAACGACTCAAGTTTCTAACAAAACTAGCCTCTCCTTAGATCTCCTCCTTTCCGCAATCCATTTTGTTACACCCTTACACGCGCGTATAGTCTGCGCATGTAACAGTAACCCTCGTCCATTGAATCTTCTAACGTGGGAAACCATGCTAAAGAAAAGGTATTTTTCAGCGTGTCAGACGTTTGCAAACTTGCATCTTGACTGTGACCACATTCATCTAATCCTTCCTGCTCTGCCGCCGTTGGCCAAGGTAAAGCGCGCATCTTCAAGAGCGGGCAGCATGACGAGCATCTTTCGAGTGGTTGTGATCGGAGCAGGCGAAATCAACTTTGGTGAGTAAAGTAGCAGTTGTCCTTGACGTGGTCGAAATACATCGCACAAGGTCAAAATGAAAAAAAAAAAAAAAAAAAAAAAAAAAAAAAAAAAAAAAAAAAGACGGATGAGATACGATGCAGCTGAGGAGCATGGACGCTGATGGATGCGCTCTGCAACGACCATCTGCACTGTGTGACAGGCTCGCCCGAAGGTCCCTGGAATCACACTGCCAGATTGGAGCGGATCTTCAGCCAAAGCTTGACTGAGTTGCGCTTCGTAGCTCTTGTCGATCCGAACTTCAGTCGTGCCGCTGAACGCATTGAGGAGAAGAGGTCATCTGACAATGCTACAGTACGATCGGCTTGGGACTCTACAAAGGCGTGCTCAACGATCGCCGAGGCTGCAACCCTCAGTCAAGATGTCGATATGATGATCCTTGGCTGTCCGCCGCACTTCAGGGGTACCTTTCAGCACAGAAAACGAGCAGACCTGGAAATGCTCGAGTACTTTCCACACGCTAAAGCCTACCTTGTCGAGAAGCCTGTTGCGGCTGTCAATCCATTTGTCAGCAAAGACTGCGATGAGGTTGCGTCACGTTTCGCTGCTGCTCCCGGTGCAGTTAGTGTTGGCTACATGCTACGTTACAACAAGGCCATCCTCAAGGTCCGCCGCATTCTGAAAGAGAATGGCTTGACACCTACATGCGTCAGCGCGCGATACTATATGGCCTACGAATACGCCAGAAAGCTCGACTGGTGGAACAAGTCACGATCTTGTGGACCTGTAGTCGAACAAGCCACACACTTTGTCGATCTCATCCGATTCTTAGCTGGAGACAACAACGATACTTTGCTGGACACTGTTCACGCAGCTACTGTCCGGCACGACGAACCCGTTGGCTCTTTGACGAAGCTGGGTTTTGATGAGACAACTATTCCGGAAGGGGAGAGGGTGCCGAGGGTCACAAGCGCTTTCTGGAAACATGAAAAGGTGCGTGCTTTCTAACAGGCTCTACACACTCTTAGCGACCTTGCTCACCGACCATCCTGCTTCGTTCGCGCTTTCTGAACAGGGTACAATTGGTTCGCTCACTCACGGCATCACTCTACACGGTACGTACCTCTCTCCTTGTTCATCGGCTGCACAGCTGTGACTGACGCTGACGATGCTTGGTCACCCCGACGCTTCGTTGAACTGCAGGCACTACCTACGACACAGAGATTGAAGTGCTCGCTGATGGCTGGATTCTTCGAGTGCGGAACGCATACGATGCAGTGACGACACTTGCAATACGAGCTCCAGGCCAAGCCGAAGAGCAGATTATCAAGATGGAAGATGATCCCTTCCTGACCGAGTTTCAGTGCCTGGTCCAAGCGAGTCAGCCCGCCGAAGCAAGCACTTTCACAACAGATGTTGTGCCTTTGCGGCCTCTGAGCAGCTTTGCTGATGCATTGCAGACGTACAAGCTGTCGTGGAAAATTCGGTTGGCCGCAGAGGCTAGCGCTGCATGCTAGATGCTTGTTCAGATGCAACGTGTCAACCAGAGTGGCGTGTTTGTCAGTGTCTTCACAAACCATATCAGCTGTGCAGAAAACGATCTTGATTGAAGACTTGATGTGATGGTACAATTGTTGATGAATTGTGTGTCTAGGGCTCGAGTTATCAAGGAAGAGTGTAGCCACCGTCAATGAGAGTGTCGCTGCCGGTCTGGTAGGACGAAGCGTCGCTGGAAAGATAGAGGAAAAGACCCTTGATCTCCTTGACATGACCTTGTCTGCCTAGGGCAGACATGCGGTACGCTTCGTTAATGCAGCGAGGGCTGGCACCGAGCTTGGTGTCGAAGAAGCCTGGACTGACGATGTTGACACGTGCGAACTCCCTCCATTCCCTGGCGAGAGACTTGCCCATGTGCGTTACTGCAGCCTTTGTTGAGTTGTAGACCGGCTGATCGACGGGTACGTTGACGATGTGTGCGGACATGCTGGAAGTGATGATGAGGTTGCCCTTGCCTTGACGCTTGAAGACTTCTCCGACGTACTTGGCGCAGTAGAAGACGCCGTCAACATTGACCTCCATCTGACGTCTGTACTCCTCGACAGTCTGTTCGAGGATTGGTTTGGAGATGGCCATACCGGCATTGGCAACAAAGACATCGATGCGACCGAAATCGGCAACAACCTTGTCAATAGATGCACGAACCTGGTCGACTAGAGAGACCTCGCATTGGTAAGCCTTGGCGCGAATGTTGTGGGTCTTTGCAAGGTGTTCAGCTTTCTGAACGGCGATGTCGTTCGAGTTGTACCAGAGGGCTACGTCGGCACCGGCCTCTGCAACAGCTTCGATGGCGGCATAACCAAGTCCGTCGCTAGCGCCAGTGACAACGACGACCTTGCCCTTCATGCTGAGCTGCTCGAGCACATTGGTGGGTGTGTCGGGCATGGGTCGGGGCTGTCGAACAGCAGAGCAATCTTCGATGGTCATCGACATTGTGCAAGAGTTAAAATCCTAGGTTTTGATGCTTGGTGGTCGGGAGATGGCGTTGGACACTAGACAAGGTGCTATGTGAGGATGCGATTGAGTCCAGATTCGGTGTAAAATCAAGACGTGAGAAGTTGGGAGATGGATGCAGTTCCGAGCTCATGGTAGGAGATTGCCGAAGGCTGCTCAGCCAAGAGCGAGTGTGCTGAGATGACCGAGGTAATGAGCATGACTGCGAACTGCAGTTCACAACTCGGGGTAAGCGGTCGGTAAATTGAGCGGAGTTGACTAAGCGATGTCATCCATCTGATCCGCTAGCGAGGCCGTGATCGAAATCGGCGATCTTGGACTCGAGCAAAAGAGGCTGTGTCACACCTGACCTCTCGCGCGAATACTAGCCGTACGAGAATGCTCAACTGATAGCCTCTCGCGCGAATACTCGTCGCGCAGGAAAGTTCGATGCCTTGCATCAAGGTTCGATACCTAGCTTGCAAATCTTTGCTCTTACGATCTTGTTTGTACGGAAGAATAGTACTTAAACCAGCTTCCATCTAGATCTCCTCCTTCTCGCAATCCATCTAGTTACACCATTACACCGCGCATACAGCCTGCGCACGTAATAACGTAACAGGCTGCCTGTCTCTTTACCAATGCTGCAGATGGGTGGTGCAATTGTTCGCTTCCATGTTAACTTGTCTTTCAACTCAAACAAATTCACTATCGGCTGAGCTGCTGAAAAGAATCACGATCGCTTGGACCATGTCGCTTTTTGTCGACTGCGACCTGGGACGACGTTGTTCGGGTAAGAAAAGAGAACTTGTTTCTGATGAAGACGAGAACTTCGCTCTGTCGGCATGCGTATGAGAGGTAACAAGCATGCCGAAACGTCTCAAACTTGTTGTTCAAGCTCTGATTCGGAAGGAAAGAGCACATAGCTTTGTCAATGTGCTTGGGGAGTGATCGAAACTTGGAGATATTATCGAGACTTCCGATGGAGGTAGAAAAGAAAGCCACGGCAGCAGTAAGCAATCACAAATGTGTACTGTGCATCCTACAGCCAAGATAATCGGCATCGCAAATGGAGGTGGAGGATAAAGGGCTGGTGGACTCGGGGCTATCAATCTCATTACTAAACCCCGAAGAAGGTTGTGAGTAGCGTTAAGAAGGAAGCAAGTGAGTCGAGCTTTACGTTGAGTTGTTTGCATTGCCGACGAGTTCGAGGAGGAAGGCGCTCTCTGCAAGCTGACTTGCAGCAACTGACAAAACATTTCCACCAAAGGTTACGCTTGCTTCATGCAGATCTTGCATGCTCTATCATACACACAGTCCCTCCTTCGCTGCTTCTTGTTGATTCTAACCAACCTGCTTTTGTGGCGCTCTCAGCTCAGTTGCATCGCAAAGCCACGCTCCACACTAGCCCTGCCATAATATCCGATGTGACTCGCTCCAGCAATCAACTAACTCCACGGAGAAAGATTGTGACCGTGTGCCACCACTTTAGTAACCGAGTCGCTGGAAACTTCACTCAGGCTAGTACAGGCTACGGAGACAGACCATTGTCCGAGCTTAACATGGTTGCTCAGCTTGGAAAGCTAGGGCTTGGCAAAGGACAGACAAAGTCATCCACGGAGGAATGGAGTGACTCTCCACCACGTGATCTCCTTTGAGCTGTGATCTGTGACAGCCTCAGTGGGTGGAATTTTATATTAATTTTGTTTGTTTGTTTGGCCTTTTTGGTCGGAACGGCGGCTGCTCGGTTCTGACAGGCACAAAAGCGGGCAAAATTTGCTTTGCCGATAACACAAACCCCGTGAGGCAAAATTGCTTGCACAATCCGGCCAACTCAAAAAATAATCTTCCTTGCCCCTTGTTGCTCCTTCACCTTTTGACGTCGTCACAGGTCTAAAAGGTCAAGGTCGGAGTTAGAGGTGCAACTTCTTTTTCCTTCAGACTTATATACCCTGGTAACCCTTGCCAGCTACATCCTTGTTATCTCAAATCACCCCGACTATTCTCCCTATCAAGTAGTGTACCTCTCTCTTCGCCGAAAAAGGATACCATTTTCGTGTAGCAGCGATGCAGTCGTCCGCCTCGCAGCAGGCATCTAGCGCGCCTGAGACCGACACCTCCAACCATACATCTCTTGCTCACCCTCCCGACGACGGCACTTGGGGCGAACCAGAACGAGGCGAGCCTGTCAACGTCAACCAGGCCCTCCAAGACTTCCAGCTCGCTAGACAATCCTCACGTAGCTCAGCAAAAAGCAACCATGCCGGTCCATCTTCATCCGGTCTGCGTGGAGGCTCAGCCATCGGTCGTGCTCTTAGTGGCGGCAACTGCAACAAGCAGCCAAAGATCAACGAAAACGAACTCGACATCGAGGCCGCTTCCTCCGGCGAGACCTACGAGAACGACTTTGATCTTGGCAAGTGGATGCTCACTCGCAACGCTCAAGCCAAGGAAGAAGGCATCGACAGTGGCAAGCCTGTTGGCATGCTCTGGAGGGACATCTCCATCACCGCTTCCGGCTCGGGAGGCGGAGGTATCTTTGTCAAGACCCTTCCTGTCGCAATCGCAAACACAGCTTGCAGAGATCCTATCGGAGTCCTCACTACTCTTGTCCCACCACTCAAGAAGCTTTTCACTCCTCGCAACATGCCTACCACCACCCTTCTCCACAAATCCAGCGGTATCCTCAAACCAGGCGAGATGCTTCTCGTTCTCGGCCGTCCAGGATCAGGCTGCTCCACCGCCCTCCGTGCTATTACCTCCAAGAATCACACAAATGTCTCTCCATCCGGCAAGATCCTCTACGGCGGCTTCTCAGCTCACGACATCAACCGCAAATATAGAGGCGAAGTTGTCTTTGTCGATGAAGAGGACACTCACTTCCCAACGCTCACAGTTGGTCAAACCCTCGAATTCGCTCTACGCAACAAGGTACCCCACCGCTCTCGTAGGCTACAAGCAGAGTCTCGCCAGCAATTCATCGAGACATGTATCGATGTCATGCTCAAGATGTTTGCTATGACTCACGTACGTGACACCATTGTCGGTGACCAAGCTGTACGTGGAGTGTCGGGTGGTGAAAGGAAGAGGACTACGATCTCAGAGGCTCTAGCTACACGTGCTAGCGTGATTGCATGGGACAACTCCACTCGAGGCCTCGATGCCAGCACTGCTCTCGACTATGCAAGGTCTCTCCGTATCATCACCGACCTTGCACAACGTTCGACCATCGCTACCCTCTACCAGGTCTCGGAGAGCATCTTTGACCTTTTTGATCGCGTCGCTGTCATCGACCAGGGTCGTTGCATCTACTATGGTCCTCGCAAGCTGGCTCGATCCTACTTCTACGAGCTCGGCTACGACACGCCCGATCGTCAGACCACCGCTGACTTCGTCACTTCCCTCACCGACGTCAACCAGGTCCTTTTCCGACCCGGTATGGAGGCTTGCGCACCCAAGACGGCTGAAGATCGTGAGCGAGCCTGGAGACAGAGCAACCTCCATCGCCAGCTTGAAGCAGAAATGGAGTCGTACGAAGAGCACCTGGCTCAGGCCGAGCAGGCCGACCGCCTCAAGCAGACCGTCAGGTCCGAGAAACGAAAAGGTGTCAACAAGGGCTCTAGCTACACCGTTAGCTTCTGGGACCAGATTCTCAGCTGCATTTGGCGCCAGCTCCTTATCAAGTGGGGTGCTAGAGGCGACCTCTACGTCAAGCTCTTCACCATCATCTCGGTCTCGTTCATGATCTCGTCCCTCTTCTACAACCAGCCCTTCGATTCGCAGGGTGTCTTCACGCGTGGAGGTATCCTCCTCTTTGCATGTCTCTTCAACGGATGGCTCCAGCTCTCGGAGTCGTTCGAGGCTGTTGCTGGCCGACCCATGCTCAGCAGGCATAGGCAATTCGCCTTTTACCGTCCATCGGCCGTCGTCCTGGCACGAGCTCTCGTCGACATCCCATTCCTGTTGGTCCAGTGCTTCCTCTCGTCCATTATCATCTACTTCCTCGCCAACCTCAGGAGAGACGCTGGCGCCTTCTGGATCTTCTACGTCTACTGCTTCCTCTCGTCGTACAGTTTAACTGCCCTCTACCGCATGTGTGCTGCCTTCTCGCCTGGCTTCAACGAGGCCATTCGATTCTCGGTGCTTGCTCTCAATGTTCTCATCATCTGGGTCGGCTATGTCCTTCGTAGGCCGCAGATGAATTGGATGATCTGGCTCAATTATGCCCAGCCCATCTCCTATGCCTTCGAAGGCTTCTTGGCTAACGAGCTCAATTACGACATCGACTGCTCGCCTTCTCAGATTGTACCTTTTGGTCAAGTCCGAGATGCAGCCTTCCAGACCTGCTCCCTCACTGGCGGCGTCCCCGGCTCTATTGTGGTGCCCAGCGCTGACTACCTCTCGACCACCTTCGGATACTCACGCTCCAATATCGGCCGCAACGTTGGTGTTCTTATTGCCTTCTCGGTTGCCTACCTCATTCCGACCATTATTGGAGCCGAAATCATGAACTTTGGAGGAGCTGGAGGAGGAGTGACTGTGTTTGCCAAGACCAAGGCTGCGAAGGCCAGGCTCGCAAACTCGCCTGTCAAGGACGACGTGGAGGAAAAGCCTGTTGTAGCAGCTTCTTCCAGCGACGACTCCAATGGCAGTATCACCCGCGCCAACTCACCTGCAGCCTCGGCCAACAAGACGGCCGTCAAGACGGTCGAAGAACTTGACAAGAAGGCTATCTTCACTTGGAAAGGTGTCTCGCTTACTCTCCCAACTGGACGCAAGCTTCTCGACGATATCACAGGTTACGTCAAGCCAGGAACCATTACCGCTCTCATGGGTGCCTCTGGGGCTGGTAAGACGACCTTGCTCACTGCCCTTTCGCAGCGAGGCATTGCAGGGAGCCTCTCTGGTGACATCCTCGTTGATGGCAAGCCTCTTGGCCCTGGCTTCCAAAGAGGGACTGGCTTCGTGCTACAAGGCGATATCCATCTCGCCTCGCAGACAGTCCGAGAGGCTATTGAATTCTCCGCTCTGCTTCGTCAACCAGCCGAGGTTTCTCGCAAGGAGAAGCTCGCTGATGCTCAGCGTGCCATTGAGCTCCTAGAGCTTGAAGATCTACAGGATGCCCTTATCGGCGTCCCCGGGTTTGGTCTTGGTGTCGAGCGTAGGAAGCGTGTGACCATTGCCGTCGAGCTTGCTGCTAAGCCTGACCTGCTTCTCTTCCTCGACGAGCCTACGTCTGGTCTGGATTCAGCTGGCGCTGCCTCGATTGTTCGTCTTATTCGTCGCCTGGCCAGCGAAGGCCAAGCTATCCTCTGCACCATCCACCAGCCCAGCGCACTTCTTTTCGAGTCCTTCGACAATCTCTTGCTGTTGCAGCCAGGTGGGAAGACCTCGTATTTCGGAAGCATTGGCCACGAGCAAGGCAAGGGCTCAGACAAGGTCCGCGAGTACTTCGAACGCAATGGTGCTCCTGCTTGTCCCCCCACCACCAACGTGGCTGAGTACATGCTTGAGATCGTTGCACAGAAGTCCGACAGACCCTGGTCAGAGCGCTGGAAGGCTTCACCTGAAGCTAGAGCACTTCGTGATGAAGTTGATGCCATCAATGCCGAACGTGCTAGTCGACCTACTGTTGAAGATTCACGGTCCAATCAGGAGTTTTCTGCAACTCTGAAGGCCCAAATCGTCGAATGCACCAAGCGACAGTTCCGTGATCTGTGGAGAGATGCTCCTTTTGCGTATGGAATTCTCTTTAGCAACATCGTCACTGGTTTCGCAGCAGGAGGAGGCTTCTATGGCCTCGGAAACTCGGTCACCGATCTGCAGTACCGAGTGTTTGTGGTCTTCTTGGTCATCCTCAACTTCCCTGCTACGGTCAACTCCATCATCTCTAAGTTTTGGGAGATGCGTATCACCTTCACGGTGCGTGAGGGACCTTCCAAGACTTACTCCTGGATTGCATTTATGACTGCCTTCGTTGTTGTTTCGATTCCGATCGCTTTGGCTGCATCAGTGCTCTTCTTCCTGCCATCGTTCTTCCTGCCCTTTGGTCCGCAGAGGTCGACGGTGGCAGGCATGTGGTACTTGATGATCTTCCTCGTGACCTGCTACGAGATGTTCTTCTCGTTGGCGTTAGCTGCAGCTTGCCCTACACCCGTGACAGCTGCCAACTTGTTGCCATTCTTACTGCCGTTCGTGGCCATCGTCAACGGCGTCATCAAGCCAAAGGCGACACTGCCTGCTCCCTGGTCTGGACTCATTTACGCCAACCCGCTCTACTGGTACGTTCGCTCCATGGTCGGCAACATCCTACACGACCTGCCCGTCCGTTGCCGACAAGAAGACCTGGCTGTGTTCAACCCACCTAACGGCCAAACGTGTGGTCAGTATGCTCTTCAGTGGGCTCAGTCGGTTGGTGGTCAGCTACTGAACCCGGATGCCAGCAACAACTGCGAGTTCTGCCAGTTCCAAGTCGGTGATCAGTTCGCAGCCACACTTGGCGCTACATGGCAGTTCCGCTGGAAGGGAGTCGGCATCGTGACTGGCTTTACGATCGGCCAACTCTTCCTTGCATACGTTGCTTACTGGTACTTCACAGAGAAGGGCTTCGGCATCGGTGGCGGCGTGATCTCAGCCCTGGCTGGGAGGATAAAGAGGCTCGGTAAGGGCCGTCAATAGAGACCATTCATCGCTCTCTCATGTATTATGTCACTGTACTTTCATTCATCAAAGACCGCTGTAATACTAGCAGTGTTACGATAGCTTCGCTTCCAAAGCGTGCCACTATTTGAAATTGAGAATGACGCCGCCAGCAACTGTAGAGGATTTATCCCGGAGCAAGTTTTAGACATCATCCTAAAGAGCACGCAGATTGAGTTGAAGGGTGATGAATTGAAGTTGAAGATACGTCGGCATTCCAAACGGGATTCATGAGGTTTAAACGAGACACCGAGGAACCGAGATCGTGCATAAGCGATGTGCACAATGAAGTGCATAAGGGTTGCTATGGCAATGACTCGGGAGCACTACAGGAGGTAACAACTCAGGAGCACTGCAGGAAGCGCCCAACTCATACCAGTCCAACATGTTCAGAGACGGTGTTAAGGTATATATATGAGCTCATGTAGTCACACTCTCTCACAGGAATGTTAAGCATTCAAAAAGTCATACATCTGTGGTAAAGGAGCCTGATTGTGACTCCAGGACAGAGTATTATACTTTGTTACCTTCAATTGTTTAAGAGTCTGAAGCTCTATTGACTGAGCTAATCGAATCCCAACCATGGTAGAAGAAAACGAACCTCAAACTGGCGCAAGCGAGACCACCAAGAGGTCCAAGAAGGGCAGAAAGGGTAAAGGGTTTCTAGGGGCATCTGGCTGTGGGGCAGATGCGTCATGCCCTCCTGGAAGACGGTCCAATTTAATTTTGAAGACAGTCCATTTCAATTTTGAAGACAGTCCATTTCAAAATTCAAGACAAGGGTGTTTCACTTTTTTTTTTCTTTTTGGAAACTCATGTTTTTTTTTGAGTTTTCACATGTGTTGAATATTCATTTCTTATGTAAGCTCTGCCATTTTGGAAAATACTCTAATTTTTGAAAACACTGCTTCAGCTGGACAGTTGCAGCAGAGTTTTCAGAATTGGACCTGAGTCTTCACTCATGTGATGTTGCACATGATGTGGCACATGATGTACTCATGCAAATGCCTCCACTTTTCCTGCACAGTGTCAGGGGTCTCGCACCTGAAACCCAGGTCGGTCTGTCGAGATACTTGGTGACTATCAAACTGTGCAACAGCTATTGTCTTGGTATCAGTCTTGATGAGCTAGTCACTCAGTGACTATCAAGTTGTGCGATGACAGCAGGTGGCATTCATTGTATATACTATCATAGGTTTCAGCTGACCTCTGTGGACACTCCATTCAGGGGTAGCTCAGCACAATCAATATCAATACATAGGTTATGATGACACCAAGGTCTGGTGTGAGTGTTGATGATTGATGAGGTTGATGGTGTTGGTGATAAGGTTGGTGGCATCAACACAAGTGTCCAGTGTGTTAACTGATGCTTGAGGTGATCCCCAGACCACAGTGGACTACTGCCTTCGGTTCTATCTTGATCTGGACTGCTGACCTGCTATGGGCCACCTTCAGACATCAGGTAGTGGTGATACAACACATGCACTATGATGAGGAGCAACCTTGATAGATTGCTGCTATGCTGACTGAAACTAATATATACTTATGCTGAAGTGATAACTAGTTATGATGGGTGTAGAGTGGATGAGGATCCACTTGACCTTTGATGATGAGAAGGTATGGTTATATACCTCTTCACAGCTGCTTGCTTGGCACCCCTGTGCCTCTGTGTCGACTCCTTCGACACTGCTCCTCCTCCTTGCTATCCTGCTTGTTTGGCACCCCTGTGCCTCCTGAGTGGTGTTGACTACTTCGACACTGCTCCTCCTCCTCAGGACCTGCTTGCTGGTTCCCTATACACTGCTCCTTCTCCTTTGACTGGTGACAGTTCCTTTGACTCTTGTCTCTCAAGCCCCTGAGTGGTAACCATCTGCATGCTCCTTGAGCTTGGTCCTCTTTGTGGCTGTGCCTGGCCCTCCATGCATATGGCTCGGTCCTCCTTTGCATGTGAGTCCATAGGAGTCCATGGTCTCCATGGAGACTGCACTATGACCATGCTCTCTACTGGTATTGACTAGATCTCTGATACCTGTGCCCCTTCCATATGAACCAGTGACCCTCCTGCTTCTTGAGCATTCAGGCCCATGACACACAGCTTGTTTTGCATGAACCCACAGTGTCAATAATGACTGTATTTACTTTGATTGTGTGATGAGAGTGTCAAAGATGGTGGAGCTACAAGGTGGTTCGGATTCCAGAACAGGTGGTTTGGATTTCAGAACTGCTTCATTTTCCAGCCGACACTTTATGTTCTGGCCGACAATACCCTAGCCCTAGGGCACCGTGCGTTGCTCTAGTGCAGTGCATTTTCGCCTCCCACCAAATCGCCTTTTTCGTCGTGAAAAATTGCCAAAATCCAGTCATGTCAAGGAGCAGTGCATTTTCCAATTTGGCAGAGCAATGCATTCCCTTTTTCCATGTGTCTCTCATTTACGCGACCCTGTCCATTGAAAATCAACCATCTAGCTCCTTTTGGCTGGACAATGGACAGACACGAATTTACAACACACTCACAACAGACAATCCTCAACAGACTACTCACAACTCGAAATACACTCACAACGGACCACTCACAATTCGAAATTCACTCACACACTCACAACGGACTACTCACCATTCGAAATACACTCACAACATACCACTTGAGCAATCCACAATGCACAACACACAACACACAGCACACACTCACACTCTGCTCGACAGCGCACAGCAGCAACACACAGTGCACACTCTGCTAAACCACACACAGCCAACACAATTACAGTGTGAGCAACAGACAGTTTGAGCAACAGCATTCAACAGCTTGAGCGACATGTGTTGACATTTTGACACATCAACTGGGGTACCATGCTCTTTTTTTGATGCAGTACCCCAATTTCAAACCTGATCTAACACTCGCACACTTTGAGATTTTGACACATCAACCCCAATTTGTCTGCTTATTTCTCATTCCCACGATTCCCTTTGATTTCCTTTTCCCTGACTACCTTTGACCTCTCCTTTAGACTGTACATGACAGGTTCACTAGTCTGAATGCTCTAATCGATGAGGCAACACCAATCACAACCACACCGCCCCCGACTAAACAAAAGCAACTCGATATCTCAAGAATCCCAAAACTGACAAAATCACTCCGACCTCGACAAACGATAGACAGACAAGACCCAATCAACCTACTTACTCGAACAAAACAAAAGATGAATCCGACTGATTCAAGGCCACCCTCCAGAGGCGAACAAAGCAATGAAAATGAACCAAACTTACCTGCCATTGACACCACCTTGCCCACTCAAATGATTGTTGGACCCAAGAGCCTATCTCTTTGGAATCCTGAAGATGAGAACAGTCCAACTCCCTTCAACCAACTCACAGAAGAAGAGATTGAGATTATGGACAGAAGAACCATGCAAGCAATGCTCATGGCTATGAGCTGCCAAGTTAACAAACCCAATGAATACAAGAAACCCTCCAAATGCAATGACTTCTTGGGACTACTCAGATGGTTCTCAACTACCATAGCAGTCACCCTGAAGCTCAGTAACAAAAACTGGCATGTCTGGAACCCTCTGTTCCTTGACACCATCTACACTTGGAACAATGCCCTAGCCCTAGCCGGTGTGTCTTGCTTGCGGGCAACGCACAATTGCGCTCCGCCAAATTCGAAATTCACGCGACTGCATTGACCCCCAATGCACTCGAAATTTACACTGCTCAAGTGCTGCAACGCAAACAAATTTATTTTCGCTGGAGCAGCGCAAATTGAGCAACGCACAGCTGGAGCAACGCACTCACAGCTGGAGCAATGCACTCACAGCTGGAGCAACGCACACTCTGCTGGAGCAACACAATCTGAGCAGTGCACAGCTCGAGAGCAATGCACTGTTCGAGAGCAACACACAGCTCAAGAGCAACACACAGCTCAAGAGCAACGCACTGCTCGAGAACAACACACTGTTTGAGAGCAACGCACTCACAGCTGGAGCAACACAATCTGAGCAGTGCACAGCTCGAGAGCAATGCACTGTTCGAGAGCAACACACAGCTCAGGGTTAGGGTTAGGGTTAGGGTTAGGGTTAGGGTTAGGGTTAGGGTTAGGGTTAGGGTTAGGGTTAGGGTTAGGGTTAGGGTTAGGGTTAGGGTTAGGGTTAGGGTTAGGGTTAGGGTTAGGGTTAGGGTTAGGGTTAGGGTTAGGGTTAG